CGCAACACAAGCGTCCGTCACCAGGTGAGAAAGCGTATGCTTGTGTTGCGCCCGAAACGTCGTGATTTATTTTATTTGATACCGATGGTGGAATCTCGACGTTTGGATCGGTGCCTGCCTGTCGGCGAAAACAACGACTTGCCACAAAGTGGTACTCGATTTACGTGCCATGGAGGAGGGATGATGGGCAGAGTTGGCCTCGGTCAGTCTTGGGCTCTGCCCATTGCACTAGTGGGGCCGGAGACTGCATTACACAACGCATATCTGAAACCTAGTTGCTGTACTGCAAAGTCACGTAGACACTTAACGAATCATATTCTTGGCTCTATCGGTAAAGTCACGTAGAAGGGAAATAATAAAATAATAAAACATAATAAAATAAAATTCTCACGACCTTTCGGCCACAACACTAGTAGCCGTGAGAAGTTATGTTTATTATTTTATTATTTCCCTTCTACGCGACTTTACCGAAACAACCAAGAATATGAATATCTGCAGTCACGAAAGCTTTAAATCGAAACTTAACGAATCGCATATCAACCTACGTTCTATATTTTGTACGCATTGTTATTTTTGCATGGTTTATATATGAAGTGCATATGCAGTGTATGTTGTGTGTATGTAGACGCATATTGTATTAACAAATTACGGTGTAAATGTTAAGTTCTTGCAGTGGTACAGAACTGTTTAGGGTGTCTCGCTGCTGCTGCATGAAGGCCTCTCCGTGCCGGTCTTGGGGGTTGTGTGTCCATACTTGACTGCTACCAGCGGTGTCAAGATCGGCCTCAGTGGAGGAGGCTCGTGAAGGACGCTACTGGGCAGTTGGAGGCAGTTGCCCTCCAACAACAACCGAGGGCGGAGGAGCGACGCTCACAACAACGAGCGGAGCGCCGGGTGGATAAAGCACAGCAAGTTGGTACGGTAGAGGGCACACGTGGTGCATCAGCCAGTCATCTCGGACATCTCAGTCAGTCGACCCGTGGCACCTGCTGGGTCTGCCCCGTGACCTCCTGCCAGCGGGCGTTCGACACTTCACGTGGCCTCAAGGTGCACATGGCCTGGCACAAGCGTCGTGGGGACGTCACCGCCACTTAGTGGCGAATGGCGGTTGTTGTTGTTGTGTCCATACTTCTCCTCGCTGGTCACCGCGGGTTGGCGGAGGAGCACAGCACAGGACTGGTTCAGATATGGACTTCTTTCGCACCGTACGTAACCAACCGTGCTAACCCGAGATGCGAGATATAACTCGTCACTGATGTTAGCCGTGGGCGGGAATCCAACCAGGTTTTGCTGGGTCGATAAGGCGGTACACAAAACCACTGCGCCACCACTCCACCAAAATACATGTGTATAAATAAAATGTAAAAAAAAAAATTGCGAAAACATTGTCAGCAAGTTTGAGATGATTAATATTTTCTCCTTTTGTGTTTACGCCTTTCATTTCTCCAGTGCAACGTTGGAGACATTTTTTATAAAAGTTTTTTTTATTTAGAAACGGCTGCGTTTGTCTCCCCATGGGCGATGTTTACACACTACACCAGGTACTCATTTGAGGCTGGATCGACCTAGGGGAGGCCCAGAACCGGTTCAATTATTTTCCGCAGTGTGAAAAAAACAACACACACACGTAACCGACAATACAATATAAAACATAATCCCCTTCAAAATGTTCTTGCTCTTACAAACACACCGCTTACCCAGACAGACAAAGATAAAGATCCCCCGTATAGCCTTAACAGACTGTAGGGGCAAGTGCTGTTAGCGAGCACCTATGAAGGCCGGAACGGTACACGAGGGGGTGGGTGGTCAGCACCACGCCCGGCCGTCTTTGTCTCCCCAGTGGCGATGTTTACACACCGCACCAGGTACTAATTTAAGGCTGAGTCGACCTAGGGGAGGCCCAGGACCGGTTCAGATAATCGTCACTGGTGTTGGCCGTGAGCGGGAATCGAACCCGGGTCGCCAGGTTCATAGCGCAGCGCAGCGCTAACCGCTACACTTGGCGTTTTACACGATGCGTGTACGAATCGAGACGGTCCACAACCTTCAGGGGAGTGGGCAGACGGTTAAAGTCCACATCCAACAACAGCGCGCTGAATGCAGTGTCGCAAATCATGTGGATGGGTTCAATAAGCGCGCAACTTGGAGGAGTGTCACCCGGCACGCACGAGCCACTGTCACGGATGAAGTCTGGAAGAGCTGCACGGAGTTCAAAATAAGAACTCGCATCGACGCAACGCCTTGTGAAAGAGCCAACGCAGAAGATCCCTGTGGGTTTGATCAGCGCCGAATTATCCCGGTAGCACAAGTAGCTACACGTGTAGTAGCTACACATGTAGTAGCTACACAGGTAGTAGCTACACAGGTAGTAGCTACACAGGTAGTAGCTACACGTGTAGTAGCTACACAGGTAGTAGCTACACATGTAGTAGCTACACAGGTAGTATCTACACAGGTAGTAGCTACACAGGTAGTAGCTACACAGGTAGTAGCTACACAGGTAGTAGTTACATGTGTAGTAGCTACACATGTAGTAGCTACACAGGTAGTAGCTACACAGGTAGTAGCTACAACATGTAGTAGCTACAACATGTAGTAGCTGTGTAGTAGCTACACAGGTAGTAGCTACACAAGTAGTAGCTACACATGTAGTAGCTACACATGTAGTAGCTACATATGCTACGGGCCCCGCACTTTCAAGGGCCCCGCGCTAAATGCTTTCAAGCTATCAATTCCGGTTCAGTGATTCTGCACTTGCTCTATTACTATAGTACTATACCGCCTTCAACTTTTACGAACGACTGGGTGTTTAAGGTTAGCGATCTGTCATATAAGCTGGCTGTATAGCAAATGAAAAAATACAATTATCTTACTATGCAAGTTAAACATTTATGCGTTTTAATATTTACGTGTTTTTATTTATTTATTTAGGGCTCCTTCATAACATCATACTACAGGCCCCGCACTAGCTTAGCCCGGCTCTGGGTTTGACCTTCCACGATGCTCAAAGGGTCCACCCTAAATCGCATCCGCTTGCACAAAGCATGGGCAGCTGATGCGGACACATACGCATGGAACAACAACAACAAACAAACAACAACAACAAATACCCAGTCTGCCACTGCGGTCGTCCGGAACAGAACGGACAACGTAAGAAAACCAAGCCATGTGTTTTTATATTGACAATATATGAGTACCAACACACGACGAACGCTGTTCCACGTATAACCTTTATAATTGCATGAGCGCGCTTGTTATTTTAAACCCCGGGAAGTTCCCGTTGACATGATGTAATTTATATGTGTGTGTGTGTAAAACTAAAAAAGCAGCCTTCCGTCAAGCCGGGCATGTTAGAGCTTGTTTCTGAGTCGCCGTGGATCTGAAGCTGCCAGATACGCACGCGTTCAAAGACGTTGCACCCCCCCCCCTTACCGCAACAGAATCGAGCGAAGCGATTCATTTATTGTAACAGCTTGGACTGGGTGGGGGGGGAGACGATGGGAGAGAATTCCACATTCGAACTAAAAACAATGAAAAAAAACGAAACCGTTTAAAAATTTGTACCAGGTAAGGCCCCACTGAACTATGTAGTTATTTTTCAGAAGCGACCTGGCCACAAATGATAGCTCAACAAAGTGGCTCGTCGTCGTGCAGACATCGCAGTCAATATTTGAAATGCGTGATGGTGATTCTAAATGTGGAGGGAAAAACCGGAGGACACGGAGAAAAAATCCACGCGACCACAGAGAGAGAGAGAGACACGCAAACTCCAAATATACAGCAGGTGCCAGGGTCGGGATCGAACCCAGGAATTCCTGCACACCAGGCGAGGTAGTGAACATCTCACCACGGGGAGAGAGAGAGAGACACGCAAACTCCAACTATACAATAGGTTTAAGGGTCGGGATCGAACCCAGGATCTCTTGCACACCAGGCGAGGTAGTGAACATCTCACCACGGGGAGAGAGAGAAGCGAGGTAGTGAACATCTCACCACGGGGAGAGAGAGAAGCGAGGTAGTGAACATCTCACCACGGGGAGAGAGAGAAGCGAGGTAGTGAACATCTCACCACGGCAGCGTCACATTCAGTGGAGCAATGCGAGCGAAGATGCAGACAGAGAAGTGAAGTGACTCGTTGCACGGTGAGTGTGGTGAGTGAGTGGGTGAGTGTGGTGAGTGAGTGAGCGGGTGAGTGTGGTGAGTGAGCAGGTGAATGTGGTGAGTGAGTGGGTGAGTGTGGTGAGTGAGTGTGGTGAGTGGGTGAGTGGGTGAGTGTGTGGTGAGTGAGTGGGTGAGTGTGGTGAGTGAGTGGGTGAGTGTGGTGAGTGTGGGTGAGTATGGTGAGTGAGTGGGTGAGTGTGGTGAGTGTGGTGAGTGAGTGTGGTGAGTGGGTGAGTGGGTGAGTGGTGGTGGTGAGTGGTGGTGATGTCACACATGTTGTGTTCTCTGTAGACACAGAGGGTGGTGGTGAGTGGTGGTCAGTGGTGAGTGGTGGTGGTGAGTGGTGGTGGTGTCACACGTGTTGTGTTCTCTGTAGACACAGAGGGTGGTGGTGGTGAGTGGTGGTGGTGAGGAGGTAGGGTGGTGGTGAGTGGTGGTGGTGAGGTAGGCGTTGGGGTGAACGTGGCGATGCGTAGGCGGGAGTGACCTTTTGTTGCAACCGACAACGACGGCCACTCTCTCACCAGACAGGGAAAGCCCCCTGCTCTATAAATACCGCGCCCCACACACACATACACACTCTCACTTAAACATACACACATACACACACTCTCACACATACACACACTCTCACACACATTCTCACTCACACATACACACACTCTCACTTAAACATACACACACTCTCACTTACACATACACACACTCTCACACATACACTCTCACTCACACATACACACACTCTCACACTTACACACATACACACACTCTCACTTACACACATACACACACTCTCACTTACACACATACACACACACTCACACACACTCTCACACACACATACACACATACACACACAAAGATCCCCCGTATAGCCTTAACAGACTGTAGGGGCAAGTGCTGTTAGCGAGCACCTATGAAGGCCAGAACGGTACACGAGGGGGTTGGGTGGCCAGCACCACGCCCGACCGCCTTTGTCTCCCCAGTGGCGATGTTTACACACCGCACCAGGTACTCATTTAAGGCTGAGTCGACCTAGGGGAGGCCCAAGACCGGTTCAGATAATCGTTACTGGTGTTAGCCGTGAGCGGGAATCGAACTCGGGTCGCCAGGTTCATAGCGCAGCGCGCTAACCACTACACCACCGCTCCCCACAACACACACACTCACTTACACACATACACACACTCTCACTTACACACATACACACACTCTCACTTACACACATACACACACACTCTCACTTACACACACTCTCACTCACACACACATACACACACTCTCACTTACACACACTCTCACACACACATACACACACTCTCACACATACACACACACTCACTTACACACTCTCACTGAAACATACAAAGATCCCCCGTATAGCCTGAACAGACTGTAGGGGCAAGTGCTGTTAGCGAGCACCTATGAAGGCCGGAACGGTACACGAGGGGGTGGGTGGCCAGCACCACGCCCGACCGCCTTTGTCTCCCTAGTGGCGATGTTTACACACCGCACCAGGTACTCATTTAAGGCTGAGTCGACCTAGGGGAGGCCCAGGACCGGTTCAGATAATCGTCACTGGTGTTAGCCGTGAGCGGGAATCGAACCCGGGTCGCCAGGTTCATAGCGCAGCGCGCTAACCGCTACACTACCGCTCCCCACCACTGAAACATACACAACAACAACAACCGCCATTCGCCACTAAGTGGCGGTGACGTCACCACGACGCTTGTGCCAGGCCAAGTGCACCTTGAGGCCACGTGAAGTGTCGAACGCCCGCTGACAGGAGGTCACGGGGCAGACCCAGGTGCCACGGGTCGACTGACTGAGATGTCCGAGATGACTGGCTGATGCACCACCTGTGCCCTCTACTGTACCAACTCGCTGTGCTTTAGCCACCCGGCGCTCCGCTCGTTGTTGTGAGCGTCGCTCCTCCGCCCTCCGTTGTTGTTGGAGGGCAACTGCCTCCAACTGCCCAGTAGCGTCCTTCACGAGCCTCCTCCACAGAGGCCGATCTTGACACCGCTGGTACCAGTCATCGGCAAGTCCACTCAGCTCCACGTCCTCCTGTACCACATCACTCCATCTCTTCTCCAGCCCGTGCCGCGCCCGTTTAGCCCCCTCGATCCGGCCGAACAAAAGCTGTTTAGGCATGCGGTGGCTGGGCATGCGGGCTACATGACCCAGCCAACGCAACCTTGCCTGCCGGAGAAGCTCACCGATTGGACTGTGACCAGATCTTTCGGAATCTGAGCTTCTCACACAATCCAGCCAGATTAACCCCGGGATGTAACGTAGGTAGGCCCTCCTGAATGTCTGTAACCGGCGCTGATGTTCCATTAGAGGGGTCCACGTTTCGCAAGCATAGATAAGTGAAGGGCATATATGACTGTGGCCGAGAAGACCCGGAGCTTTGTTTGGAGCGACAGGCCAGCTAGCTTCAACATAGCAGCGTTTCGTAGCCGGTAAAACAAAAATGCCGCTCGACTGATTCGGAGCGAGACATCCGCTGCCAAACCGGAGATGATGTCAGGGGAACTCCTTTCACTCCACAACTGCCCCATCACTCCTCGAAAGTTGAGCGAGTGTGGAATGTTTTGATGACACAAAGTACCCAGGTAGGTGCTTTGTTTCGGTGGAACTGATGATTTGACCCGACCCCTACGTGGCAAACTCCATGGAAGTCTCCATCTAGCAGTGGCTGATGAATGTTGGGGGGGGTCCCAGAATCAACCGCTACGGTTTTGGATGGACACACATTTAAAAAATATATAATTTAATTCGTCATTTGACATTCTAAACATGTCAACAAATATACGCTCTATCTTCAATACAAATGTATATTATCCGTGCGTTAGGTGAACTATTACAATCGCAGGATCGTGAGAGATGGTGGCAGCTCTGACGTGCCCTTGGTCCAGCAGTGTATTGAGCAAGGCTAACTTGCAACTGGTGATACACGCATCAGACAATCTGCTTTTACACATTCGGCAGTGGCACACGCCCGGAGGAGAATTTTCAATAACACGCTTAATTAACGCCAAGGCTACACAAGAGCACGCACACATATATAACACTGGTCAACGAAAAAAAACCATTTTTTTCTGGCCTGGACTTTTGCAGCTGTTTTAGACTAATTTCAGGGTGCTGATTCCAAATCTGATCACAGATTTTCTCTATCACATCTCATTTTTATGCTATCGGCATACTCCATTTTCATTGAATTAACCCGAAATTAACTCTGTCACTTATGATTGCAAGTTGTTGCGAGTCAGTGACTGCTTTAGCGTTAAAATATAGTGCTGTATTTTTAGGATAGTGTGTTTATAATATCATTTATGTAGATATCCACATTTATTTATTTTCTTCTACAGTTTTCATTGAAAATGCAATATTTTATATCTCAAAAACCTGACGTAATAGACAAAAACTGATGCCAGATTTGGAATCAGCACCCCAAAATTACCTTAAAACCGTTGGAATACCTTATGCCAGAAAAAGTGTGTTGACCAGTGTAATGTACACATTTTTAAATCCTTTATATTAAGTTCACTTGCTTGCTTGCTTACGACCGTGCAAATCTTTCGGTCGTTTTTTAACCCACTCCCGTGATCCAATCGAGCTGACATTTTGCGTGACAATGTATTTTCGTGAAAAATTGTTTCCAAAATTTTACACTTTTTAAGAAAAAATAAATAATATTTAATTACCAATTGCTTAATGGTGGCAGCCATTCATCTGACCCATAGGTGGCAGCCATCTCAAGCCAGATGACGAGAGGACTCTAGCCGCCACGCATATAAAGGATTTATAGTGAAAAACTTTGTTTTTACGGGTTAATTTTTATATATGTGATGAATGTGATGTGAAGAGGTGGGAATCCCCGACTGTGCTCGCCATGATGATGGTGGTCGTGGGGCGGTGCGTGGGTGGGTGGGCTGAGCGATTTGGTTCGCGCTGAGACTGCGTGGCTGTGACCACGGCCACTAATCTCGGACTGCTGCGACGAGGGCAACTTGCTGGTACTGATCAGAAGCAGCAGCAGCAACAGCAGCAGCCGCTGATTGTGTCACATTGAGGGTATTTTGCCCCTGACATTTAGGAATCGCCCTTTTCGTTTCTGGCTAACCCCAAACCTCCAACGCCAACCCTACGCTTACCGCACCAAAACAAAGATCCCCCCCCCACACACACCCACACACACACACCCGTTCTAGCCCTAATAACACTGTTTGGGGCAAATGCTGTTATCGAGCATCGCCTATATGAAGGCATGGCTGGTGCAGGTGGTTAGCGCACGGGACTTGCAACCCAGAAGGCCGTTGGTTCGATCTCCCACCGCGGCAGTTGAAACAATGGTACAGATTTCTGAAATAAAACTGTTTGGGGGCATAGCCTGTGAAGGCCGGCACGGCACACGAGGGGATTGGGTGGCCAGCACCGCGCCCGGCCGCCTTTGTCTCCCCAGTGGCGATGTTTGTTACGAATCGAACCGGGTACTCGTGCGAGACCGAGCGGACGTAGGGGAGGCCCAAATAATCGTCACCTGGTCTCGTTCGGAATATTTTAGGAGAGAAAAAAAACCACAACACTTTTAAAGGGCTTGCACATCCCGTGTTGTTGGTTTGCCTGTATGGTTTATCTGTCAGGGTCACACTGGTTCCGGACAGAGTTGGGACTGGACGGGCGCGGAGAAGTATGGCTCAAACGAACACCACGACGACATGGCAGGGGGGCCTTCATCCAGCAGTGGATTGGCAAAGAGTGGCCGTACTGTACGTAAACACAATTTTCGTAAATATTCTTACATTGAATATGCCGAATTCAATGAAAGACCAAATAATAATAATTTGATGCGTTAACAAAAACCGCGTAGACATTGTTGATGTAATTGAATGGGCCTCTATGTAAGCCCATGGATGGGTGGCTGTGTGAGTTTATGGGTTTTTGCGTAAATCTGCGAGTTTATATGTAAATATGTAAGTGCTTTGAAGAAGGGACATTGCCCGAAACGTCACCTGTGAAATAATTTTCCTTCCAAGGCCAGTGTCATTGACAATTGCGTTGCGTTATATGTAAATCTACATTGATTGGACTGAATCCATCAACTCACTACACTTGATAACCTGGTTTGATCACAGCTTAGTCTGTTATTCTAATTGATCTCTGTGGAAGTCTATGGGTCTCTGTGTAAGTCTGAGGGTCTTTTGTGTGCCAGTGGGTCTCTGTGTAAGTCTGTGGGTCTCTTCGTGAGTCAGTGGGTCTTTGTGAGTCTGTGGGTCTCTGTGTAAGTCTGTAGGTCTCCGTGTGAGTCAGTGGGTCTCCGTGTGAGTCAGTGGGTCTCCGTGTGAGTCAGTGGGTCTCCGCCTAAGTCTATGGGTCTCTGCGTAAGTCTGTGGGTCTCTGTAAGACTGTGGGTCTCTGTGTAAGTCTGTGGGTCTCTGTGTGAGTCTATGGGTTTCTGTGTAAGTCTGTGGGTCTCTGTGTAAGTCTGTGGGTCTCTGTGTAAGTCTATGGGTATCTGCATAAGTCTGTGGGTCTCTGCGTGAGTCTGTGGGTCTTTGCGTGAGTCTGTGGGTCTCTGCATGAGTCAGTGGGTCTTTGCGTGAGTCTGTGGGTCTCTGTGTGAGTCAGTGGGTCTCCGTGTGAGTCAGTGGGTCTCCGTGTGAGTCTTTGGGTTTCTAAGTCTGTGGGTCTCTGCGTAAGTCTTTGGGTCTCTGCGTAAGTCTGTGGGTCTCTGTGTCTCTGCGTAAGTCTGTGGGTCTCTGCGTCTCTGTGTCTCTGCGTAAGTCTCTGCGTCTCTGTGTCTTTGCGTAAGTCCATGTTAACTGGGCAGAGACCCTCAATTAGCCACAATCGAGAACCCGGTTTCTCCACGGTCGGGTCGCCCACCCACCACACCATCGCCCCGCATGTGACAACCGCACCACGGCAGGAGACATCACCGCACCACGGCAGGAGACATCACCGCACCACGGCAGGAGACATCACCGCACCACGGCAGGAGACATCACCGCACCACGGCAGGAGACATCACCGCACCACGGCAGGAGACATCACCGCACCACGGCAGGAGACATCACCGCACCACGGCAGGAGACATCACCGCACCACGGCAGGAGACATCACCGCACCACGGCAGGAGACATCACCGCACCACGGAAGGAGACATCACCGCACCACGGCAAAAGACATCACCGCACCACGGCAGGAGACATCACCGCACCACGGCAGGAGACATCACCGCAGCCCAAAGACCACAGATTGGCGTCGTCAACCTGTGCCACCAGAGCCGCAGGATGACGACCCCCTGGTCAATGCCAACGGGGTCGACGCAATTTTCAGAATCATAATCAGAATCTTCATTTTTTTCTGCAGAAATCTCCGTTGGGCTATGAAGCTCTTTCTTTCAGATTTGTCCAGTCAGGGGGCGGATCGGAAAGTTACAACTTCTGAGGTTTTTTTTTGGGTTAGGTCGCTTAAATATAAAAGTGTCGTTAAACACGCCAGCACCCGACACGGCCAATTAGTAAGGTTTGTCACGTAAACAGAACGTGCCAATTTGTTACGGGTACAGCACACCGCTTGTGTGTTGGAGAGTAAACCCACAACGTTTACAATTCGAGTACAGTGTTTCTCCAGTAATTACAACTAGCATCATCAGGCGACTGCCAGATTTGTTGAAACATCCTCCTGCTTCGTTCTCAAATAGAGGGATAGATGTGATGTCGTCACTTGTGAGCCGATCAGGTATGAAGGCTGGTGGCGGTTTAACGGCACTTTTCTAAATATGCGATATAACCCAAAAAAAAACCTCTATTATGGATATTATTGGTCGCGAAAGCCTACGTGTTAACAAAATTACAACAGTTTACACACGTAGCAGCAGGCTTTTGCGACCAATATTATGCATAATAAAGGTTTTCGGGTTGGATCGCGTAAGTATAAAGTGTCGTAAACCTCCACCACCCGACACAGCCAGTAAGGGTTGTCACGTAAACAGCGCGCCATTTAGTTACTAAATCAGCTCACCGGTGTGTTGGAGAGAATTTGGACTTACTTAACTGGCTTTGCCGGGTAGTGGAGGGTTTGACACATTTATACTAACCCAAAAAGCTTTATTAGAAAAGTTACAACTGCTTTATTTTTGTAAGATGCAGTGCTGCGCCTATGCGCGGTTTAAAAATTCCAACCACTTCCACTCTTTTAGATTTAAAGCTTTCGTGACTGCAGGGATTCATCTTCTTGGTTCTATAAAATTATAAAAATAAAACATTATTTTATTACTTCCCTTCTACGTGACTTTACCGAAAGAACCAAGAAGATCACTCCCACTCTCTCCAAAACCTCCACCTTTTGCTGAGCCTAGCTCCAAAAACCAACACCAACCAACCAACACCACCACCACCATCGTCCCGTAATCCCCTGCTCACAGAAAGAGCGTGCGATACCAGCCGAAGGCAAACCCCGGCAGCCGCAAGTGTGGGTGTCTTTATCTCTCGGCCGAATTTTTACCCCCCCCTGCCCGCCCTCTCCCCCTCTCAGCACTGAAATATCCACCGCAAAACCAGAGACCAACATCGCCACCCCCACCCCCCTCTGAGCCCCCCCCCCCCACCTCCTCCTGGGCTTTTTTGTTGTTGCTGCTACTGCTGCTGTTGTTGCCCTTTCAGTTGAATGTTGAAAATAGAAAAAAAAAGTTTTTTTTTTGGCTCGATTGCGCTTTGAGTCAGCGACTGTTGTTGTTGTTGTTGTTGCTGCTGCTGTTGCTGTTGTTGCTGTTGCTGTTGTTGTTGTTGCTGCTGCTATGCGCGTTGAACTTCGTACGCACCGTACGTACGTGGCCAACTGTGCCAATCGGAGGGTGTCTTTCTTAATCGAGATTCGTAAACGTTGCGGTTAGTTTTAACGGCAGGGTCGGTAAACACAACGTCTGGGTGAAAGGTGGGCCTAGGTTTTGGCCAATCTTGCCCATCGAACTCAACAAAGTTAAGTTAACATTTTTGAAATCGATTAGTCGTACAGCACCACGCGCTTCGTTAACAAATTGATAATTTCCTGCAATTTGTTCATGGACCCTCACCCCACACAGTGTTTACGAAGAGCTCTATAGCCACTACCACTGGGCACACGGTGGGAGGGGGTGGAGGGGTGGGCGTTCGGTGAGCAATGAACGTGAAGGTGAGCAGATGCTGGCTCAGAGGATTCATGATGGACGTGTGAGCGAGGCAATACTCTGGTGGCCACGGAGATCCAGTGAAGATTCTCCAGAATCCGGCGAAATTTTGAAATTGTGATCTGGGGTATGGAGACCTAACGGATTTATTTATTTTCATTTATTTTCTCTGCGATTATTTTTTCTTACGTGCAATTTTTTTCTCGTTATTATTCATTTTAAATTTTGCTTAGCAGCGGGTTTTTAATATGGAACCTTTATTGGCAGTATTAAAATATAACAATAGGTTTTACCCTTGCTGGCAATAACACAGGTGCCAAGATGTTAAAACACCATGCTCTGAAAATATATGACAATGCATATATTATCAGAGCATGTTGTTCGTTTGCATGTTCACCACAAGCACATGTGGTTAATGCAGACAGGATTCACTGAATAAGGATTCTGTCTGGTGTTTAAACATTTTGATACAACTGTTTTATTGCCAGAAAGGGTACAACCTATTGTTATGTTATAACGGAATTTTTTATTTTTTAATATGGAACCGGATAATTGATGTGCAGCGCTGTGGGATGCAATTGCATGAATGACTTTCGATTTAAAGCTTTCGTGACTGCAGGGATTCATCTTCTTGGTTCTTTCGGTAAAGTCACGTAGAAGGGAAATAATAAAATAATACAATTTTACCCGTAAAAACAAAGTTTTTCACTCTAAATCCTTTATATGCGTGGCGGCTAGAGTCCTCTCGTCCTCTGGCTTGAGATGGCTGCCACCTATGGGTCAGATGATTGTCTGCCAGCATTAAGCAATTGGTAATTAAATATTTTATAAAAATTCCCTAAACAGTGTAAAATTTTGGAGAACATTTTTCACGAAAATTAATTGTCTCGCACAACGAGTCTGTGTGGAAAATGTCAGCCCGATTGGATCACGGGAAGTGGGTTAAAAAACGACCGAAAGATTTGCACGGTCGTAAGCAAGCAAACAAGCGAACTTAATATAAAGGATTTAAAAAGAATACATAATAAAATACAATTATTATGTGTTAATGTTTAAATTTTATTATTTCCCTTCTACGTGACATTACCGAAAGAACCAAGAAGATGCGTGAATGCCACTATATAAAATTCAATTATTATTTTAATTCGGTATTTCAGTGACCACAATGGGTTTAAGTGACCCCTTTACTGGTGGCCACTCATTTCATCGGAATAAAAAAAACAATCGACTCAAGGGTGGCCGATTGGCTGAGAGGTCAGAGTTGCTAAGCCGGTCTCTGAGATGATGGTCCCAGCTTAGGCCACCAATGACTTCACAACAACAACAACCACCCCACTGAAATGTATTTTGCACTTTATTTGCATCAATTCCAGTACCGAGAATGAAAACTGTTGGTTTCTGCTCACGTGACATTTCCCTGTGCAGCAGGGCATGTGGGTAAGTGCTGCCCCCTAGTGTGTATACAAGTGGCCATGTGTGATCTCAGAAGCAGTTCTGTGAGATCTCCTTCCACGGACCGTTCTGCGAGCGGTTCGAATAATGGGCTCTCCGTCTTGTGACACGACGCGGATGAGTAGAAGCCGGTGAAAACCAGAAGTGGAAGAACAATATTCGACTCTTGAATTGAATCGCGACAATTCATCGAGTGTGGTTAGGCGTCATCATCCCCATTCCGGAATCGGCCTTTTACATCCACCATCGGGAACGTAAAACCAAACTGGTCTCTCATATTGCTAGAACACACAGAGGAGCAAATCCCATCGTCTGCTGCTGCTGGCGGATGGATTCCGTCGACACACTCACTGCACCCTCCGCTTGTGTACGTACGGTGCGAAAGAAGTTCAACATAAATAGACTCATAGTCACTCACCCACTCACAGTCACTCACCCACACACTCACCCACTCACTCACCTCACCGAACCCTCCGATGAGCACGCTTGGGTACGTACGGTGCGAAATAGGTTCAACATAAATAGACTCATAGTCACTCACCCACTCACAGTCACTCACCCACACACTCACCGCACCTTCCGGTTAGCACGGTTGACTACGTACGGTGCGAAAGAAGTTAAACATACATAGACTCATAGTCACTCACCCACTCAGTCACTCACCCACACACTCACCGCACCTTCCGATAGCACGGTTGGCTACGTACGATGCGAATGAAGTTCAATATACCTACGCACAAAGCACACGCAGCTGCTGCTGATCCACACAGCCCGCAAATAGTTCACACTTCTCCGTAGCGGTACTCTTGTTCATTCCAGTTTTATTTAAACGTTTTTATTTATTTAAAAAAAACCCGAAGACATTATTCGGTTTTGTCGGCTTTGCCGATCTCCCCCCTTAACCTCCCGATCAGCTTGCCTTCCCCCCCCACCGCCCCCCTCCCGTCCCCCTCGTTAATTGCCGTCGCAATTCTATTTACAATCGGCGAAGAACTCGTTAGCAAATGCTTAAGACGCCAACTAAGAACAACGGCAGATGCGATAAAGACAGCAGCAGCAGCAATAGTAATCACGACAACAATAATAATATATACAGTGACAAGAATGTCGACGGAATTGTCGGCACGAATTATTAACCATTGAAGTAAACGCGTTTTTTTTTTTATCATCAAACCCCGCCAAATGCTGCCTGGGGTTACGTTCTGGGGAGGCAAGTCGGGGCCTACAAGTGTCGGTGCCAACGGCGGAATGGTGCGACGTGATTTTAATCACCTTCCCAGCCGCGGCAAACGTCGACGTGGAGAGAGGGGTCATTCGAGCCGGTGTGTGGTTAATGCCACAGCGACCCAGCCATCTCTACAAAATGATTTAATTTGTACATGCATTCACCAAACACCTAGTTGCTTGCGGGAGAGTCAACTCAAGCCAACTCGAGCCCACTGGATTTGCCAGATTTCTAAAATTCAAGTTGAAAGGCAACCCGGGGTGATTTAAAACGCACGCAAAAAAGGTGTCGCCTCCATGATTTTTCCGGTGACTTGAATTATCGTGCGAGTTGGGCAGAGGTGGTTCCCAGAAATGCTTACGGGTAGTGACCGCATTGCTCACGATGTTAAATGTTAAAAATCAAACGTTCCCACCACCCACAACAATGTTTGATTGTCACAAGTTTGGCGACGAATTTCCCCTGCGCACGGATATTCTGACGGAGGGAATTGGGGCGCGGCTGCACGGCGAGACCGGCACGGAAAGTTCGAGCTCTTGGCCCAGCTCACGGCCCAACTCTTGACCCAATTCACAGCCAAACTCTCGGCCCAACTTAGGGCCCAACTCAACTCTCGAATGATCCATTGCCGAGCTCCCATCCGGGGTTAGGCCTCGTGGCTCTTTCTCACATTTCGCTTGCGTCGCAGCGTTTTCCGCGCCAATCGTCCAACCCGGAATTTCGCGCGTGGACGAATGTGACATTGCAATTTACGTTTCGTCGGAATTCAAAACATTGGAAATGCACTGCAAAAGAGTAACATTATAACAAGGGTACCATTTCACACGCAAGGAAAAACACAGTGAGCATTTGTACATACTCGCGCGCGCACGCACGCAGACACACACACAAATAAAATGCATCGTTACCTTTGACAAGATGTTCTCACCCGTCAAGGTTTATGGGCGACGTTAGGTGGGGGCAACTGTTAACAGTTGTTTGCAACAATTATTACGCTCATGTTGACATTGGCCGAGTGGCACAGGGCTCAGAGAGCTCGCGGTCGGGAAGTCGGACGTTCGAATCCTGGTTGAGGTCCGGCTCGACCCACCATCCCGCCGTGGTTGGTAAAACGAGTGGTACCAAATTTCGATTTAAAGCTTTCGTGACTGCAGGGATTCATCTTCTTGGTTCTTTCGGTAAAGTCACAGACCTGTTCTTCACCTGAGGACGGCTGCTTGCGTTGTGGCCGAAACGTCGTGAGAATTATTTTATTATGTTTTATTTTTATTATTTTATGATTTCCCTTCTACGTGACTTTACCGAAAGAACCAAGAAGACGAGTGGTACCACTTTGTGATTGTGCTAGGATAGACTAGCCTCCGGCATACCACTGTGGAATTTCCAACATTGGTTCAGGGCTACAAATGGACACGAGCGCTGATGCAACACTCGTTTGTTCGAGAAATGTTGAGCGATGTTTTAGGGAATGAGCTCTTCTGTGACCTGTGCTTTTGGTATGGAAAACTACGTGGGGAAATCAAACGAGACCCATACGACTGCTCTTCAAGACAAGTGTTAAATTAATGTTGGGTTATCGTACAAGCGTTTAAATACGGGTATTACTCTTACGTTTTTCTGCAACATAATCGCGTTCTACCTTTATCGAAAGACCGAGTATTCGATGCATACGGCAGCCTGCGACGTCTCGCGTAGACCTTAGCTCAAGGGCGCGGTTGGGCCACGGGCCGAGAGGCAAGGACTCAGCAGCGGTGGCCCACGGTAGCCAAACGTGGCCTTCCTGAACGGTTCAAAGATCGTGCTAAAAGAGGCGGCTCCCGGTGGCAAGTTCGGAGCGTTCAGCTGGCACTGCCGATATTCTGGGTTCATCCCAAGTTCTCAGGCGTAGCGAGTTGACGGACTGAGCCCCAGTCACCAATGGCTGCACATGATTAAAAAAAACCGTAACAATGAATTTGGTTTTGCACTTAGTTTGGCTAACTTCCAGCTGTGAGAATTAAACAAAGTATTGGTTCGACTGTCACCCGATGGACAATACTCTCAGAGGCCGCTTGAAAGGGACCTCAGTGGTAGCTCCGTGTTATCCGTTTCCACGGGCCGTTCTCCCACACGAGGGTGACCACTGGCTCCGCGAGAGACCTCAACGTATTCTACGTCTCGCGACGCGACACCGGATAGCACACCGTCGGGATAACACCGCGGGGGAAAAAGACGCAACAAAAACAATACGAATAAAAAAAACAACTCGCTGCACTCGAACAAAAACGGCCGACGGACGCGCGGCGAATTTTGCAGCAGACGCGCGAGCACAGCGTCATCTACAGGAGCGCTCGGTACAAAGCGGACGTTCGTAAAACCATTACGGTGGCCCGCGACCCACCTTCGCTCGAGGCGCGACGTAGCTCAGCGTTCTTCACTCATTATCAGAAGGGGGGGGGGAGGGAGGCGGCTCACTTTCGCCGATAAGACATCATCGGTGTGAGGGCCGCGACACGTTTAAAACCATTTGGGGCTTGACAGCACGATGATGATGGGGGAGGGGGTGGGGGTGTTTTCACACCGACAGAACCCAACGTGACCTAACGGCCCACTGAAGCCTCGCTTGAGTGACGACCTCGCGGGAGGAGTTGAATTTGATGCCGTGGTCATTAGCGCGCGGCGCTACGAACCCGCCGCCGCGGGCTGAGTTACATTCCCAGCCAGGGCCGACAAAGGTAGCGAGCGGTATATACGAACCGGTCCTCGGGTGCCCCCCTTCACCAACCGGCAGTAACCAGTATGGTGAAGTATGGTCAAGCAACCCCACCCCCCCGCCCCGCCTGATGCGGCGTGGGAAGCCCCTTCACCTGTCAACGGATTGACAAATGGGCTGCAAGTAATTTGAAAAAAATTACTTATGTTGGGCGAGGTGGGACTTTAGAATTTGCGTGAGTAAATGTTACGTGAAACCAGCAGTCAATCGGGCTTCGGGTACGGCAAAAGGGGGCAGAGCCAACGGCTCCCAAATGTGTTTTGTTCCTTTCCCCCCGTAGCAAATTACCCGTGCGACCGATTGCGTCGTACTCGATTTAACTCGTCGACCGACATCGCCGATTCATCACTGGGTCCCGTTGGGTCAAGCCGTGCGGGCGTAAAACGTCAATTGCAGCCGTCGCCCTCCAGCCAGACAAGTTGCCAAGTGGGCAAGATGTGCCAGTTGGGTTACCTGGCCCCGCCAGGCTGGTGGAGGGATACAGAGCTCATGTCGAGACCGCGCTAAGTCCTTTTTTAACGCAGCAAACGCGCCCCCCTGTAAAAAGTGCCACTTTAAGTGGAAAAAAACGTGACGCAAAACCCCCCACAAACAGTTCAATGATCGATAAAGTTTTGGCGACGCACGAGGCACTGCAACGCACAACACGGTGAGATGGCGGGACAAGTAACGGAGGGTACGCCGCTGCGTTACTGCTGCATCATCCCGCGTGCTGTGTCATTGCACCGCTCAGCTCAAGAAAGTAGTTCGTCACCGACCGCCGTAATAACGTCTCGAGGGCAGGCTCTCTAGAGATCTCTCTGGAGATGTTTTCTTCTGCCAGCAGTGTCGTGAGCACGCATTTGCAGGGCTTCACCTTTACCTTCTCTTAACCGAGAAACGAGGGCAAACTTTGCCGCACGGCGACTACTTAGGCCTGCCGCAGGTGCCTTACGATGTCTGCCGCTCAACGTCTTTGGGTGGTCCTTGGCCTCAGGTCGCCACCGTTCCGATGAAGAATCGTCACCAGAAACATCTCACCTTGCTCAACGGGTTATTCCCCGAGAAGGCGGTGGTAATTAAGGACAGTTCCGTGATTTCGGACGTACGTTTCGGACACTTTAAAGATGCGGGGCAATCATTAGTGTAATCACGTAGTGGCTTTTTTACACGGCCAAAGTGTGCGTCACCCAATCAGGCCTGAGACTAATTGCCTGTCCCCCCCTTTTCCTGATGGGAGTCGTAAAAATTGCGTGGTGCAGGCGGCCGGGTCCGGACCAACAAACCCTCTCACCCACGCCGAGACGCCGGTGCATTCCGCTTCGTGTCTGCGCGTCAAATCAGTGACATTCAATAAATAAGCCGTACTTTCTAATATCGGTCGACAATAAACCGTCAAAATTACCCCCGCGCGTGTTTTCCTCGGACGGTTTTGCCCGAGGATGCTGGGGGTGGCGAGTATTCTCGGTAAGCGTTTGCTCGCTTGCTGGGCAATGCCTTCCTCAAGCTGCGCATGGGGAGGACTGCAAGTCAAGCATGCGCAAGATTAAATAAAGATCGATGGCAACCCTACAAAAAAATTATCAAATGGTTCCAACTTTGTCGATAGACAGCCAGGCCTATTTTATCGTCTAGGCCAACAAGTCGTTCTCAATATTTCTGCAAATAATTTGCGCGGACCAACGTGCACCAATGACATATTGTTCATGTCTGCAACAGTTCAGCAGAGTGCATCCCACGGCCTTGCAGACCACCAGGGGTCCACGCACTATAGCTTGTATACCAACGTTGTTGGTCTGAGGCTTTGCTACGGAAATAATTTTAAGCCCATGGTCACATACCTTGAGTGAGTGCCACTGTAGCGTCCTCCATTGACATGGCTGGGTGATGCTTGCCATACTTTTTAAGGCAATTTAATGATGCGCGGTGCATTGTGACAGCCACGACTACAGCTACATCATGGTGCATTGTGGGAGATGGCACTACAGCGACATCATGGAGCACTGTGGCAGCTGCCGCTACAGCTACATCAGGATGCATTGTGGGAGATGGCACTGCAGCTGTATCATGGTGCGTTGTGCATTTGTGGGAACCAGCCACATCATGCCGATGGTGGTTGGTGCACGGTCGGGAAAATAACCTGTGGTGACGACACGCGATCAGGGAGATGGTTGGGCCGGAATTTAGAAAGTCAGTGGACGGATTCTTTCTATTTTTATTTACAGGCTTACAAACCGTCGCACTGCCCTGGATCGAAATCCCTTTCGCTAACAAAAAGTAATTACGCCATTGGAACCTCATTTGCCAGTAAAAAATATAATTGGTTTTTTATCCTTCTATCTGGCAACAAAACTGACACCTTTTTTACAAGGAGTCATGTTTACATAGACCACAATACCTGCAGTCATAATGCGCCTTTTGGCGTCATCTGGTCCAACCCATGTGAGACTAGGCTCTAAGGAAAGCTGTCTCGGGTGTGGACCAACCAACTTCAAGGACAGTGCACATTATCAGAGTTATGTTTTTTGTTTGCATTATGACTGCAGGTAGTGGTCTATGTAAACATGACTCCTTGTAAAAAAGGTGTCAGTTTTGTTGCCAGATAGAAGGGTAAAAAAACAAATATCAAAAAGTAATTAGTCGCCAACCCTCGTCGTTATTTTCGTTTGGGTCGCCTCCTACAACCCGACGCTCACCTCACTCCCCGCGGTCGCGCTCGACCGCGACAGGGCGCGCGTGCGGGGAGCCTTCCGAACTCCGCAGGGTTCGGCAACGTTTCATCGCGACACCGGCGTGAAGGCGGAGCCGGCCATTGAGAGAGTGGTGTGGGCGGGGCTGGGCGAGCGGCCGGGGTCGGTGTCCGGGGAGAGGGCGGCCAATGAGAGGGGAGCGTGAGCGGGACTGGGGGCGGGGCTGGGGGTGTCCACGTGTGGGGACGTGGCCGGGGACGGGCGGCAATCGCTGCTGCTGCAGGGCGACAGGCTGGAGGAAGAACAGAGGCAAAGCGATGAGCGCGAGCGACGCGCGATCACCCTCCCTCACCTCGCGACACGGTTCAGGACACACGGCGGTTCATAATGCACGGTGATTTGACGGTACAGCGTTTCATGCGAGACGCACGTTACGAAAATCGCGCGATGAACACGAATTCACGACCGCACGTGATTCATGGCGCACGAAACACGACGCGATAACCGATACACGTCATAGGTGGTACTAAGAGAACCTGCCCCTGCAGTTAACAAAGGCTACAAGAAGGACCCGTGTGTGTGTGTGTGAGCGTGCAAGTGAACTCTGACCTCTGGTTGAGCATGCTCGATGTGAAGTTGAACTCCAAGTCGCCGGTACCAAGAAAAAGGCGCTTGGAGGTGTGGTCCACTTCAAAGTCGGCTGTGGAACAACACACAGGTGCACGGAACAGCTCACAGGTGCGCGGAACAATGCACATGTGCGTGGAACAGCTCACAGGTGCGAGGAACAATGTGCGTGGAACAGCTCACAGGTGCGTGGAACAGCTCACAGGGTGCACGGAGCAACTCACAGAGTGCACGGAACAACTCACAGGGTGCACGGAACAACTCACAGGGTGCACGGAACAACTCACAGGGTGCACGGTACAACTCACAGGGTGCACAGAACAACTCACAGGGTGCATGGTACAACTCACAGGGTGCACGGAACAACTCACAGAGTGCACGGAACAACTCACAGGTTGCACGGAACAACTCACAGGTGCACGGAGCAACGCACAGAGTGCACGGAACAACTCACAGGGTGCACGGAACAACTCACAGGGTGCACGGAACAACTCACAGGGTGCACGGAACAACTCACAAGGTGCACGGAACAACTCACAGGTGCGCGGAACAACTCACAGGGTGCACGGAACAACTCACAAGTGCGCGGAACAACTCACAGGGTGCACGGAACAACGCACAGGGTGCACGGAACAACTCACAGAGTGCACGGAACAACTCACAGAGTGCACGGAACAACTCACAGGGTGCACGGTACAACCCAGCATCCTCCACCATCCACACTATGAGAGAAGAGCCCTTAGGCTACAGAGAGCCGATTAAGACTTTCCAGTTGCCGCTCGAAGCCGAACATTTTTTCCCCAACAGACAGCCGGGCGGCGGTGGTTTGTTGTGGTGCACGTGGCCGCCTGCGATCCAGCGCAGATGTTGTTGTGAAACTCCCTGTGGGCATCGAGGGGGCGTGTCGCCAGAAGGCAGTACAGCATGTGGCCTAATCGCCATCCGCTCCCATTTGTAAGGGGATAGAGTGGCTTGCACCCTGGCGCGAGTCGTGGGGTTTTTTTCCGGGTGCTCCGATTTTCTCACACACTTGTACAATAAACACGACTCGTCGTTAATCGGCTGAAAACATCTTGAAATAAAAAAAAACCCCAACGCAGGATCCGCGTGAACACGAGTCATACGACTCAAGTGTGGCTTTCCTGAATATCTAAGCAAGTAATTTGAAAAAGTAAATTAATAGAAGCCAAGCAGTTAAATAAGAAGCATGCTGCATACTGTCACCGTCTCTCCGTATCTCACCGCACTTCTGCATTTCTCCGTTTGTGCGCACTCCTGGCACCTCTCCGACTCCTCGTTTCTTGTTTTCTGTGCCCGAATGCTTTTGTCGACATCTTTCCTCTCTCTCTCTCTCCGTGTCTCTGGGCCTCTATTCTCTGTATTTGAATGCTCAATGCCCTCCCGTGTCGCTCCGTGTCCACCTCACTGTTTAAACGTCTCTCGCGGCGTCTCTTGTGTCTAATCGCTCCACGTCTCTCTACGTGCGCTGCCTCCTTAACTCTGTGTCATCCTTGTATTTCTCTCCGCGTTTTTCTGTCGACAGGAGGCACTGCGTCATGCGCTTTTCAGATGCACTTCTGCGGCCATCTGGAACGCTCTTCCTTCCGAAATGAAGGAAACCGCTTGAGCTATGCACTTTTAAATCTAGATTGAAAACTCATTTCTTCAGAACTGCTTTTTGTGTTTAGTTTGTTGTCCTCCGATTAGCACGGTTGGCTACGTACGGTGCGAAAGAAGTTCAACATGCCTACATACATACATAGATGACAACAGCATGCCATGTGTGGAAGTACTCAACGGGGCTCACCTTTCCTCTTGAGCGATCCGAGGGTGCTGGGGCGAATGTGGCTGATGGGACTTGCACTTCGTTTTCTGTTAAGAAACGAATAAGGCGCACACACACGCACGAGCGCAAGACCGCACGCACGCACTAGTAAGGCGTTTTATCGATTGCAGCGATAGAATGAGCTGAACCCCTCAAAACCAAGATGAAAACTCGCAACACAAACCCCTGAGTCATGGTAAACAAAGGCGTAGGTAGCAGAGGAATAAACTCGTCCTTTTGCATCGTGGGCTCAGGGTGGAGCAGTGGTGCAGCGGCCAGTGCGCTGAGCTATGAACCCGGCACACATCAGTTCGATTCCCGGCCATGGCTAACACCAGTGGCGAGTTATACCCAAACCCGTCCATGGCGCCTCCGTCCATTTTGACTAATCCGTACTGACCAGCGTGGTGCAGTATGGTCTAATAGAGCAAGACGATTAATTAACTGAGAAAAATTTGAACTGGACACTTTTTGTTATGGCACTATTACTCTGGTCCATTTAAATATGACGGCCACCCTGACTTCCTGCATCCCGAAAGCGAAAAACTCCCTAAGAACCAAGCACAAAGTGACGAGGCCGATGATCAGATGACCTCACCAAGCCCCGTCCATCACCTCCCGTACAGCGTCACACGTGGGAGCAGAGGCGAGACCTTTTTTGCCCCCACTCTCTTTTCATGTGACGCGATTAGTCGAGCAATCAAACACACTAATTTGGCAGTCATCGATTATCTAAACATTCAGGTATCCCAGGTCTGCAAACAACTGGCCCTCGACCTACAAGCGCGGAAAGGCAGATTGATGGGGGAAAAAAAAAGGGGTGGCTAATGAATGACGTACGTATGTATGTACGTTGAACTTCTGTCGCACCGTACGTAGCCAACCGTGCTAATCGGAGGTGCGATGAAATGAATCGTGGCCATGAAGGAGGGTGAGGCGAGGAGGAGTGGCGTTGGCTGCTTACGTGGTGAAGCGGCGAGGACTCGGAGCCCTGCTGGGGCTGACGGGCGCTTGCAGTGACGGCGAGTACAGTTGCTGGGAACACAGGCAGCGGGCGCTTTGCTCAGACGACACCCGCGACCATCACAAATGTTTCAAACACCCCAGTCAAAGTTCTCCGACACCCGCGCTCAACGTTGACGTTTAACGCTTTCACACTCAGCCATAACGAGTTGTCTATGCCGTTCGCCTGTAACGGGGCTTGTCTATAGCCGTACGTCTGTAAAGAAGATTCAATTCATTCTTCACCTCGGGACGGCTGCTTGCGTTGTGGCCGAAACGTCGTGAGAATTATTTTATTATGTTTTCTTTTTATTATTTTATTACTTCCCTTCTACGTGACTTTACCGAAAGAACCAAGAAGATGAATCCCTGCAGTCACGAAAGCTTTAAATCGAAATTCAACGTGTAACGTGAACCTGCGTTGCTATTAGGGGACTTAACCTGTTTAAAAATTGGCCGAATTGGTCAAAGAGTTGCCGAAATCGCAGAGATCAAAATTCAGAGCAAAAAGGATTTATTTTATTTTATATTTGCCAAACATTTTGGCCGGAGAGATAACCCCGTTGGCTTCCATACTGCGAATGAAATACTTCCACGACAAAACGCAGGTTGAAAAGTGTAACATCACCCTTGCATGTATGCACGGTTTTTTACAAATTGTTTTGGTGTAGACTTAATTATAAAATCGATTCATCGCTCAGCACTAACGTGATTTGGAATGCTTCGTTATAGTTTTCTGCAATTCATTTATGTTCTTTGAGCAATTTGTAAATCTATATATTATTTATATTAATTTATAACTTGCTTAACTTTTCTCTATCTTGCTCTGATACCGTTTTTTGTTGTATTTTTGTTGTTGATGTAACTTGCTGACCCATCCCTACTGGACACCTGTGATTAGCACGGTTGGCTACGTACGGTGCGAAAGAAGTTCAACATACACACATATGTACGTCGGTGAAAACGAGCATTGTAAAGCTCATCAGAGTCCTCCAGTCTAAATAAAGATTCTGATTTGCAGGCCCCACAGTGTTTAGGTACGACTCTAGCCGCAAACACTCGGTTTACCCAGTAGGCGTTCGGTTAGCAATGAACGTGAACGTGGTCGAACGGCTCAGAGGAGCCATACTGGCTGTGTGAGATATGATAATCTGGTACCACGAAAGATCATGGGTTTGAATCCGGGTTTTGGTGGCTCGTGATTAAACCAGGCTGTCAGGAGTTTTGAGTCTACAGTCTCAGCCCAGTCACCAATGACCGCACAATAAACCGTGACCACTTGATGTGAGACCTACGCTTCATTTGCCAAAGCAAGATTTTCTCCCAATAGGTGTAGATTTTAATTCATCACCCACGGCCTCACCTTGCCAATGCCACGGGTGGGTGACGGAGATGGCGATAGCGGGAAAAAGTCCGACCTGCGCTGGGTGATGGTTTTTTCCAGCTCGGGCAACGCTTCACTCTGAGCGGCAAAACACACGGGGCAATACGCTCAGCCACTCCCGAGCGATTTACCAAGTGACGCTGTGATCTCCCCACTATTGAGACGCTCCAGAAAGTTAAGACGCACATCCAAAACATATGCACCGTGTCAATAAAGTAACACAAGTCTGGTGACACACAGACACACACCGCACCCCCACCTCAAGTTTTGTTTTGAATATGGCGTGAAAAAAGTTTGCCTTCTAAAACAAAGAATATAACCTCTGCACAGTGGTTACATTATGGTGGCATTGAACAGGACAACCACCGTTTACTGCTAAGCCGGCCGCAAGTAATATCTCCTCATACGCGTGCCGGGTTTTCTCCGGACAATCCCGTTTCCTCCCACATGCCAAACAACCGTTAATGAAATTAGCCAAACTTCCCAACGAAAGACTTTCCTCAAAATAAGTCTTGAGACTTGGCGAGGGCTTGCACTGGCATCTTCTGGTGACCTCGCGGTCACCGACCTGCTTAGCTTTCCCGAGATCTCGCGCGAGTTTGTAGCAATCAGGGTGAGAATTGTTCACGGGAAATTCGTATTTTGTGTTTCCGTTTGCTTTTGTTCCGCACCAGGGAGAGATCTTCGCACGACTGGCTGATGTGCAGGGCGGCCCTGGTCTCCCTCTCATGTGCTGTTTCACGATTTATCAAGTCTGCTCCCTCCTCCTGTTCATGCGCACACGCACGCAAAAAAATCACCGTTAGAGTGGCTCACTCGCCGCTCGAGTATCAGCGGTGCCACTCATCTCTGCATTGCCGGCTCCCAGCTGGCGGTAGAAATATCCTCACCTGTTTAATCTGGTTGACACGACTGCTCATTACTCTGCCAGGTGACGGTGGCGTTGCCTGCAAATGCAAACGACAAACAAAGTGTAAGTCAACAACAACGGTGGAAAAACAAAACAGACTAAGGGGTTGGTTTCGGATTTAGTTTTCTCGTAGACCAGGGGTGGGGAACCTTGTTTCTGCCAAGGGCCATTTGGATATTTATAACATCATTCGCGGGCCATACAAAATTATCAACTTAAAAATTAGCCCGTTATATTTGGTCAAACATTTAATTAACTCACCCCTAATGCGATGGCTGGAACTGCTTCTCTTTGGCGAGGCGTGTGATGTTAGCTGGTATTGATGATGTTGCTACCGCAACTGCTTTTCCAGGTTTGCTCCTAGATTTATTAAATTTTGAGTCCCGCCTGCGGTTGCCTTGGTATGGCCAGACCAAATGATTTCGCGGGCCTTATACGGCCCGCCGGCCTGACATTCCCCACCCATGTCGTAGACTATGAACCCAGCAATTGTAGTTTGATTTCCTGGCATAACGAGTGTACGTGGCAAATGATATCTGTACGATCAAACAACTCTCATGAACGACAAGGTATTTTTTTCTTTAGGCCCAACATTGGATTTTATTTCATATTTTTTTATTTAAATGTCAGAAATGTTTACGACGTTAATTTTTTATGCACCGGTGTGAAGGAGGGGGGCTCTGCCTGTGACGATGGAGACAGTCTAAACACAAGTCTTCACTCGGGGTCTCACCGTTCCCTGTCGGCTCAGGAAGCCGCCGCTGTTTCTCCGGCTCTTTCCGTCGCTCGCCAGAGACAGTGGGCTCCCTTCTCTGCTGCGGAGAGGAGACGCGGGCATGAGCAAATAACAAAAACTGCCGTTCATCACTAAGTGGCGGGGGCGTCGCTTGGTGCACTTTGAGGCCACGGTGGACACGGAGGCCACGTGAAGTGTCGAAGGCCCGCTGGCAAGGAGGTCACGGAACAAACCCCGGTGCCTTGGGTTGACCGAGATGACTGGCAGATGAGCACACACACAAGCACGCCCGTGCTCACACACTGAAGCAAGCAAAATCATCACCATCGCTTGCATTTTTTTTCATTATCAAAACTATAATTGAACAGCCATCAAGTTCATCTTGTTGGACGAGGGCCTCCCAATGTCACGGTGGGTCATGGGGTTGAAGAAGTGGAAGTGGGGGGGGTGCCCTGGCCAATCCATTGCCGTGGCAATGGATTGGGGGGTGGGGGGGTGGAACTAACGTGATCAGATGCATGGCGATGCGGCTGCCCCCAACCACTGCATCACCGCTCCCACGAATTAGACACGTGTTTTTGTTGCTGCTGCTGCTGTTGTTGTTGTTGTATGCGTTACTTGTACCCGCACGTGCCTCGCTTACTCGAGCGAGGCAGCAAAAAAAAAGTAATTCCGTCTTCACTTTCGTGATTTTAACCGGCCTCGTCAATTCCACATTCCTTGCGACTGGGGTCACGTCCACCCACGTCGCCAAACTTTAACATCCCGTGTCTTGCTGGTTCTCGTCCTGGGCACGCTCTTGCAAACTCCACGTTAGCGTACCGGGACCAAGTACGTCTACAAAACGTGTCACGACACAGCGATTAGGTATCGATAACGTTATGGTCTCATCACCGCGCTGTTGGTAAACTCCACGTTAGCATGTCGGGAGCAAGTACATCTCAAATCAAAGAGGTTTTTGTTTTTTTTACCCGATGTTGTTGATCATTGGCGCGCTGTTGTATCGCCTCAATGCAGCCCCGTCCCCGAGGTCGGGATCCCCGGCGTCGCCTGGAGACTCCACCGCCTCCACCTCCATCTCCCCCGGCCGGGACATTCAAGCCGAGCCCGGCCACACTCCCCTACACTAGGCCCCAACACGGGCCTCAAGCCACATTTGCAAATTGAGTGTGAAAAATAAATCTTCTTAAAAAAATGTTTTTATTATTATTATTTTAATAATCTGCGAATTGTTGCAAACGATGTTAAATTCTCGCCGCGGCTGTGCGCAGTCAATCGCTGGGGTGGGCACGATAACCGGAGGATTCCATTTGAATGGGGTTCCACCAAGGCGCCGTTGGGCCGATGCGTGAATTAAAAAACGCGGGGTCGGTTCCGCGACGTTTGTCCAAACGCCAACCCGTAATTCGCGCGGTTCAATTTTTTTATTTGTCCAACAATTGGTGGCAGTAGGTGGGGGGGTAAGTTAAAATCTTACATTTGTTTACCAATACATACGTGACTATAAACTAAACATAGACGCAATGTGTTAATTCACCTTCACAATGAATACATACACGATGAAACCGATCGTATTTGCTTATGATTAATTAAAAATCGAGTGTACATCATTTATCTCCAATAAATACCCCCCCTGGATTGGTGGATGTTCACTTGGACGAGTCCAACTTTCCCGCGCAAATCCGGATCCGCCCACGTGTTCATTCGACTCGGCGCGCCGTGGGTGGATGCCCCGAGACTCCGAATCGACTCCACTTCGAGGCGTTTTGAACGTTGTACAAACGTTGTAAAAACGTTGCGCACGGACGTTGCTTCCCCGGGCCTTCTGGGGCGAGCAAGTTCCCCGCGTTCGGCGTTCGCCGCGCTATGTCGAGAATGGGCATCGCGCCGGAGAGGCAGTGGGTCATGGTTCTACCCGGTACCCGTTTAGTTTTGTTTGTTTTGGTTTTACGCAAAGTGCATTCGTTGCACTTCATTCGCCGTCTCGTTGTGCTGTGATGAAAGGCCATTGCCCGAAACATCGCCCTATTATATTTGCTAGTTAATGCCACACACACGTGTTCAATAGGCGAAACAAGTTTGTCTATTGAATACAAGTCGCATATTACAAATGTTCCCTTTAATGCCACACACTGGTCGGTGTTCGTTATGAATTTGTTGAGGTGCTTTATAATCTCATTGATATCTTTGTGCGCAGATGGCCCTTAAAGTCCAACTGTCAGTGGGAAAGTCATTGCGAGTGCATTGAATTACGTCCACGGCCGCTTTAATTCACCCATTGATTCGGCTCATGAAGAATTGAACTGCGTATCGTCATTTTCAGCTCGCCGGTGTGCTAAAATAGTAACTTAATTGGCACGTTTTGTTTACTTATTGCCTGTGTCGGGTGGTGGTTGGTTAACGACATTTAGATGTACGCGATCTAACCCGACGAAACACAACTTTCATATTCTTTGTTTTTTTCGGTAAAGTCACGTATAAAAATAAAATAATAAATTAAATAATAGCATACGACGTTTCGATTGCAACACAAGCAATCATCATCAGGTATAATGAAATATAATGAAATAGCGACATAGAATATAACCAGAAAACTATAGACAGACATATAAGCAGACATATCACAAAGATACATGTTGCTTATATGTCTGTCTATAGTTTTCTGGTTATATTCTATGTCGCTATTTCATTATATTTCATTATACCTGATATCTGTCTGCTTATATGTCTGTCTATAGTTTTCTGGTTATATTCTATGTCGCTATTTCATTATATTTCATTATACCTGATGATGATTGCTTGTGTTGCAATCGAAACGTCGTATGCTATTATTTAAATTTATTATTTTATTTTTATACGTGACTTTACCGAAAAAAACAGAATAATTCCTGCAGTCACGAAAGCTCCAAAATTAAGATTACAACTTTCATAATGAACCACATTCAGATAAGCCCCTCCCCCCTTAACTTGTATTTAAGGGCTTGTCTCTTGGAATTTTGCCTCACTTGATGCAGTAAATTTAGCTGTGACGGCCCCACCTGATGATGGAGACTTGTGTTGCCATCCGAAACGTCGTGATTTATTATTTTATTTCTATTATTACTTCTTTTAATTTAAAATTTATTTTTACCTACGTGACTTTACCGAAAAAACCTAAGAGTATGAATCCTTGCAGTCACGAAAGCTTCAAATACAGAATTTCATAAGGAATAAAAAGTTGGCCTAGAAAGCCTACGCGTTAAAGTGTACCGGTGACCGATTCGTGCATTCAAAAGGAGACTTCATTTTGTGACTTTGTAGGCGACAATTATCTTACCTACGCCTTGTTTGATCTCCCTGCCTATTGCACCCCATTCCCACGTCCCCCCCAATCCCGCTCAATGCAAGCCACGCGTTCTCTCGCTCTGCTGTATTTCATTCATAGCCCCCCTTTGAACCTGCGCGATTTTAAAAGGCAAAGAGATTCAACACGTAGGCCTTCGCAACCAATTTGGGTTCATCCAAAAAAAAAACTCTAATCCAAAAACCTGTATTATATACTTTGTGTTTAGTTAATTATCGATAGGTCCCGTATCTTGGAAGGTCGCATTTCAAGAATCGCATGGAAACGATGTTCAAGGCGCAGGCCCTGCAATTTCCCGCTCGCGCCACTGTTGGCGGAAGCCTCCTCCCACTAGAGGGAGCTCCCACAGTTACATTTCCCACCACTTCCACGGCTGACCGGCCGTCTTGGAAGAGGTGGGAGATCCCACACTTTTCCCCCACCGCATCCGATCTGCTTGAAACATTGCCCACAATTATTTTATTTTGAAATGGAGTGTAACTTGCTGGCCTGCTCCTGCTTCGTTTATCTGCTAACACGAGCTTCGATTGTCCCATGGGATTCCTCCGACAATCTAAATGACGATTCTGATTCTGGAATCGAACACGCGCTCTAAAGTCCAGTGTGTTAACCATTGCACCACGGCACAGCATGATGTAAGCAATGCAAATAAATAATTATTATTCTTTGGTTCTTTCGGTAAAGTCACGTATAAAGATCAAATAATAAATTAAATAATAGCATACGACGTTTCGATTGCAACACAAGCAATCATCATCAGGTATAATGAAATAGCGACATAAAATCTGACCAGAAAACTATAGACGGACATATAAGCAGACAGATATCACCAAGATACATAGAGAGAGCAACACAGGTACAGAGAGGGGTGATCGTCTCTGTGGGGTGGCCTTAAATAGACAGAATAATTCCTGCAGTCACGATAGCTCCAAAATTAAGATTCAATAATTATTCTCACCAAGCATTCGGGTACTTAAAAAAAATGTGAACACTTGCATGAGACTATCGTTTTTAATGGAAAAAAGAACGGATAATACACTGTAACATGATAACAAATGTATGTTAATAGCTTCAAAAAGTCTCCACTGAAAGCCTGAAATCTTCTCCAGGTGGTCTCCAGAGCTCGGAGGCCAATTTCTCGTGGTATTTTTGCAAATTCTTAGAAGTGTGAACATTTTTTTGGAGCACTCTCCCTGTATTATCACCAGCACTGGAGAGGCGAATGTTTGGTACTAGTCAGACCACCCCCTCGTGTGCCGTGCCGGCCTTTATAGGTGCTCGCGAACAGCACTTGCCCCAACAGTCTGTTCAGGCTGTACGGGGATCTTTGTCTTATATGTGGCTGTGTTTTACTCTAGAATGGTTCCTAAAGGAAGCTGAGAATTCCGACTGCGACCCACATTTCATCAAACTCCCGCACCCCAAAACAGGTTTGAATTCTGCAATGGCGTCAACAAGTGCATTGCAATTGCTCTTCACATTTAGCCTTATTCGTTTACACATTGACACAATAGTCAACATGCATCTGTTTGATTGTATAACTTAGTTGTAATTGTACTTTGGTGAGTGAATATAATCTACCCGTGCCGACCTTGAATGACTGTAAATTTATTATCGATCAACATTCATGTCTATTTCCCATCTGACACATCAGTTTTTTTTCCTTCCAAATTCCTACTTGCTTCATTGCTGCACTTAAATTTAATTTGTTTTGGTTTTTGTCAGTTTTGTGACCCAGATTGCCGTTGCAAATGAGACTCATCCTGTGGTCTTGAGCTCTCACCTGGATAAACAAAAATACACTTCAAGTTTCAAGTTTCATTTATTAGGTATAGCCCTGTGAGCCATTCGGCTCTTGAATCGGGTGCAACCGTAACAAACAAAAAACATGAACAAAAAACATCTTAAAGTGACTATGTGCAAACAGAAAATCCAAGAAAAGACAGCAAAATATTGCAGAAAAAATCACCGTACACCAACCCTGTGCAAAAATCCCAGTGGGATGCAAGTCAAACAACAACAACAACCACAAGACAACTTAGATTTAGGCCATCAGTCTAACTCTGTACTACAACAAACAAACATGGCCAAACCGAAAAACTTTTCAAAAATCACCAAAATAAAGCCATAAAAGCAATGAAACAGTGACAGTCACAGATTATGAGCCGGCTAGTGTCTATGCAGGCAGTTCATAATGTCAGAGGTACCAAACTCGCATCGCTCATAACCTCCCTCGCCCCCATTCGGTTTTGAATCGAGGAATTAGTCGTTGCAGGAATAAACCGAATTCTCAAGTCTAGTGAGCTGGTGGTCTAAGCCTTGGTTACGAATGACTGCACACACACAAAATCCATGCCGTGTTAAATTTAGCGTGTTACATAATTCAGATTATTCCAGCTTTGAGAATTAATAACGTAGGATTTGTATAACACTGGCTTCTAGTGGTCTAACAATGCAGTTATTAATTACATGATGTATATGTTTTACGTAGTTCCCCGCCGATTAATTTCAGTAATACACGGCGCCGTGTCAATAGTCCAAGAATCCACAATCGGAAGTCTCGCAGAGAAGTGTGCCCTGTGTGTAAGAGAACAGCCGACCGTAGTTATGTATTTTTTTACAGGATCCTTGCAAGTGAAGTTTGTAGACAGTAGGGGGTGCACTTTCCCCACACACACTACGCTGAGAGATTGTTGCATGGAAGTCAAACTGACCATTTGAGAGCTTCGATGTCGGCTAATACAATACAATTTTCATTTTTATAGCGTGTAAAGGTGACCGGGCGCTTCATAGAAAACAAAGTATTCAACAACAATTAAAGCATTAATCTGCATGCGCATGAAGTCCTGACTTGAACCGGTGCGGGTTCCGAACTGCGTGGAATTCAAGTGGAAGAGAACTCGAGGCACCTGGGGTTCAAAAGCCGAGAATGAGCGACCTACCGTGCAGTGCAAAACTAAATTTAATACGATCGGTTACAATGGCACCTCCGATTAGCACGGTTGGCTACGTACGCTGCGAAAGCAGTTGAGCATAAATACATACATGCGATCACGCGTGCAGTCGTTGCTGACCGAGTCTGACACCTTCAACTCACCGCACTTGGGAACCGGTTTAATCACTGGTGGCTGAACCCGGATTCGAACCCAGCTTCTCAGCAGTGCCGGGCTCGGTGACCTCTGACCTCTGAGCACACCGGGTCAGCACGATGAATCGCGATTCGTAATCTCGAATCCTGCGCGTGAACACTCGACGTTTCTCGGTCGGTGTGTGTTGAATCTAATGGCATCGTCTGATCTCTTGCAGCCACTAGTGGCCGCTACATTCACCGCAGTGTTTAACAATGCACGTGCACGTTTCTGCAACACTCTTTCAACGGTGCCTCTGACCTCGGATTTTTTGTTTACTCATTAATTCATGCGAACTACAGCACTTGAGCAAGTGGCTAGGTGAATAATTCATGCATCCTTAACGGGGATATTCCGTCGCGTATTCTTGACACAACTGAAACAACTTGGCAGAGGAATGTGCGCCGAGAGCGATTATTGAAGACAGGCTGGGATACAAAAAAAAAGAAAAGAGATTGCATTTAAAAATGAACGAGAGCAGGTTGAGGAGCGCTTTTGTAAAGTTGATATCGCCTATGAAAAGTTCCTGAAATAGAACGTGTTTAATCAATCAAAGTCGACTACCCGCCTAGCAGGCCGTGAGGGATAATTTGACCAAATTTTATACATTCTACAGTAGCGAAGAAATACCAATGCACGTTGCCGAATATGATGATTTCTTTTTACTTCTTAAAATAGTTTTGTCTCGCTTGCAAGGTTGGCCAGTGTGTCGATACTACAGGAGTGCGACCATACTATGGACAGAATCGCAAACCCACACAGACACTTAGGGACCCATACAGACAAAGACACAGTAAAGACAAGTCACAGTAGTACGACTACGGCCAGGCAACTCAAACTATGGACCCTACAGCAAACCACTGTCGTCTGCGCTCATCCAACGGATTAGGAACAGCAACAACTACACAAACCCTGTCTCTCCTGAATCCCTCTTGTGGCTAGCAGCAGACCTCGACATTGGCATTTAGCTCGTGAATACATTGCTGCCATCATACGCAAGAATGGGGTGCCATGGTGGCTAGGAGATGTTAACTACCTCACCTGGTATACAGGAGGTCGTGGGTTCGATCCCGACCCTAGCGCCTGCTGCTGTATATTTGGATTGAAGCTTTCGTGACTGCAGGAATCCATACTCTTTGGTTCTTTCTACCTATGTATATTTGGTGTTTGCGTGTTCCCCCCGTGGTCGCGTGGATTTTCCTTTGGGTCCTCCGGTTTTTCCCTCCACATTTAGAAACATGCCTTTAGAGTATTTGGCTGCTATACAATTGCACATGATAAGCCACTTCGTTGAGCTATCATTTATCGCCAGGTCACTTCTGAAAAAGAGCTGTATAGCTCAGTGGGCCTTACCTGATAAAATGAAAACATAGTTTAGATAGAATCGGCACGTATACTGGTCGGCGTGGGTTGAAACAACAGCGGGTTTTGTTTCACTGCCCTCTGCTGCCCACAACGCCTCCATTGCCTTCTGTAGATGGTGGTCACACATCCCAGCACTCATCCCAGGCGCCAAACCCTGCTCGTTTTGCGAGATCTGACGAGACTGGGCGCGTTTCGGTCTTACCCGCTCGCATCACAAGTGTAGGGGAAATTACTCGCGCTTTCAGGTGCACTTCTGCGGCTGTCTGGAACGCTCTTCCTTCCGTTATTAGGAAGCCGCTGGAGCAATGCACTTTTAAATGACCAAGATTTCAAACTCTTTAGAACTGATTTTTGTTTAAATGTTTTTGTCCTTCCCCCGCACCTCCGATTCACACGGTTGGCTACGTGCGATGTGAAAGAAGTTCTACATATTTACTCAAACACCCGCAAAACCCTTATCACAGGGGTCGGGAACCTTTTTGACTGGGAGAGCCATAAAAGCCAAATATTTCTAAATATATTTCATTGAGAGCCATATAGTATTTTTTACGTATAATAAATTAAATATGTCTTACTTTTAATGCGACTTCTGGTGCTGCGTGGTTTTGCTGATGGCCTTGTAGTCTGGTTCATACGTGGTGAGGTTGAGCTTCGTGCAGGCGTGACCCGTGAAATTTATCTTCAAAACTAATTTCTGTTTACTTTAAAATGACACAGTATTATTAAACAATATCACAAGTATTTTAAAATCGGTTCCAAACTGATTTTTATTTATTTTTTCAACTCAAAATTGTCTGGGAGCCATATGCCGTCACTGGAAGAGCCATATATGGCTCGCGAGCCATAGGTTCCCGACCGCTGCCTTATCAGGAACGCTGCTCCCGAAGCTATTTTGCTTATTGTTGCGAACACAAACTGACGTGCACACACAACGCCCACTCTCCTCCCCCCCCCCGACCCCTAGGTGAAGGAACGACCTTCCTCGTGGGTGCCGATGGTATGCACGGGGGCAAGGACAAGGGCAGGGCTTTGCTGGAGATGAGGGCATTGGCTGAAAAAGAACCCAGGTCTTGGCTGATTGGAGAGAGTGTGCAAGAAGGTACAGAGACAAAGATCCCCTGTATAGGCTTCAACAGACCAGAACGTGATGTAGTAGTAGGTTTTTACCCTTTAAACTGGTACAAAACTGACACCTGTATACAAGGCATCATGTTTGCAATAACCACAACACAAGTAGTCAAAATGCAAACAAAAAGAAACAACTCTGATAATGATAATACATTTTATTTTTGTTTGCATTTTGACTACTTGTGTTGTGGTTATTGCAAACATGGTGCCTTGTATAAAGGTGTCAGTTTTGTACCAGTTTATAGGGTAAAAACCTACTACTATATTTTGCCACTGGTAAAGGAGGTCTCATAGTGCAGAACGTGATGCTCGGTCGACCCACAACAGCGCGCCACTCAACACTACATCTGTCTCTCTCCTGGATTGAGATCATTTGGCCACTGATGTTGGCCGTGAGCGGGACATTGAACCACTGTGCCACCAACACCACCACCTCGCCCACTTACAAAGACAAAGGTCCCCCGTATAGCCTTTGGAGCAAGTCCTGTCTAGCGAGTAGCACCTATGAAGGCTGAGACGGCACTTGATTGGGTGGGTGGCCAGCATCGCGCCCATCTCTAGTTCTCCGATGTCTGCTTCTGTGGACTCCTCTTCACAGAGCCAGCAGTGAGCACTGTTGATGGACCGAGATGGGGTCGTCGAAAATATTGTTATAATGTCACTTATTTGCTTATTCAGGAGAGCATCACAGAGTCTCTAACTCATTTGGGGAAACTTCTGAAGTCACACAGTGAGTGGAACGATAAGAAGACTTAAAGCCAGATGGTGGTAGCCATGATGATGATGTAACTAACTGTCGGCCATACAGGACATGTCCACTACGTTACAAATTAAAGAATTAGAGCCAAAGTGTGGTGGTGATGGTGGGAATGGTGGGACTGGTGGGATTGATGAGATTGGTGGGAATAGTGGTGATGGTGGGACTGTTGGTGATTATGGTGGGATTGGTGGGACTGCATGAGTGGTTCACAGAGTGTTGGTTGAGAATAAGTTTTCCCCTTTTTTCTGGCAACAAAACAGCTATGTTGAGATGTCAAAACACCAAACTGAAACCTTTTACAAGGAATGATGTCTGCATTGACCGCAATGCTTGTGGTCAGAATGTAAAGCAATAACGTACTCTGATAACATATGAATCAGAATCAGAAAGGGTTTTATTCGCCATGAAAGTTCGCACAGATGCATTGTCCTTGAAACACCAGAGACAGCTTTCTTTTGAGCCTCGTCTCAAAACGGTGTTAGACCAGAGGACGCCTTTTGGCCTTTTGGCATCCTCTGGTCTAAACCTATTGTCATATTTTGGTACTGGCAAAGGAGGTCCCATGATGTCGAGCGTTGGCTGTTGACAGGACCAACAGCTGCAGGCAAGACCTAGCAAGGGGAAGGGAGCGATGGCACCGCGTGCTGGCTTCGACAGTGATGATGATTGTAGTCGCTGACCCTCACCATTTCCCACATTTTACCCCACCCACCACCACCACCCCACCCTCCTGATGGTGCAGATGGAAAGCTGGTGCTGTGTACCCGCGTCGATCCGCTCTTTCTCACGCTCCCGTACCTCCAACGGGCACACGCCAAGGTACGACGCGCGGTGTAAAGACAAAGATCCACCTTATAGAGCTAAAGGCTGCTGGGGCAAGTGCTGGTAGCAAGCACCTATGAAGGGCATCACGATGCACGAATGGGGAGGGCAGCACCACGTCCGGTAAACAGTCACAGACAGACGTACAAAAGCACCTTAGACAAAGACATAGATCCCCCGTATAGCCTTAACATACTGTTGGGGCAAGTGCTGTTAGCGAGTAGCACCTATGAAGGCCAGAACAGTACACCAGGGGGTCGCCGGCCAGCACCACGCCCGACCGCCTTTATCTTCCCAGTGGCGATGTTTTTACACACCGCACCAGGTACCACTTTGAGGCTGAGTCGACCTAGGGGAGGCACAGGACCTGTTCAGATAATAGTCACTGACGCTGGCCGTGAACGGGAATCGAACTCTGCTCGCCGAGCTCGTAGGTCAGCGCACTAATCCTCTACGCTACCGCTCCCTACAGAGGGACTCACAGAAACAGACAGAAAGCCACCCACAATGCTGAAGCCACATTTTCAATGGCAGTGCTGATTCAATGCCTCCCCGGCCCTGCGGATGCATTCGCCGCTTCCCCCCCCCCCCGCCTCCCGAGCCAGCCGCTCTCTCCTCCTTCGCCGCCGAGGCCCTACGAAGGTGCCGCTCGCGCAAATACGAGCGCCCAATTTCATTAGCGCCGCCGCCGCCGCCACCGGCACAAAAGGCAGCGCGCCTGGCGCTCCTCTTATTTATTTTATTTTACGAGCCCAAGTTTAAACAAAGCGGCGGTCGCTGGCGGAGATTCATTGCGCCGCTGACGCATTCCGCTATGGATTGCCGTGTAATTTCCGGCGCTGTGTCGCACGACTGCTGCCACTGCCGTCGTATATTTAATTGATCGTTGTGAACAGGAGTTGCGGCAGCGATTTTTCGTCTTCTCGCTTGTACGTGGGTCAGGATGTGTGCCGTATCCTGGATGTATCCCGTGGTGTATCGTGGTTGTGTGTCAGTGTGTGTGTGTGTGGGGAGCGGTGGTGTAGCGGTTAGCGCGTTGCGCTACGAACCCGGCGACCCGGGTTCGATTCCCGCTCACGGCCAACAGTGACGATTATCTGAACCGGTCCTGGGCCTCCCCTAGGTCGACTCAGCCTCGAATGAGTACCTGGTGCGGTGTGTAAACATCGTCACTGGGGAGACAAAGGCGGCCGGGCGTGGTGTTGGCCACCCACCCCCTCGTGTGCCGTGCCGGCCTTTATAGGTGCACGCTAACAGCACTTGCCCTTACAGTCTGTTCAGGCTATACGGGGGATCTTTGTTATCTCTGTGTGTGTTTGGAGCGGTAGTGTAGCGGTTAGCGCGCTGCCCTGTGACCCAAGCTCGATTCCTGCTCATGGCCAACACCGGTGACGATTATCTTAACTGGTCCTGGGCCTCCCCTAGGTCGACTCATCCTCAACTGATTACTTGGTACGGTGTGTAGTAAACATCGGCACTCGGGAGACAAAGGCGGCCGGGCATGGTGATGGCCCCTCACCCTCTCGTGTGCCGTGCCGGCCTTCATAGGTGCTACTCGCTAACAGCCCTTGCCTCAACAGTCTGTTTAAGGCTATAAGGGGGGGTCTTTGTGTGTGTAGGTGTGTCTGTGTATTATATTTGTGTGTAGAGTGGTAATGCAGGAGGTTCATGCACTGTGCTACGGACATGGCAACTTGAGTTTGATTCCTGACCATGGTTAACAGTGACGAGTGTCTGATCTTGGGCAGATTAGGATCATTGAATATGAGCTACGAGGAAAGTGTTCAATCGGTGCATATCGCTTGTTGTGGCGTGTGGATGAGAAACTCGGACGCTGACGCAGGAAATAGAACAGGAGCTGAAAAAGTGCCAAAAGCTTGGAGAGATGCTTGGGATTACACCGGGACTCCGCGAGAGGGCCGTGTGGAACGGAGAATAGACTGAAACTATAAACTAAACTTTTTATAGTAGTAGGTTTTTACCCTTTAAACTGGTACAAAAACTGACACCTTTATACAAGGCATCATGTTTGCAATAACCACAACACAAGCAGTCAAAATGCAAACAAAAAGAAACAACTCTGATAATGATAATGATATGCACTGTCCTTGAAGTTGATTGGTCCACACCCGAGACAGCTTTTCTTAGAGCCTAGTCTCCATTGGTGTTGGACCAGAGGACGCCAAAAAGCGTACTGCTCAAAGACAATGCACTATCAGAGTACTGAGAGCTCGGGTTGAGCATCTACATCATTAGACCTCCTTTGCCAGTACCAAAATATAATAAGAGGGTTTTTCCCCTTTTTTGTATTGTGGTTAATGCACACATGATTCCTTGTAAAAATGTTTCAGTGTTGTTGCCAGAAAAAAGGGGAAAAACCCTATTAGGATATTTTGATACTGCCAAAGGAGGTCTAATGATGTAGTTACTTAAAACGCATGTTTCTAAATGTGGGAGGGTGAAAACCGAAGGACCCGGAGAAAAATCCATGCGACCACGAGGATGAACATGCAAACTCCAAATAATATACGTGCGTCAGGGTCGGGATCGAGCCTACGACGTTCTGCATACCAGGCGAGGGAGTTAACATCTCGCCCACCGTGAATCTCGGGGACGATATTAAGAAACGGTAAACGGCCTTGGGCAGGACGCTTCCCCCGAGGGAATGGTGGCGGTTTCATTGAGACTGATCGAGAGAACACACTGAGGAAAACGAAGAGCGCCGTGGAGATGGAGCAATGAAATCGGTGTTCAGGATGCGAAATGGATTTTTTGGTATTGCGGGACCAATGCAGGTTTGGGAGGACTTCATCTAGCAGCGGATGGAACTCAACCGATGGCAGTGATGGATTTTTGATTTAAAGCTTTCGTGACTGCAGGGATTCATCTTCTTTCGGTAAAGTCACGTAGAAGGGAAATAATAAAATAATAAAAATAAAACATAATAAAATAATTCTTTACGACGTTTCGACCACAACGCAAGCAGCCGTCCTCAGGTGAAAACCAGGTCCGTCGAGGCGACAGAGTCTGAATGGCGACAGAGTCTGAATGGCTCTGTCGCCTCGACGGACCTGGTTTTCACCTGAGGACGGCTGCTTGCGTTGTGGCCGAAACGTCGTGAGAATTATTTTATGTTTTATTTTTATTATTTTATTACTTCCCTTCTACGTGACTTTACCGAAAGAACCAAGAAGGCAGTGATGGAGTTACAATTTGGCTGCTCTTGTCGATGTGCTTGAATTTAATTGCAAAACAAGCCATACTTCTCCGGATATAATTCTGCAGTGTCTGCAACAACAGCAACAAAGACGATTGCATTGCAGCCAGAGGCCACAATCACCGCAACCCCCCCCCCCCGTCCCGTCCCCCACCCACCTTCTTGTGCTAACCGCCCGTCAACGTTGAGTAATGTATTCTCTCTCCGCGCCGTTTGACGTGCGTCAGTGACGCCAACCAGCAAGCGCTTGTCATCCCAGCTGTGTTTGAACCTTGGGTGATTCATGTCCCTAATTGCCCTTTTATTCCTTTTCCATTTAATCACCATTGCCCTGACAGCCAGGATTTTGCCCCGTGTCCTCCGATGAGTGTTTGTCCTTCTCATGGCCGCCCGTGCGATAACGAGGTCAGCTTTTAAAAAGGACGCTGTCCGCTTAAATGTTGTGTCCGAATCCGGGGTTCGGACACCTTTGGTTAAAACTGAGTTCTCGAATGTAGCGAAGTTGATGGTCTCGGCCTGGTCACCAATGATTGCACGTACCTTGCCTACATTTCCAGACCTGAGAATTGAAAATAGCAATTTGACTCGTCATGTGACGAATATTGCCCTGCGACAGGGGTGGGTGAGAAAGTGCTCCTGCACCTCATTATGTGCGTCAGGAGGTCACGTGACGTGACCTCAGAGGTAGCTCCATAATATCCACTTCCGCAGGCTGTTGTCGAACACAAAGTTTTGCACTGTTCCTGCTAGGGATCTGAATGTATCATTTGTCTCACGACGCAATGTCTATAGCACAATCGGAATGAAACTGGGGGGAAATGCTAAATAGTTGCTGTCATGGAAGATTAAATTATAAAATAAAAATACCTTGACCCAATGAAGGTGTGCCCTTCCTGGTACAAACATTCGGCTGGTGGTGGTAAGGAGTCGGGATGGTGAGAGGGTGTGTCGAGGGGAAAGCTGAGGCGAGTTGAGCTTGCTGTGCCTGAGGTAGTGCTCCAGATAATCTGTGTGTTGGCCATTTTTTACTAATTAAAAAAAAAACGTTGAATTATATTTTGATTTAAAGCTTTCGTGACTGCAGGGATTCATATTCTTGGTTCTTTCGGTAAAGTCACGTAGAAGGAAATAAAATAAAAACATAAAATAAATGTTTTTATTATTATGAACCTGAATTATGTTTGACATTTTGGAAAATTATGCCCAATAATACGCCTGGCAATTTTGCTGCACAACTTGAGTTGGCATGGCGGGGGAAAAAAAGCGACGCATACGTGGTGTGATGGAGCAGTCACATGATCTTCGGAGTCCGATCTTGTGTCCCGCTCAACAACAGGATGTACGTGTCCAGTAAACATGATACATTGGCTCAACGTTGCACCAACGTTTGGCTGATATTGTCCCAACCAAACGCCAACGTTCATGTTTACTGGATGTAGTGCAGTGTCCGTGTCATTTTGGATACAAAAACATTTTCGAAAGATTCTCATCGAGAGACGTTTTTTTTAGGTTTTTCGATTTATTTTAATTGTGAGGATACCTTTTCTGTACCGTGGTTTGGAAGTGGCTTTGCGGTTGAAATGCAAGGACGCGAGATAATGCGTACAACCTTGGGCAATGAAGACTGCACAGGATTTATCACAGTCGCCTTTCAACTCAAAATAATCATTGTCTTCAGCGAGAATACAAAATGCATGCAAACGAAAACACCTGACGATTTTTAAGGGAAGGTTGCATTTTACGTCATGAAAATACATTTTGCGCAAATATCGTTAACATCAGAGGGTAAATTACTTAGACCCGAAGCCTTATGTGCGGCGCAGACCAGCGTTACGCTTTCTGTGTGCGTCTGCTCATGACGCATGGGGAGCATCGGTCAGTCACTGCGGTCTGTTAACGCACGGCACAAGGGTCGGTCACATGACCTCGTGCCACCAATCGTTCTCCGCTTGAGATACCTCAAAGTGCACCTAGCTTGGCGTAGGCATTGCGGTAATGGCATTGCCAATTCGTGGAGGATGGTGGCTGCTGCTGTTGCTGCGTCTAAATCTTTTATGTTGGCGTCTGTGTGTCCTGTGTCACTGTGCGTGTGCAATGGGGAGCGGTAGTGTAGCGGTTAGCGCGCTGCGTTACGAACCCAGTGACCCGATTATTTGAACCGGTCCCCGGCCTCCCCTAGGTAGACTCAGCCTGAAATGAGTACCTAGCGTGGTGTCTAACATTGCCACTGGGGAGACAAAGGTGGTGGGGCATGGTGCTGGCCACCCACCCCCCCCCCTCATGTACCGTGCAAGCCTTCATAGGTGCTCGCTTACAGCACTTACCCCAACAGTCTATTCAGGCTATGTGGGGGATATTTGTTATTTTTTTTCTTTGAGCATGCGGGAGAGTGTTTGCCTATGTGTGTGCATGCGGGCGATTGTTTGTGTGAGCGCATGTGTATAAGAGTGGGGAGCGGTGGTGTAGCGGTTAGCGCGTTGCGCTACGAACCCGGCGACCCGGGTTCGATTCCCGCTCACGGCCAACAGTGACGATTATCTGAACCGGTCCTGGGCCTCCCCTAGGTCGACTCAGCCTCGAATGAGTACCTGGTGCGGTGTGTAAACATCGTCACTGGGGAGACAAAGGCGGCCGGGCGTGGTGTTGGCCACCCACCCCCTCGTGTGCCGTGCCGGCCTTTATAGGTGCACGCTAACAGCACTTGCCCCTACAGTCTGTTAAGGCTATACGGGGGATCTTTGTCTTTATCTTTGTTTTGTACAAGAGAGAGTGTGTGTTTGTGTGGTTTGTTTGCGGTTGTTTCTGTGTGTGTGTTTGTGGGTTCCTTGGGTTCAACTCCAGACAATGGACAACATAAGTGGCAGGTTTGATATCTGAACCTGCTCAGGGCCTCCCCTAGGTCGACTCAACCTTAAATCAGTGCCTGGTGTGGTGTGTTCACACCAGATCTGGGGATACAAACGTGACGAGGCGTGGTGCTGGCCACATCACCCCTTCGTGTGCTGTGACAGCCTGAATAGGGGCTTATGAACGGCACCTGCCCTGTGTGTTTACGCATGTAAGTATACGTTTGTGTGTGTGTGTGGGGAGCGGTAGTGCAGCGGTAACGCGCTGCACTACGAACCTGTCGACCCGAGTTCGATTGCCGCTCACGGCCAACACCCAGTGACGATTATCTGAACCGGTCCTGGACCTCCCTTACGTCGACTCAGCCTCAAATTAGTACTTGGTGCAGGGGTGTGTAAACATTGACGCTGGGGAGAATGAAGGCGACTTGGTGCGGTGTAGGCCACCCCACCCCCTCGTGTGCTGTGCCAAGGCCTTAACAGGGGCTCGCTTATAGCACTTGCCCCAACATCCTGTTAAGGCTATTCGGGGGATCTTTGTGTGCACGTGTAAGTGCACGTTGATGTGCGAGCGTGTCGCTCATTTGAGTGTCTTACTCATTGCCTCTTGAGGATGCGGTTTTTAATTCGAAATCGGAAATGCAAAATTGTAATCCATGCTATGTTTAAAATTCCATTTTAAATGCCATATGCGCGTCCCCCTCGCGGCCGTCGTTCACCATTTTATTGCGGATTGCCGACTGGATTTCCATTGCACATCCCTTTGTGTGTTGATTCGCCATGTTTATAAACACAATGTCCCCGCTTTTGATCGATACAACCCCTGGTTAAAGCCCTCCCCCCCCCCCCTGCCATATTACTTGCCGCTTTGCCTGGTCGCCATGGATAATGAGCTATGTGGTTTAATGGGCCTTACCCAAAATAAACTAACTGGACCCCCCCCCCCCTCTCTCTCTCCTCCCCTACAGGGCAAGTTTGAGCCTTTGAGTCAGATCGTAATGGATCAAGATTTCCCGGCTTGCTCCTTTTTGGCCGAGTGCGTGGGCGTTCGCTCCAAACTTCACGCGGTTGCCGATGAGAAAGGTACTTCTAGATTTGAAGCTTTCGTGACTGCAAGGATTCATACTCTTAGTTTTTTCGGTAAAGTCACGTAGGTAAAAAATGAAATTAAAATCAATAAAAATAAAATAATAAAAATCACGACCTCACTTGATACAGCAAATCTGGCTGTGACGGTCCCACCTGATGACGGAGACTTGTGTTGCCTCCGAAACGTCGTGATTTTTATTTTTTTATTTTTATTATTATTTTATTATTCTTTTATTTTTATTTCATTTTGTACCTACGTGACTTTACCGAAAAAACTAAGAGGATGAGAAAGATGACTTGACCACACCCACCCATCTCTCCCTCCCCCCACCCCCCTCTTCGACTTCTCCCCCACAAATATCTCTTGGGGTGGTCCCCCGCGTTCGTCTTGTCAGTTTGTGTGTTCCATCAAACGCTGTTCCGCAACCGTTACAAGTGACCTCGCCTTATTGTTTGGGTCTTCCGGTAAAGTGACTTTACCGAAAGACCCAAAGAATATGAATTCCTGCAGTCACAAAAGCCAAGATTCAACCTCGCCTTCCATAAGAGGTTTTCTGGGTTCAAAACGAGCGTTGTCGCGGAGAATACAGATGGCAAAGTGAATGAGCAGGCAAATGCGCCTTCTGCACTTATCCGTCTCTCTCCACGTTACAGATTTTTGTTCTTGCCCAACCCATCATCCGCAAGGCTTTCCGGGAGGGTGCATATTTTCAGCAGCATCGTTTCAAAACAAGCATACTCTCCTCCCGTTCGAAATGCTCACTCATCCCTGTTGTGTGTTTTTATTTTTTTCACTTCAGGAAATGCAGATCAGAAATTTTACAAATACAGCCAAGACAAGACATTGGCCTGGCTGGAGAAAAAGGTGAGAGAAACCTCTCAAATGAAATGGACCTTCATTCTGCCTGTGCATGTGTACCCCGGTTGAGAAACTCAGCGGTCCAGGATGAAGTCCCCTGCTCAAGTGCACGTGGGGCATTGCCCTGAAGCTAGCAGTGTAATTCTACATTCCTATGGCACGGGTCGATCTCCGTATGGGATGGCCACTGTTTACTTCCCAGTTGTTGTGGCAAAGGTGTGTGCTCGCAACGTCGTCAGTAGTAGAGAGACAAAGGCGTTGGTTGGGAGTGGACCCACAGCGCCAGCCTTAATAGGCGCTCGCTAACAGCACTTTCCCCAACGGTCTGTGTGGCATACCCAAGGGCTCCCTCTTTGTGTATCTTGTGACGAGATGTTAACTACCTCGCCTGGTATACAGAAGGTTGTGGGTTCGATCTTGACCCTGACGTCTGTGTATTTGGGGTTTGCGTGTTCTCCCGCTGGTCGCGTGGATTTTTCTCCGGGTCCTCCAGTTTTTCCTCCACGTTTCGAATCACTATCACGCTTGAAGAGTATTTGGCTGCTATAAATGTTCACCTGATGAGCCATTGCGTTGGGCTATCATTTGTTATAGTCAGGTACCTTTTGAAAAAGAGCTAGATATCTCAGTGAGCCTCACCTGGTAAAATAAAAAAAATAGTTCAATGGTGATTAATAGATGCCCCACTAAAATTATTTGGAGAAATTACGGAGAAAACATTTTCATTCAGAGCCAATTTGAAATGTCTCCCACCATCTCAATAAATAAACTTATTCAATCCATAATGCTCTCCTCGAAGATAAGGGAGCCATCGCTTTCACAACATCCACTCACCCGTCGTGAAGGCGATTGCTTCAATCATGGACACGTAACTGAAAAACTGTTTTTATTTTACCAGGTAAGGCTCACTGAGCTATTTAGCTCTTTCATGAGAAGCGACCTCGTTATCTCAAATGATAGCCTAACAAAGTGGCTTGTCGCGTCAAAATTTACAGCGACCGAAAATTCTAAACTCTAAACGCACTTTTAGCATTGGTTCGGGTCGGCCTGGCGCTGCTTAATGAGACTGTGTTTGTCGAAAACGGCCCAGGACTTGATTCAGTTTAATCAATGCTGAAAATAACGCAACTCCCAGAAGGCCGTGTAGGTGATGGGTTGTGTTTCAAAAAGAATGATGTGCAGGGGAGAGATGAGAATGTTATTGAGCTTAGAGGGTTATTAGAAATGAGTGGGGTCTCTATAATTGTATCACCCTGTACAGTACATGTATGTACACGTGTGTGTGTGTATATATGTGCGTCTATATATACCAGCTCGGCCTTAAAATAGTTTCTGGCGCGGTGCGTCAGCACCAGCACCGGGGAGACAAAAGCTGTCGGGCATGAAACTATTCATAACCCAGGGTGGTAAGATGCCAATTACCATGCCTGGTATACATGAGGTCATGGGTTCGATCGCCACCCAGACGCCTGTATTTGGAGTTTGCATGTTCTCCCTGTGGTCGTTTGGATTTTAGTTTAAATAAGTATAACCCGTAAAAAACAAGTTTTTCACTCTAAATCCTTTATATGCGTGGCGGCTAGAGTCCTCTCGTTCTCTGGCTTGAGATGGCTGCCACCTATGGGTCAGATGAGTGTCTGCAGTATTAAACAATTGGTGATTAAATATTTAATTTGTTTTCCCTAAACAGTGTAAAATTTTGGAAATTTTTTTTCACGAACATTAATTGTCTCGCACAACGAGTCTGTGTGCAAAATGTCAGCTCGATTGGATCACGGGAAGTGGGTTAAAAAACGACCGAAAGGTTTGCACGGTCGTAAGCAAGCAAGCAAGCACGCAAGCGAACTTAATATAAAGGATTTAAAAAGAACCCCTCCCACCATGCCAACCTTAATAGGCACTCGCTAACAGCGCTTGCCCGTCAAAGCCTCTACGGGGGAAACCTTTACATGGCTGCAAGCGGTGGCGCAAGCGATGAGCCCACTGCGCTGCGGCGCTGGCCGCCCGGGTTCGAACCCTGCCCACGGCTAACGTCAGTTTCGATTATCTAAACCGGTCCTGCACCTGCGGGTTTCGTAACGTGGCACGGAAGGGGGGGGGGGGTCCTTTGTACGACCGGCGCCACCACGATATTTACATAACGGCTCGCCGCCGCCGCCGCTAATTCTCTCCACCTGTTGCGTGCGCCCGACCGCAAGCGCGAGGCTTGTGTTTTTTTTTTTTGCGACGTCCAGAGAGAATTAAAAAAACCGACCGATGAATTAAACATTTTATTTTTTTGTGAGCGGGCGGGTTAGCTGGTGGTGGGAGGTGGGGCGGGCGTGGAGTGAGGTGGGGGGGGTGTGCAGGCGGTGATGCCATCTGTCCGCGGCTGGATAATGCGCTGCCTGGCAACCGTGTCGTCACGGCAACCGTAGCTTGGAAACGGCCGCATCACCGCCGCTGCTGGGTTTCGCCCGCTACCTACCGCCCCCCCGCCTCCCTCCCTCCCCTCTCTCCACAGGAGGATGACTGCGGGAGACGCCATGCAGCCTCTCCTGGTTAATGTGGTCCTTTGTGGCTAGGAGCAGGGGCGCCGTGTGTGTGTGCAGTGTGTAGGTGTGCGTGTGTGTAGGTCCTTTGTGGCTTGGAGCAGGCGCGTGCGTGCGTGTGTGTGCAGTGTGTAGGTGTGTGTGTGTGCAGTGTGTAGGTGTGCGTGTGTGTAGGTCCTTTGTGGCTAGGAGCAGGCGCGTGCGTGTGCATGCATGTGTTTGCATGTACCGTGTATGTATGTACCGTGTATGTATGTTGAACTTCTTTCGCACCGTACGTAGCCAACCATGCTAATCAGAGGTGCGAAGACCGTGCCGGCCTTCATAGGTGCTCGCTAACAGCACTTGCCCCAACAGTCTGTTAAGGCTATACGGGCGGTCATTGTCTTTGTTGTGTGTGTGTGTGGGAGCGCTAGTGGAGCGGTTAGTGCGCTGCATTATGCTGTGAACCCAGCGGCACAAGTTTAATGCCTAATCACAGCCAACATCGATTACAAATATCTGAACCGGTCCTGGGCCTCCCCTAAGTCGACTCATCCTCAATTGAGTACTTGATGCGGTTTGTAAACATCGTCACTAGAGAGACAAAGGTGGCCGGGTGTGGTGCTGGCCACCCACCACCACCTGTCTTGTGCCGGGTTTAATAGGTGCTCGCTTACAGCCCTTGCCCCAACAGGCTATACAGGGGATCTTTATGGTGGGTGAGCAGTAACACAGCGGTGAGCGCACTTTATCCCATCCGTGGCTCACATCAGCGATGGTGATCTGAACGTGTCCTGGCCTTGCCCTCGGTTGCCTTGAATGTGGTGTGCACAACATCAGCACTGGGGAGACAAAGGTGGCCGGGCATGGGTGCTCTAAACACCACACCCTGCATACGCCGTGCCGCGCCGGCCTTAACACGTGCTCGCTAAAGGCACTGGCCCCAACAGCCGGTATGGCCATCGGGGCGGTGGGGGGGGCTCCTCTGCACCTTGGACAAATAAAATACTCTCATCTGTTGACATATTGGTACAATAGTCACCCCGTATCTGTTTAACGCTTCTGTACCTTAATTATATCGTTATCTTGCGCCCCAGACGACTTACTGCAGGGGACTGTTTGTGCCAGCGTTGTCTCGACGTCTTGCGGGACGCCGTCGTTTTTGCCCCGATTTCTATTCGCCTTCTTGGTTCTTTCGGTAAAGTCACGTAGAAGGGAAGTAATAAAATAATAAAAAGAAAACATAATAAAATAAGTATTATATTATTTTATTATGTTTAATTTTATTATTTTATTATTTCCCTTCTACGTGACTTTACCGAAAGAACCAAGAAGATGAATCCCTGCAGTCACGAAAGCTTTAAATCGAAATTCTATTCACCTCTTTGCTTGTGCCTCGTGTCTTTTGCGTTTGTCATTATCGGGTGACCCAGGTCGCTCATACCCGGTCTATTGAGTAGCCCCCCCCCCCCACACGTGGTTTAACAACACTAAGTTGACCTAAACTTGACCTTTGTGCACGTTACATCAACCCAGGTGGCAAGGGTGGTTAAAGCGCTCAAGGAGAAAAGCATCGCGGTGGGAGCCGGAGTTAAATCTGCGCTGTTCATCCGTACAGACACCAGCGGCGCTTCCTCCGAAGGTGCATGTTGTTGTGTTGTTGTGTCTGTGTGTGTTAGTGGGGAGCGGTGGTGTCGCGGTGAGCGCGCTGTGCTACGAACCCAGCCGCCCGAGTTCCATTCCCCCTCGTGGCCAACAACGGTGACGATTATCTGAACCGGTCCTGGGCTTCCCCTAGGTCGACTCGGCCTCAATTGAGTACCTGGTGCAGTGTGTAAACATCGCCACTGGGGAGACAAAGGTGACCGGGCGTGGTGCTGGCCACTCACCCACCTCCTTTTCTGTGCCTGCCTTCATCGGTGCAACTCGCTTACTACATGACTTGCCCGAACAGTCTGTTGAGGCTAAACGGGTGATTTTTGTCTTTGTTACCATTCCCACCCACGACCAATAACGGGCAAATATTTATTTTAACTTCGCACCGTACATGGCCAACCGTGGCAATCGGAGGTTGCGGGGTGGGGGGGGAAGGACAATAAACAGAACACAAAAAAAGCATTTCTCGCAAAATTCGTTTTCAATCGAGATGATTTTACGAGTGCACAGCTCCAGCGGCTTCCTAACATCGCAAGAAAAGAGCGGTCCAGACGGCCGCGGAGGCTCATACGTCGGTGAGCTCCGCAACATGGGTCGTACTCTTCGGGGTGTTGGTGATCCCATCTGCGGTAAAACATTGATGAGGGGGTTTCCCTTGACTCCGGCCCAGAGTATGCGCAACCAATTGACCAATTTGTCCACCTCTACTCGATGGGGGGGTGGCGATTGGGGGGGGGGGGGGTCGCGCAAGGGTGAGAATTTCTCATTAAATGCTCGCGGTGCCGGGCCTGGCCCAGCACAGCGACGATTTCGTCCTTCGGCATCCACACGCTCGTCAAAAACCGTTGCAAGAATATTCCAGGGTGTTGTTTTTATTATAATTATTTTTGTTATTTTTTGAAGCCATGCGTCTCGTGCATAATCTTTGGGCGCAGCTTTCGAATGTGTTTGTTGCCCTCATTTCGCGAGAAACTCTCGCCTGTCTCGTCACGGTGTAGCGAAACGGGTTTTGTGAACGTCAGGGGCCAGAACAAGAGACGCGTGAAAATGCCGCCCACGTCACATGGCAGAGTGGACACGCGCAGAGGCCCCGTCCCGTCTCGTTCTGCCTCTCTCTCTGTCTCTCTCTCCGCGCCGATCTCTCACTCCGATGCCCCTTATCGTTTCCTTTTCAACCTTGGCGCTCAATTTGTATCCCGCCGCTCACTCCACATTGGAAATAATTCTGGCCCGAGATAAAAAAAAATTCCCTCCCGGTCTTGTCTTTGTCCGTTTCCTTTAATGGCTGTCCATCTGTCTGTTGCTGATTATCTTTCTCCGTTCTGACTGTGTCTTGTTGGTCTCGTAGTGTTTCTGTGTCTTGCCATCCAACTGTCCGTATCACTGTTCATCTGTTTATCTGTATTTTTGGCTGTCCATGCATATGTTCATTATTCCCTCCATCAGTGCCTATCTGTCCGTCTGTCCATCCGCGATTACATCTGTGCCTTGTCCGCCCGCCCGCCCGCACATTTTTCATCTTGTCTACCCGTTTTTTCCATCCGTCGTCTGCCTGTCTGCCACTGCATCCTCCTGCGCCGGTCGCTCATCACTTTCTCTTCCCCCGTACACACGCACACTGCGCACTTCCCCTCCTCCGACACTCGCCAAACACTTCCACTTTAAATTCATCTCCCGTTGCACCGTGCCGCCGCCACCGCTGCTGCCTCGTTCGTGCGTGGGTGAGTGCGTGTGTGAATGCGTGGGTGCTTGGGTGAGTGCGTGAGTGAGTGGGTGCGTGTGCGTGGGTGCGTGAGTGTGTGCGTGGGTGAATGCGTGGGTGTGTGAGTGAGTGTGTGTGCGTGCGTGAGTGCGTGCGTGAGTGTGTGAATGCGTGGGTGAGCGTGGGTGAGTGCGTGTGTGTGTGCGTGAGTGCATGGGTGAGTGAGTGTGGGTGAGTGCGTGGGTGAGTGTGTGTGCGTGCGTGTGTGTGTGGGTGAGTGCGTGAGTGCGTGCGTGAGCGAGTGTTTATGTGAATGCGTGGGTGCGTGCGTGCGTGGGTGAGTGTGGGTGAGTGTGTGTCTGAGTGTGTGAGTGTGTGAGTGCGTGAGTGTGTGAGTGCGTGTGTGTGTGTGTGGGTGAGTGCGTGCGTGCGTGAGTGTGTGAATGCGTGGGTGAGTGTGTGCGTGAGTGTGTGTTTATGTGAATGCGTGGGTGCGTGCGTGGGTGCGAGTGAGTGCGTGTGAGTGCGTGAGTGTGTGTGAGTGCGTGTGTGGGTGAGTGTGTGAGTGCGTGAGTGTGTGCGTGCGTGCGTGGGTGAGTGTGTGTGTATGAGTGCGTGGGTGGGTCGCCGCCGCCAATCGCTCAGGTGACTCATCCCCCTGCGGCGGCGGCGGCGGCGGTGGCGGCGGTGGCGGTGCTGGCGCCGCTAAAGGGCGGGCGGAGCGCGACGGGCCCTGCGAGTGGGCGTACGGAATCGTACGCGCTGTGGGCGAATCGGACGTACGGACGTGGAGGGGTGGGGAGGAGCAGAACGAGCGAAGCCTACGGGGTCGGCACGGCCAGTACCCGACGTGGTGGCGTCACTCCCGTGCCGCCGTCTCCTCCTTTTCCTGTGCTGGATCCAGCAGCAGCTGCTCCGATCGCAGTTTGCTCAACACAGTGTGGCCTTAGGTCTTCTCTTCCCCTAGATCACCAACCTCTAGGTTGCACTCCAATGCCGGGCTTGGTGATTTGGCCTCCTCTTCCATGACCTCCTCCTCTTCCTGACCTGCAAGTTTCTTACCCTATCCTCCTCCACCCTGAGCGTGTGTCCAACCCATCACAACCTCTTCCTCAATTAAATATGAACAAATTCATGAAGACAACATTTTTTATTTTCTCAAAGATCAACTTAGACCAACAAGCCATCTTTTCAATTGAGTCCTGCATTGGGATATTTGGCCAGATTAGCCTACTTTATCTACTGCCAGCTCCTAGCAAATTGCAGGTTTCCCTCACTCTATGCGGGTAATCTATTTATAAGTGGTTTGAATTCGCTCTTACACGCAGCTATGCAGCCGCACGTGGGAAACCATTGTGTACCGTATGTGTAATGTGTGTGCTGTGTGTGTATTGTGTGTGTGCTGTATTTGTGTAATGTGTGTATTGTGGGTGTGTTGTTTATGTACTGTGTGCGTGTACTGTGGGTGTTCAAGGGGCATGATTACTGCGTGAACTGCACGCACACGGCACTGCCAACCACGGTGTGATGATGGTGGTGATGATGATGGTGGTGATGATGGTGGTGATGATGGTGGTGGTGGTGATGATGGTGGTGATGATGGTGGTGGTGATGATGATGATGATGGTGGTGGTGGTGATGATGGTGGTGATGATGGTGGTGGTGATGATGATGGTGGTGATGATGATGGTGGTGATGATGATGATGGTGGTGATGATGGTGGTGATGATGATGGTGGTGATGATGATGGTGGTGATGATGATGGTGGTGATGGTGGTGATGGTGGTGATGATGATGGTGGTGATGATGGTGGTGATGATGGTGATGATGATGATGGTGGTGATGATGATGGTGGTGATGATGGTGATGATGATGGTGGTGATGATGCCACGGTGCGGCCTTCGAGCCTCCAGACCGAGCGTGAATCCACTTTGCCGTCCTTACAACCCCACGGCAAATAGTTTGGGAGCGTCCCACTGAGCATCTGGCCCCGCTATATCATTTCCTTCTCTGAGGCTGCAGTGCCATTGACGAATGCGCCAAGCGCTTGCAGCTGCTGTCGTTGTTTGTGTTTGCTGCCTTAGTTCGATTCCCGCTTACGGCTGACACCGGCGACGATTATCTGAACCGGTCCTGGGCCTCCTCCCCTAGGTCGACTCGGCCTCAAATGAGTACCTGGTGCGATGTGCAACCATCGCCACTGGGGATAAAAAGGCGGCCGGGCGTAGTGCTGGCCACCCACCTCCTCGTGTGCCGTGCCGCCCTTCATAGGTGCTGCTCGCTAACAGCACTTGCCCCTACAGTCTGTTGAGGCTACACTGGGGATCTTTGTCTTCGCACCACTGCCAACGTAGCAGCAGCATCATAATCCACTCGCAGTCCAGAGCGTCGCCATCGCCTAAAGGGAGGGGGGGTTTGGAGTTCAAATCCATTAACCCCGGTCGCCCTCCACGTTGAGGGTGGAGGAGGATAGGGTAAGCACCTTGCAGGTTGACCAGCACTGGAGTGCAACCCAGAGGTTGGTGATCGAGGGTGAAGAGAAGACCTAAAGCCGCCACCCTATGGTGGCGAGGAAACTGCGATCGGAGCAGCTTCTGGATCCGGCACCGGGAAGGAGGAGACGGCACGGGAGCGACGCCACGACGCGCAGTACTGGCCGTGCCGACCCCATAGACTTCATTCTTTACGCTCCACCCCCCCCTCCCCCCCTCTGTTTCCGCGGCCTGACAAACACCGACCCAGCCTCCGCCAGCAAACCACGCGGCAGCGCGCCGGAGCCCCCGCAAGGCCCTGCGGCGGTTAGCGTGGGAGTCGGCCAACTTGTGTGTCAAGAACACGCAAATTGGAGAATTGGGCCACGGCAAATTTTTCGCGTTCTGGGAATGGCGGCGCGCGCGCGCCCCCCCCTTCATCCCGTCCTCGTAATGACACCGGGCAGGGTGAGGATTCGATGTAGGCCTCGTGATGGTGATCGTTTTGGTGGTGGAGATGGTGGTGGTCGAGGTGGGGGGATAATGTTCTTGCAAAATTGTGGTAATCCTGTTGCAAATGAAATTTCATGATGGCGATTTTTCTGGTGCTGATGATGATGATGATTTTGCTGCTCCCACTTTCGATGTTTTTTTACGTTGCTGCCGCTGATGGTGGTGATGCTGCTGCTGATGGCTGTGATGATTATTACTTAGATTTTCCTTACACTGCGACTAATGTTGTTGCTGCTGATGGTGACAAAGATGATGATGCTGTTACCGTTGCCACTCCTGCTTTTCATGATGATGACGGACTCGATGACAAGTGTTTGCTCATGTGCCGTGCAGGCCTTGACAGGGTGCTACTTGCTAACAGCACTTACCCCGTAAGTATGTTGAGGCTATAAGGGGGATCTTTGTCTTTGTCCGCAGAAGAGTACATGCGCTACGCCCACGGCCTCATCTCCGAGTACCTGGACACTGAATTGAGTTCTCGTTTGCAAGAACACTTGGGGTGAGACATCCGCTATATACACACTCACCGGCCTGTACTGGTGGCTAAATACCCGATCTTCTTCGTACCGCTGATGTTGATGTAGAGCAACAACTATCGAGGTGGTGGTTGAGCCAGATGATTGCGTCGGGAGAAGCGGAGTGGTTACTTTGTGCGTCTGAAAAAAAAAATTCCTCCAGTATGAATAAATATGATGATTTCGAATCGGGTTCAATTCTCAAGCACGGCTAGCATCGGTGGCGATCCGTAATAGAGATTTTGTTTTTGGATTGGATCACCTAAATATAATTGTGTCGTTAAACCCGCCGCCACCCGACACAGCCAATTGTTAAGGTTCGTCACGAAATAAAAACGAGCCAATTCGTTACGAGTTCAGCGCACAGGTGTGATGGAGAGTAAACCCACGATATTTAAAATTCGAAATCTGCTGTTGTCTGTTTAGAGTTTGCATGTCTCTCTCTCATCCTCATCACGGTGTAGTGTGTAGTAGTAGCGTGTAGTGTATAGTGTAGTGTATAGTGCAGTGTATAGTGTAGTGTATAGTGTAGTGTATAATAGTGTATAGTGTAGTGTATAGTGCAGTGTATAGTGTAGTGTATAGTAGTGTGTAGTGTATAGTGTAGTGTATAGTAGTGTGTAGTGTAGTGTATAGTGTAGTGTATAGTGTAGTGTATAGTGTAGTGTACTGTAGTGTACTGTAGTGTATAGTGTAGTATATAGTGTAGTATATAGTGTAGTGTAGTGTTTAGTAGTGTGTAGTGTAGTGTATAGTGTAGTATACTACTTCAGCCCACCGGTGTGTTGGAGAGTAAATCCACAACATTTACAATTTTGAGTGCCGTGACGTTTCTTGGATAATATTTGTTGCCACAGCCTCCTACGCGTTGTGTCGGTGGTGATGATCAGTACCAGCTCTGGGCCATGCCCTTCCTGTATCATCTCTGGCCTTTTAAAACAACAGCCTGGATTCCGGGGGTGGGGCGCCGGGAAAATCATTCTCGGCCGGCGCGTGGAAACTCCACGAGCCCCCCATTGCTGACTCAATGGTGGTCTCTGGTGGTCTCAGGGTGACTCAGGGTGACTCAGGTGGTCTCAGGTGGTCTCTGGTGGTCTCAGGTGGTCTCAGGTGGTCTCAAGAGGTCTCAGGTGGTCTCAGGTGGTCTCAAGAGGTCTCAAGATGTCTCAAGAGGTCTCAAGAGGTCTCAGGTGGTCACAGGTGGTCTCAGGTGGTCTCAGGTGGTCTCAGGTGGTCTCAGGTGGTCTCAGGTGGTCTCAAGAGGTCTCAAGAGGTCTCAAGAGGTCTCAGGTGGTCTCAGGTGGTCTCTGGTGGTCTCTGGTGGTCTCTGGTGGTCTCTGGTGGTCTCAAGAGGTCTCAGGTGGTCTCAGGTGGTCTCTGGTGGTCTCTGGTGGACTGATGAAGCGACAGTCACCTGGCTCATAATTCGAGGACTGCCTGTAGCAAGAATGACAATAACCACATTTCCCCCAACAGCCTGCGGGGACTATGTGGTGGATTAATGTCGTTGTGCGTGGCGTGCTTGCGTGTGTGTTGCAGAATCTCTGACGTGTCGCTCGTCGCGGAGGGAGAGCACCAGGCCTCCAAGGTGATTCCTACGGTCGCACGGCAACATTTGCGTGTCCCTGTGGTCAAGGCTACAGACTCCCAATTCCAGAGGTCGTCGCGAGTTGAAGTTCTGGTTGTCGGGCGGTCAACTCGGCCCGTTGTCGTGATTCAAACGGGGCCGATAAAACGAACACTGTGGGTCTTTATATTCTTGGTTATTTCGGTAAAGTCACGTAGAAGGGAATTAATAAAATAATATTAATATAAAACAATAAAAAATTATCACGACGTTTCGACTGCAACACAAGCAATCGTCATCAGGTGTGAAATCCACAGAATTTGTATTGTTTTATATTTATATTATTATTTCCCTTCTACTTTACCGAAAGAACCAAGAATATGAAACCCTGCAGTCACGAAAGCTTTAAATCAAAATTTAACTGTGGTCTTTGTCTACTTCACCATCTGCTTGGTGTATTTTTATATATTTTTGTTCAAAATACTTTCCAATTATTGCTTCCGCAAGGACAGATAGCATCGCTCTGTGTAAAGGACGCACTGCTCGGCACGACAGCGAATATGGAAAAATACACTGGCACGCACGTAAGCACTCGCCTATGCACACTCGCAAACACGCACGTACGCACAAACGTACGTACAAGCGTGCGCGCAAACACACGCGCACAAGCATACGGGCACGCGCTCACAAACACGCGCCAGCATGAACAGAAATAGACCGTTATCGCATCTGCGGGCTTCGTTGCACCAACCTGTCCGTGTGCGTGGTGACTCAAGTGGTCAGCAGCGCACACTGCTCTACGAACAACGGCGATCCCGGTTCCATTCCCGCTCACCGCCTATAACGGTGGCGAGTATCCGAACTGGTCCTCGGACTCCCCTAGAGTACCTTGTGCAGTGTGTAAACATCAACACTGGGGAGACAAAGATGGCCGGGCATGACGTTGGCCATCCACCCCCTCGTGCACCGTCCTGCCCTTCCCTTCATGTGCACTCGATAACAGCACTTGCCCCAACGATCTGTTGAAGGCTATATGGGGGATCTTCGTCTTTTGTGCGTGTTCGTGGGGAGCGTTGGCGCAAACGGCGCAACGCACTCCGAACACGTCGAGCCGAGCTTGGTTACCAGCCACGGCTATCGTCCGTGGGTGATTGACCTTCGAACCGGGCCTCCCCTGCGTCGAGTCAACACCGAGTCACGAGCCGCAACGTTCATTTCGGTCCCTGAAGAAGCTTCCGGCGTGCGGAGCACGAAACGTTGACGAACACCACGGAAGTGACAAAGCTAAACAGCCGTGAAAACAAACCCACGGCACTATTACTAACGTCATCCTTATTTTGGTGAGCTTTTTGTTTTTGTTTCACAGCTCGCGCTCGGGCCGATGTATTCCCGAGCCGCGCCAACTCAGACGACACATTCGCGGCGTGACACCTGAGATAGCGAAGCTCAAAAAATAAATACATGGGGCCCCGTCGGAAAGCGATAAAATAGTTTGAATGTTTGCGACGAGTGCATGTCCGGGGACACGGCGCTTTGCAACGTGCGGAGTGCGCGACCGCGCTCGTGCGATCCGGCGCTTTAGAGGCATCGACGATGTGCCGTCGTAGATGTGCCGTTTCCCAAAAACGCTCCGCTGGGTGGGCTGCGAGGTGACCAGGAGGTGGCGGTACAGCAAGCGGGTTCCCAGCCGAGCCGGCTACCGCTCGGGTGTTTTCCAGAGTTGGGGTGTGTGCGTTTCTCAGAATAGTGGATTACCAGCGCGTGCACGCGTGCGTGCGTGTGCGTTCGTGCCGGAGAGAATTCCGTGCTTCTGTCAAGAAAGGGGCCATCCATTTAGTAGGTAACGCAAATATCCTATTGAACGGCCGATATTTAATCCACGCAAAAACGATCAAGGAATAATAATATTAACGTGTTTAAGCAAACATAGTCCACCGCCGGACTATCTAACCCATTTGAAGGCCAATGTAGACACATTATTATCGAGGCTTCACCCCCCCCCGCCCCCCCGTTTCCTGTACGTACGCACATTGTCAGTAGACCCCCCATACGCAAGCGTACGCGTTTTGGTTAACCCCCCTCCATGCGTACGTACTCAATGTACGGCCCCAAAGACATTGCACCTCTGATGGGACCAATAATGTGCAGAGGTACTAATAATTCCTCATTTCACCCTCCTGTGTAGAAGGACAAAATGGTCTTGAGACCTTTTCGGTGAGGCAGGAAGGACATTTATTTAATGTCCGTGCCGGACTCGTGGACGCTGGCCCACACAAAACGCGCCACCCAAAGCTGTGCACTGTCCACGATGATGAGCTGTTGCTACGGAGACCGGGAGGTCGTTGATCGGCGGCGTTGGTCGTGGTTTTTTGTCGTCGAGCTTCGTTGGACCCCGTGCAGCGCTGTGCCCCTGTTCACAGTGAGGCTCGCAGGGGTGCATGCTGGGGGAAAAAAACACAAATGATCAGAGGTGTGACATTGGCAATTTAAAGAAAGTAAATGGGCCCTGGCGCTACCTCACTGTGTGCTGCAAAGAAGGGCCTTGGACCCGAGGCGACATTCAAGATTGAAAACTGATCACTTTTAGAACTGCCTTTTTGTCTTCAGTTGTGCTTCTTTCGCACGTCCGATTAGCACGGCTGGCTAAGTACGGCGGTGCGAAGTGAGTTTACCGTACGTAATTACGTACCCACTGCTGGACCGTCGGCTAGGAGCTACCCAAATTGGCCGTCGCCATTTCCCCGCGGTCTCTCAGCGAGGCGGCGGCGGTCCGCGAGCTGACGTCAGCACCATGCAGCACCGAACGAGCGCGTTCCCCCGCTCTCTTTGCAGAAGCGGAAGCGATCGGACCTGCGGGTCGAGGCGGCCGAAGACTACTCCAAGGGCTCGGATGGCGCGGGGAAAGCGGCCAAGGTGAGGGGAGCGAGGGGGGCCACGGCGCCCAGAGAGACCGCCTTGCCGATCGCACCGCCGGCGATCCCTTCGGTTGCAGATTGCAAGCTCGCGCGTCGTCGTTGGCGATCGGTGGCGAGCGGGTGGGTTGGCGGGTGAGTTCTGTTGCGTTGGTGAGTGGCGGAAGACCGGGTTTGTGGTGAGCGCCGCTTGCCGGCGAGTGAAATGCTTTGCCTGTCATTGACGGCCGTTGAGCGGCGCGGTGAGTTTTGTTGAGAGTGCTACGGAGCATTGCCGAGTGGTTGAGTGCGTCCCGAGTTGGTGAGTGGAGAAGGCTGGTGAGCGGCAATCGTTGTCCCTGTCGCTAGTGTTGGAGAGTTATTGGTGAGTTCTGGTGAGCGATGATTGTTGGTTAGTGGTCAGTGCTCGTGAGTATTGGTGAGCGGTGAGTGATGGAGCGGTGAGTTTGGGTCGGCCTGCATTTGTTCATCGCTCGCCACTGATGTTTGTTAGCCATGGCTGGGAATCCAACTCGGGTCATTGGGTTCCTGAGTGCTAACCGCTGCACTACTGCTCCCCACAGTCACACACAAAGACAAAGATATCTCCCCCCTTATAGCCTGAACAGACTGTAGGAGCAAGTGCTGTTAGCGAGTAGCACCTATGAAGGCCGGCACGGCACACGAGGGGGTGAATCGCTAACACCGCCCTCAGTAGTCTTTGTCTCCCTAGTGGCGATGTGTACGCACTGCACCGAGTACTCACTTGAGGTTGAGTCGACCTAGGGGAGGCCCAGGACCAGTTCAGATAATCGTCACCGGCGAATCGAAGCCGGGTTGCCGGGTTCGTGGTGCAGCGCGCTAACCGCTACACCACCGCTCCCCATATACACACACAAAGACACACAACGCTCAAAACACGCAAAACAGACAAAAAGACAAATCATTCCCACCGATAAACAACCCATGGCAATTTTCACCGAACCACCACCACCACTCTCTGGGTCTCTTCAACGGACAGCCGCTGTTGGCTTCTCTAAAGCCGGTACCGACTTTATGAACCCTGGGTGCAGAGATGTTAACTCCCTCACCTGGTATGCAGGAGGTTTGTGGTTTCGATCCTGAGCCCGACGTCTGTATATTTAGAGTTTGCATGTCTCTTCTCCGGGTGCTCCGGTTTCTCCCTCCACATTTAGAAACAACGTCACGCGTTTAGAGTATTTGGCTGCTGTAAATGTCCACATGATGATAAGCCTTACATCTAGTAAAAGAAATAAAAAAATCGTGTTTTTTTTGTTGTTGTTTAGTAAATCGAGCCAGGTCAACCGGTGATTTGCACTCACAACCTTATGCCCAATCAATTTTCTCCGTCACTGTTTCTAAGACTTATTTATTTATGATTTTGTAATTTTTTTGTAATTTCAGTAACCCCGGGTCACTCTTCCAAACGAGACTCCTATCCCCACCCGGAATCAGAATATTGAATCACACTGGAGGAATCAGATGAGCTATGAAGCTCTTTTAAAACAGATGTCCAGTAGGGGCCGTCAGAACGTTACAGCAGACAATGTAAAAGCACAATAGGAGTACAAAGTCTAGCAAAGTTAAACAAATCATTTAAATATATACAAATAAAACTGCATTTTTTTTTATTTTACCAGGTAAAGGTGCACTGAGGTATCAACGTATTTCTCCGAAGTGAACCTGGCCACAAATGATCGCTCGACACAAGTTGTCTGATCGCGTGGCAAACTTCATGGCAGCCAAAATCATCTAAAGGAGTCGTCTCAAACGAGTCGTCGCCCCGGCTAAACAAATGAAATGAAACTTGAACTTGAACCATCACCACCATCACCACCACCATCACCACCATCATCACCATCACCACCATCGGACGCTCGCTCGCCCGCCCGCCGTGCCACCTGGCGGGATGAGACGATAGCGGGGACACACGAGCAGGAACGTGAGTAGGCGATCCGGTGAATTAATTCATCGGCTTTGCCGTTCCCCGGCGAGCGATTCTGCGACGCCGCTGCGGAGTTGGCGAGGGGCACGTTTGAATGTTTAACGGGCAAACGACCCGCGGCGAACTCCGTCGCCGCTCGCTCCGCTCGTGCGTATGGACGACGGTGAACTCGGTGGCCGATGGAAACGATGTTTGTGCTCGTCGGGCGAGACGAAGGCCGCTGCCAATAGCGGGGAAAAGCCAAGCGGCCTCCAGAGAGGGAGAGAGAGAGAGGACGACCCGGAGAGAGAGAGAGAGGACGACTCGGGGAGGGAGGGCGACTCGTGGAGGACGATTTGGAGAGAGAGAGGATGACTCCGAGGGAGAGAGAGGACGACTCAGGGAGAGAGAGAGGACGACTCGGAGAGGTTGATTTGGAGAGAGAGAGGACGACTCAGGGAGAGCGAGAGGACGACTCGGGAGAGAGAGGACGACTCGGGGAGGGAGGGCGACTCGGAGAGGACGATTTGGAGAGAGAGAGGACGACTCAGGGAGAGAGAGGACGACTCGGAGAGGGTGGGAGACTTGGGAGAGAGGGAGGGAGACTTGGGAGAGAGAGAGGACGACTCGGGGAGAGCGAGAGGTCGACTTGGAGGTGCCAGTAGGAGGAACCACAGACGAGGAGTGGCAACAGCAGCAGCAGCAACAGCAGCCGCAACAGCAGCAGTAACAGCAGCAGCAGCAACAGCAGCCGCAACAGCAGCAGTAACAGCAGCAACAGCAGCAGCAGCAGTGGCGAGGTGGAGCTGGCGTCAATTTCCCCCCTCCAAGCTCCATCGGACCGGGTCATCAAGGCCTGCGTGAAATCCCACGCTGAAACTCAGCAAATATTCCCGCCCCGCCCGTCGATCGGTGAACCAAGTCGTTCGCCGACTTGGAGATAATAGCAAGTAGGCAGAGCTCGCATCCGCTTGCGCACCCGAGTTCGACTCCCGTTCACGGCCAACATCGGTGACGAATATCTGAACCGGTCCAGGGCCCCACACCCCTAAGTCAACCCGGCCGCAAATCGGCACCCGGTGCCAGGCTCGCTCGTGAAAAAACAGCTACACGGCAGCTCGGTTGGGGCCCGTACCCCGGGGTAAAATAAATCGTAGGAGGAGGAAGAGGGAGGGGGGGGTGGGTGACGAAGACCGACCTCGCCAGCGCTGTCTGGGAGTTGAACGAGACCTCGGCGGCTGATCCAATAACACTGGTCAACACAAAAATTCTCTATAACACCGGTCAACAAAAAAAAAACATTTTTTTCTGGCCTGGACTTTTGCAGCTGTTTTAGACTAATTTCAGGGTGCTGATTCCAAATCTCATCTCAGATTTGCTCTATCACATCTCATTTTTATGCTATCGGCATACCCCATTTTCATTGATTTTGCCCGAAATTAACTCTGTCACTTATGATTGCAAGTTGTTGTTGCGAGTCAGTGACTGCTTTAGTGTTAAAATATGGTGCTGTATTTTAGGATAGTGTGTTTATAATATAATTTTATGTAGATATCCACATTTAATAAATATTTTTCTTCTGCAGTTTTTATTGAAAATGCAATATTTGATTTCTCAAAAGCCTGATGTGATAGACAAAAACTGATGACAAATTTGGAATCGGCACCCCAGAATTACCTTAAAACCGTTGGAATACCTTATGCCAGAAAAAGTGTGTTGACCAATGTAATAAGCCGGCGGCATCTGGACGTTGCCTCCCTCCCTCCCCTTTTCGGCGTGGGCACGTGAGGCGCGTTTAGCCGTGGGGGGGGGACGGGGGGGGGGTGCTGTTGTCAGTGTCGGCCGACAGCTTGGGCGGAATGATGGCAATCGGACGCTCGCGTCAAAGTAATCAGGGGTCCCTGCGGTCGTGTTTGCCGAACTCTGCTCCAATTAGGAGCACAAGTGGTGGGGGGGCCGTGCGTGTGTGTGTGCGTAGCGGTGGTAACCCGATTATTTGAACCGGTCCTGGGCCTCCCCTAGGTCGACTCGGCATCGCATGAGTACCTGGTGCGGTGTGTAAAACATGGCCACCCACCCCGTCGCGCCCCGTGCCGGCCTTCATAGGTGCTCGCTAACCGCACTTGCCCCCACAGTCTGTCAAGGCTATACGGGGGATCTTTGTATGTGTGTTGAACTTCTTTCGGACCCGACGTAGCCAACCGTGCTAAACGGAGGCGCGTGCGCGCGTCCGTTTACCCATTCAACGAGGTCGCGCGTTCCCATCACGCATTGATGAGACGCAAGGACATTGATGCATGTTTAACGCGTTGACCGCTCTCCCCCGTCCCATGCAGCCAGCCCCGCTCGCCACACCGCTCCGAGGCGGGCCTCACCTTTTACAATCGTGAGCTCGTCCTCGGCAGTAGGAACAACAACGACGATGATGATGATGATGAATATATGAATGTGTCGAGGCGGAGAAACATCGGATCCGCCGATGAAACGCGACACGCACCGCTCTTCTCGCTCGAGAGTCAAGAGCCCCGCTCGTTTGCAAGTCAAAACGAGCGGCATTGTCATTGTTTTAATTTGCATCCCCGCAACCACTCTTGGGCTTGGTCCAGGTTAGAAGGTTATAGGTGCGTGTGTCCTGTGTGCGTGTGTCTGTGTGCGTGTGTCCTGTGTCTGTGTGAGTGTCTGTTTGCGTGTGTCTGTGCGTGTGTCCTGTGTGCGTGTGTCTGTGTGCGTGTGTCTGTTTGCGTGTGTCCTGTGTCTGTGTGAGTGTCTGTTTGCGTGTGTCTGTGCGTGTGTCCTGTGTGTGTGTGTCTGTGTGCGTGTGTCCTGTGTCTGTGTGAGTGTCTGTTTGCGTGTGTCTGTGCGTGTGTCCTGTGTGCGTGTGTCCTGTGTGCGTGCATCCTGTGTGCGTGTCTGTCTGTGTGCGTGTGTCCTGTGAGCGTGTCTGTGTGCGTGTGTCCTGTGTGCGTGTGTCTGTGTGCGTGTGTCCTGTGTCTGTGTGAGTGTCTGTTTGCGTGTGTCTGTGCGTGTGTCCTGTGTGCGTGTGTCCTGTGTGCGTGTGTCCTGTGTGCGTGTCTGTCTGTGTGCGTGTGTCCTGTGAGCGTGTCTGTGTGCGTGTGTCTGTGTGTGTGTGTGTCTGTGTGCGTGTGTCCTGTGTCTGTGTGAGTGTCTGTTTGCGTGTGTCTGTGCGTGTGTCCTGTGTGCGTGTGTCCTGTGTGCGTGTCTGTCTGTGTGCGTGTGTCCTGTGAGCGTGTCTGTGTGCGTGTGTCTTGTTAACGCTGTGTGCGTGTGTCCTGTGTCTGTGTGAGTGTCTGTTTGCGTGTGTCTGTGCGTGTGTCCTGTGTGCGTGTGTCCTGTGTGCGTGTGTCCTGTGTGCGTGTCTGTCTGTGCGCGTGTGTCCTGTGAGCGTGTCTGTGTGCGTGTGTCTGTGTGTGTGTGTGTCTGTGTGCGTGTGTCCTGTGTCTGTGTGAGTGTCTGTTTGCGTGTGTCTGTGCGTGTGTCCTGTGTGCGTGTGTCCTGTGTGCGTGTCTGTCTGTGTGCGTGTGTCCTGTGAGCGTGTCTGTGTGCGTGTGTCTGTGTGTGTGTGTGTCTGTGTGCGTGTGTCCTGTGTCTGTGTGAGTGTCTATTTGCGTGTCTGTGCGTGTGTCCTGTGTGCGTGTGTCCTGTGTGCGTGTGTCCTGTGTGCGTGTCTGTCTGTGTGCGTGTGTCCTGTGAGCGTGTCTGTGTGCGTGTGTCTGTGTGTGTGTGTGTCTGTGTGCGTGTGTCCTGTGTCTGTGTGAGTGTCTGTTTGCGTGTGTCTGTGCGTGTGTCCTGTGTGCGTGTGTCCTGTGTGCGTGTGTCCTGTGTGCGTGTCTGTCTGTGTGCGTGTGTCCTGTGAGCGTGTCTGTGTGCGTGTGTCTGTGTGTGTGTGTGTCTGCGTGTGTTTGTGTGCGTGTGTCCTGTGTGCGTGTGTCCTGTGTGCGTGTGTCCTGTGTGCGTGTGTCTGTGTGCATGTGTCTGTGTGTGTGCGTGGGACGTGGGGAGCGGTAGCGCAGTGGTTTGCGCGCTCTGCTAGGAACCCTGGCGGCCCGAGTTCGATTCCTGCTCACGGTGAATACCAACACCGGTAACGATTATCTGAACCTGTCCCGGGCCTCCCCTAGGTCGACTCGGCCTCAAATGAGTACCCTGTGTGGTGTATAGTAAACATCGCCACTCGGGAGACGAAGGCGGCCGGGCGTGGTGCTGTCCACCCACCCCCACGTCTGCCGTGCCGGCCTTCATAGGGCAATTATCCTCATTGCTAGCAATACTATCGGCATCGACAGCAATAATAATTTTTGACATCATCATCAGCGTTTTAATCAGCAGTCAACAGCAGAAATATACTCAGAAGCAGGCGCACCGTCATCAGCTGCAGTAGGAGTCCGAGCATCATCATCATCATCATCAAAAAAACCATCATCATGACCCCAGTGCGTGTAAACGCCAACACTAGGGAGACAAAGGCAGCCGGGCATGATGTGTAGTACTCGTCACACTTCCCATCTGTGCACCCTGCTGACCATAATAGCTGTTCGTTGCACTTGCCAGTGTAGGTTACACGGGGGATCTTTATCTTTTGTGTGTGTGTGTGTGTGATGTTGTATGTCTGTGCGTTCGTATGTGATGTTGCTATGCGATGATGCTGTTGCGGCGATGTATACGCGATGGCGCTGTGCGTGTGTTTGTCTGATGTTGGTGTAACCGCGTGTGACGTTGGTGACGTGGGGAGCGGTAGTGCGGCGGTTGGCTCGTCGATTCTCGCTCATGGCCACCAACGCCACTGACAATTATCTGAACCGGCGCGGGGCCTCCCATAAGTCGGCTCGGCCTCAAATGAGGGAGCCAAAGGCGGCCGGGCGTGGTGCAGCCCTTGCCCCAACAGTCCAGTGTTCGTCACTAATTTTCACCGCCGATAAGACATCATCAATGGGAGGTTGTCGCCACACATTTGAAACCATCGGGGGTTTGACAGCAGCGCGATGATGATGATGACGGTGTCTTGTTTTTAAATCCTTTATATTAAGTTCACTTGCGCGCTTGCTTGCTTACGACCGTGCAAATCTTTCGGTCGTTTTTTTACCCACTTCCCGTGATCCAATCGAGCTGACATTTTGCACACAGACTCGTTGTGCGTGACAATTAATTTTCTTGAAATTTTTTTTTCAAAATTTGACACTTTTTAGGAATTTTTTTTTATATGTAATTACCAATTGCTTAATGGTGGCAAGCAATCATCTGACCCATAGGTGGCAGCCATCTCAAGCCAGAGGACGAGAGGACTCTAGCCGCCACGCATATAAAGGATTTATAGTGAAAAACTTTGTTTTTACGGGTTAATTTTTTACTTCTTGTGTATTGTCAGCGGCCGTACTAAAGGCCACTCGCGGGCCTTGCGATCAAGAACCACTGGTGTAGGTTATCGGGGAGGATCTTTGTGCGAGACGCTGATGTACTGCTGTGCGCTGTATCTGCGTGTGCAGCCTGGAAAACAGACCACAGCACAGAGAGCCTTGGCCAAGGTGGACCGCAGCGGGATGAAATCCATTTCCAGCTTCTTCACAGCCAAAGGAGAAAAGAAATCCTGAGCCTCTGCAGGAGAAACCCTTACCGGATGACCTCCTGAGCCAACCGGTCAAACCATCATCTACGTCCGAGTTGAGACCACTCGAAAAGTGCCTGGCCCACTTGCCTGCTAGGTTAGTGGCCAAGTCCCTGATTAAACTATCGCCACTGAACCATGGTGGAGTGACTGCCTGAGACATTGCTTGAACCATCTGCTGATACCCCTTTCCACGCCACGTGCTAAGTTCCCATCTTTACCCCCTGACACCAACTCCTGAACGTCAACAGTCGGTGGCTGACCCTGTGGCTAAACCCGCCTGGTTAGTCGGTGGCTAAGCCAACTGGCTGTCGATTGACGGCAGAAACTCAACACATTCATCATTGACACAGTGGCCCTTACAAGAACATAGTGGGTGACGTGTTGAGCAATAGCCATTGCCAAAACCGTTAGCTATTATATAGATATATTTTTTTGCTGTTAAGGCCACACTGTCATTGACGATCGTGTTGAGTTTTGTTGTTGTTTGTGCTTGAGCACCACCGCCAACGCACAGTGCCGGATTATCCGAGTGGCACAAGTAGCTACACACGATGCTACGGGCCCCGCACTTTCAAGGCCCCCGCGCTAAATGCTTTCAAGCTATCAATTCCGGTTCAGTGATTCTGCACTTGCTCTATTACTATAGTACTATGCCACCTTCAACTTTTACGAACGACTGGGTGTTTAAGGTTAGCGATGTGTCGTATTATCTGGCTGTATAGCAAATGAAAAAATACAATAACTTTACTATGCAAGTTAAAAAAATTGTGTTTGAATATTTGTGTTTTTTTTATTTAGGGCCCCTTTATAACATCATGCTACAGGCCCCGCACTCGCTTAATCCGGCACTGCCAACGCAGCAGCAGCAGCAGCATCACCGCCAAATATTTGTTGAATTCATGAGCTCGGCCACCTGAGCACACTTCCACATCGCACAGACCACACATTAAACCAGCGTCTGAGCCACCCGTGTCGACCGCTGCTAACCCATCGACCTGCAACGGGATCACTCGCGACCTGAAACCAGTCCATCGCCAGCTTCGATCAACCTCCCGGCTAAACGCGCCGCCTGAACCTCGTGAGCTTCAAAGGCAACGGGGCTGTTGAACCCCGCGGACCAAACCGCAGCAGCACAAGCCACCATCCGGCCAAGCCACTAGGGATAGATTTAAAATCTGCATTCACGGACAGACGCGAGCGCGTGCGGTGGGTGTGGTGTGTGTGTGTGTGCGGTGTGTATGTGGGTGTGCGGTGTATGCGGTGTGTGGTTGTGCGGTGTATGCGGTGTGTGGTTGTGTGTGCGGTGTGGGTGTGTGCGGTGTGGGTGTGTGTGCGGTGTGTGTGGGTGTGTGTGCGGTGGGTGTGTGGGTGTGCGGTGTTTCACTGGGGAGCAGGAGTGTCGCGGTTAGCGCGCTGCGCTACGAACCCGGGGACCCAAGTTTGATTCCCGCTCACGACCAACGCCAGTGACGGTTATCTAAACCGAGCCTGGGCCTCCTCCCCTAGGTCGACTCAGCATCAAATGAGTACCCGGTGTGGTGTGTAAACATCGCCACTCGGGAGACAAAGGCGGCCGGGCGTGGTGCTGGCCACCCACCCCCTCGTGTGCCGTGCTGGCCTTCGGTGGTGCTACTCGCTAGGAGCAGTTGCCTGTGAACAGTCTGTTACAGGCTACACGGGGGATCTTTGCGTGCCTGTGTGTGTGTGCGTGCGTGAGCTGCTACCGTGGCGAAAAGCAATAAAGTTATCCTGACGCCCACGGCTGCCCCAGCCCTTCATTTGTACACAGCGCGGCGCGTGAAGGCGAGCGCTGTGCCTCCCCTAGGTCGACTCGGCCCAATGTGTACGCCGTGTCAAATGCCGCCGCTGCCGCCAGCCACCCCCTCGCTGCTCAGCTCCGACCGCAATTAATAGGTGCTCGCTAACAACACAGGGTTTGTGTGTGCATGGGGAGCGGTGGCGCAGCGGTTAGCGTGCTGCGCTACGAGCCCGGCGTTTCCCCGACTGCGATTCCCGGTTACGATTGTCTTAATCGGTCCTGGGCCTCCCCTAGGTCTACTCGGCCTCAAATGAGTACCTGGTGCGGTGTGTCAACATCGCCACTGGTGCTGCTCGCACCCACCCCCTCGTGTGCCTGCTGCGGCCTTCACAGTTTTATTGAAGGAACCTGCACCAGTGAGATCGAACCAACGACCCCCTGGGGGTTGCAAGTCCAGTGCGCTGACCACTGCAGCAGCCCTGCCAGCATGTGCGTGCGCGTTATACATAATTGCCTTATCTTTTCTAAAAATAATTACTGCACACTTTACCCCATTAAAGCCTTGCCTGTGTGCCTGCTTATCTGGACCAGATTAGCTTTTTTTCACGCACGCAAAGATAAAGGTCCCCCGTGTAGCTCGTGCATGCTGTTGGGGCAAGTGCGCTTAGCGAGCACCCGTGGTGTAGCCAGAACCGCGCCCCCCACCCGCCTTTGTCTTCCGCGCGTTGATGTTTATACGCTACACCAGGGTGCACGTTACGGCTGAGTCGACCTAGAGGAGTGGGGAGGCCTATGCTCGGTGCAAATGTTCGCCACTTAAGTGGCGGTGACGTCACCACGGCGTTTGTGCCAGGCTAGGTGTACCAACGACACGAGGCGAAGATCCTCCGTAAAGTCTTGAACAGATCTCGGGGCAAGTCCTGTTTGCGAGCGGCACCTGTTCAAGCCAGCACGGCACACGAGGGTTGCGGGTGGCCACGCCCGGCCGCCTTTGTCTCCCCACCGCTCATGTTAAACCACGCACCGCGCCGGGCACGCGCTCATTTGAGGCCGAGTCGACCTAGGGGAGGCCCAGAACCGGTCCGGATAATCGTCACCGGTGCCCGTGAGCGGGAACCGAATTTCGGGGTTTGGCAGCGCGGCGCGCTAACCGCTGCGCCACCGTTCCTCGATGTCAAGGTGGGACGCGATGACGTCATTGGCCGCGTATTCGTACCTGCGGTTGTCATTCGCCCTAAGTGCTCGCTGCCGATGCACGGAGGCGCGCTTGCGTTTTCGTTCACGGCAAAATCTTATTTGGCGCCGAGTGGATTTGCATTGTCGGGTTGCATTGCGGGGCGGGGGGCATAGGGTGACGTTGGGTTCCAGACACAGGCGGGGGAACGTCTGGCCGACGTTCAAGAGTCCGAGTTGGAGAGTCGTGGACCAAACAAACAAAACGCGAAATGTAAATTCGCGGGTTTTTGCCGTGGCACCATCGCCGATGTCACGGGGTTGCTGCTGCTGCTGTTGTTGTTGTTGATGATTAATGATTTGTTATTCACAGCAATATCGTTTGGGACAAATGCTCCGAATGGAAACGCCTCTGAATGCAGTCCTTGCTTGCAGGGGCAGAGGCAAATGCACAGGCCCTGCAATGGCTCGCTCACGCCACTGCTGGCAGAAGGCCCACCGCTAAAATGTTATCTTAGACAGATTTACGTCGCCCCTTATTCCACGGCGCTTTACAGCAACTCTAAAATTGTGCGTAAGATGATAGCGGTTTAAATAAAGAGTGGGTTTATTGTTTACAGCTGCGGTGGTGACACAGAACAGGTGGGAGTGGTTATGGAGTGGTTGGGGTAGTGATGGGGGTTGTGATGGGGATTGGGATCGTGATAGGGGTTGGGGTAGTGATGGGGGTTGGGGTAGTGATAGGGGTTGGGGTAGTGATAGGGGTTGGGGTGGTGATAGGGGTTGGGGTAGTGATGGGGGTTGGGGTTGTGATAGGGATGGGGTAGTGATAGGGGTTGGGGTAGTGATAGGGGTTGGGGTAGTGGTGGAGGTTGGGGTAGTGACAGGGTTGGGGTAGTGATAGGGGTTGGGGTAGTGATGGGGGTTGTGGTAGTGATGGGGGTTGGTGTAGTGATAGGGGTTGGGGTAGTGATAGGGGTTGGGGTAGTGATGGGGGTTGGGGTAGTGATGGGGGTTGGGGTAGTGATGGGGGTTAGGGTAGTGATAGGGGTTGGGGTAGTGATGGGGGTTGGGGTAGTGATAGGGGTTGGGGTAGTGATGGGGGTTGGGATAGTGATAGTGATTGGGGTAGTGTTAGGGGTTGGGGTAGTGATAGGGGTTGGGGTAGTGATAGGGGTTGGGTAGTGATAGGGGTTGGGGTAGTGATAGGGGTTGGGGTAGTGATAGAGGTTGGGTAGTGATAGGGGTTGGGGTAGTGATAGGGGTTGGGGTAGTGATAGGGTTGGGTAGTGAGAGGGGTTGGGGTAGTGATAGTGGTAGGTTGGGTACATGCAAGTCATTGGTCATTGGTGATGAGACCATCAGCTCTACCGCTGGGAATCTAGTTTACTCATTGGTTCTTTCGGTAAAGTCACGTTTCTGCGTGACTTTACCGAAAGAACCAAAGAGTAATTTCTGCAGTCACGAAAGCTTCAAATCAAATCTGGTTTCGTCATGGGCGACTGAAACTTGGAATCAAACCCAGGCCCTTAGTAGTGCTGGAGCCAAATCAGTGTCGTTTTACCCCAAGTCTGTCTATTCCGATTGTGTTATCATTGCCATGGGGTGAGATGAACGATATATTCTGGGAAAGTGCTGTCAGCGAGTGGCAACAACAACAACCGCCATTCGCCACTAAATGGCGGTGACATCACCACGACGCTTGTGCCAGGCTATGCGCACGTTGAGGCCACGTGAAGTGTCGAATGCCCGTTGTCAGGTGGTCACGGGACAGACCCAGTTGCCACGAGTCGACTGACTGAGATGACTGGCTGATGCACCACCTGTGCCCCCTACTGTGCCAACTTGCTGTGCTTTAGCGACCCGGTGCTCCGCTCGTTGTTGTGAGCGTCGCTCCTCTGCCCTCCGTTGTTGTTGGAGGGCGATTGCCTCCAACTGCCCAGTAGCGTCCTTCACGAGCCTCCAGTCATCGGAAAGTCCACTCAGCTCCACATCCTCCTGTACCACATAACTCCATCTCTGCTCTAGCCCGTGCCGCGCCCGTTTAGCCCCCTCTATCCAGACGAACAAAAGTTGTTTAGGAATGCGGTAGCTGAGCATGCGGGCTACATGACCCAGCCAACGCAGCCTTGCCTGCCGGGGGAGCTCACCGATGGGCCTTTGCCCAGATATTTCAAGGATTTGTGAGCTTCTCACACAATCCAGCCTGGTTAAACCCAGGATGGATCGTAGGCAGGCCAGCCTAAATGTTTCTAACCAGTGAAGATGTTCCATTAGGGGGGTCCACGTTTGGCAAGCGTAGAGAAGGGAGGGAATGACCGTGGCCGAGAAGACCTGAAGCTTCGTGCGGAGCGACTGACCAGGTAGCTTCCACACAACGTTACGCAACAGATGAAAAATAATGCCGCTCGACTGATTCGGAGTGAGACCTCTGCTGTCAAACCAGAGCCGGTCATGAGCACACTGACCAGCTATGGGAAACTCCACTCTCTCCACAACTGCCCCAACACCAATTGGGAGTTGTGGGGGTGTAGTGTCCGATGGTACAAAATACCCAGGCAGGTGCTTAGTTTTGGTGGGGCTGATGGTAAGGCCCCACCTCTTCGTGGCATGCTCCAGTCTCAGCCACAGCGTCTCCAACTCCTCTGAATGAGCAGCTATTACCAAATCATTGGCATACATAACGTGGTTGACCAATAGGGAGCCATCCCTTGACCGCACCCGGGCATCGATCAGCCTCCCATTTAATCTGTACCAGGTGGAAATGCCTCCGGTACAGCCATCAAAGGCTTCACGAACTATGTGGTCGAAAAAGATTTTAAAGAATGTGGGAGCCAGAGGACATCCCGGTCGCACTCCAAGGTGAACAGGAAATGGCTCCGACTCCCGGCCACGTAGTTTTACCCGGGCTCGCGCACCATTATGAAGGTCCTTAATGATCGTGAGCAGAGGGTCAAGGACTCCGAAAGGACGAAGATGGACAAAATATGGCATCTGTGCAGGACCGCCCTTTCCTGAAACCGCATTGGGGCTCTGCAAGCCTCTCCTCAGCGTGCCTGGCACACTGAGGAGTGAGATGCCCCTGTAGTTGTTCCAGTCTGTGCGGTCCCCCTTCTTGAAGAGGGGGACCACCAGGGTATCCTTCCAATCCTGTGGAACCCGTCCAGTGGTCCAGACTGTTGTTATGATGTCATGTAGGGTCGTCTGTGCATAAACGGCACCCTCCCTCAGCATTTTGCTTGGGAGATCATCTCTGCCCGGTGCCTTTCCTGGTCTCAGACTCTGGATCGTCTTCAGTACTTCCTCAGCAGATGGTACCTCAGCCAGCCACTCACAAGGGGTGACTTCCAATATTTGAGACACCGCAGCTTCAGCAGGGTCATCCCCACTTTGTCCCACGATGTTTTCCAGGCTGAGGGATTTCTTCTCCCCCAGGCTCTCACAGAAATGCTTAGCAAATCTGCAAGCCTGTTCCTGATGGTAATAGGTGTGGCGCTGCAGGTTACTTTTTTGATGGAGTTAAATAGCGATTAGTGATCGCGGGCCATTGAGGCAGACTCCATCTCTTCAGCAACCTGCGACCACCACCCATCCTTGCAGCGCCTCACGGCTCTCCGAACCTCCGAGCGAAGGCAATAAGCCGCCTCATTCTCAGAAGTGGGATGATGTAGACGATGAGAGTGGGCCTGTCGCTTTTTCTCAGCTATCCTGAACACCTCCTTTGTCAGTCAGGGTCTCTGAGGAGGTCTGGACCGTGTACCCAAAGCAGCCATTGCAGTTGCATGAGCCACAGTCCCAAACCTCGCCCATTTCCCCTCGGCATCTGGAGGAGTGGGGGACGATGCCAACCCAAGCCGCAAGCGATGATGAAATTCTCGCTTGCAACTTTCATCAGCTAGCTGTGACCAGGCCACTTTTGTTTTGAATTGGGTCCTGGGTGTACACCCACCACCGGAGTGGAAGAATGGCAGGCGCATCTTACAGATGACAAGTCGATGGTCAGTGGGCAGATCAGCTCTACGGTAGATCCTGGTGTCAAGGACATGGACCCGCATCCGTTGTTCCGTCGCTATGTAGTCCAGTAAATGTTCTTGCTTGGACCCGGCATGCATCCATGATGTGGTGTGGATGCGCCGATGCCGGAACAGCGTGTTGGTAATGGCAAGCCCATGGGCTGCACAAAAATCTAGCAGCCTCCTACTGTTGTTATTGAGCTGATCTGGCCCATGCCTTCCAATCACTCCAGACCAGGTGCCAGTAATCATGCCCAACTCGGGCATTGAAGTCACCCAACAAGATTACTCTATCTCGAGGGGCCACTTTAGCTAGCACCTGTGACAGGAGGTCATAGAAGGCATCTGACTCATCGGCCTTTGTTGCATCCCTCCACGGATGTTTGTCTTCGGTGGGGGCATAAGTAGCCACGACCACCACTCCTCGCCTCTGGTTGATGAGAACGCGAGCCCAAAGTAGCCTGGGGCTTACCGCTTCCAACACCTCACCGCTACGCTCCCACGCCCCCTTCATTATTTTGTTCAGAAGAAGAGACACTCCGAGTAGAGGACTGTCCACCCCTCATGGTAGCAGGAGCCAGAGCCGGTCCAGCGGACTTCCTGAATACCACTGAGATCCAGGCGGTATTGGTCCAGCTGCCAACAGAGGAGTGGCAGCCTCTCCTCCGCTGTGAGCATTTTAACATTCCACGTGGCCACCCGCAGTGTTTTTGTTGTTTCTGGAGGAGCCCCGAGGGTAAGGATTCAGTCTCCTGGCTCCGCCAAATGGGGTTTGGCCAGGATACGTCATAGACGCCTGTCCCTCTGGGGCCTCCGGCACAATCTTAATTAGATATTTTAGACGCGGTTTTGTGGTAATTAATTGAAAGGTGGAGGGGTTACCAGCCCCTAGCACCCATCCAGAGCCCCCATTTGGCCGCTGTGGTAGTCACAGACGCCATGAGGGGAATGGCCCATCTAAATTGCCCCCCCCCCTACGGCACTGCCCACTACAGCATTGCCGTCCGGCACCAACGAGAAGGTAGGGGGTTTTTTGCCGGACAAGCAGCACCTATGAAGACCGGCACGGCACACGAGGGAGTGGGTGGCCAGCCCACCACACCCGGCCGCCTTTGTCTCTGTCGCGGTGACGTTTTGTACATCGCACCACCAGGTACTCACTAGAGGCCGAGTCGACCTAGAGGAAGCCCAGGACCGGTTCATAAAATCGTCTCTTGAGTGTTGCCACTCGCACGGACGTTCACCACGATGTGTGTCACGCGATCACGGCACCCTCGGTCACTCGTTCACTGTCGCTGACACACAAAGACAAAGATACCCCGTATAGCCCGACTAGAATGTTGGGGCAAGTGCTGTTAGCGAGCACCTACACACACACACGTACACACACGTGTTAACCCTCTCACGTAATAACGACTCGCATACTCATCCTCGCACGTGATCACCCGCTCAATAAATGGCACACGTACAGCCGCTTGCACTGTTACAACAACAGCGATTGTGCCAGGCTAGGTGCGCTTTGAGGCCACGTGAGGTGTCGAAAGCTCGCTGCTGGCAGGAGGTCACGGGACGGACTCCAGGTGCCATGAATTTGTTGAATGAAATGCGTCAGCCGTGCTTTATCCGCCCGGCACACCGCTCGTTGTTGTGAGCGTCGCCTCTCTTGCTCTCCGCTGTTTCTGGATTGTCGACTGCCTCCCAACTGCCCCCCCGCCCCGCCCCCCCCCCCCGTAGCGTCCTTCACGAGCCTCTTACACGTTTAGCTGTTGCACGCACCCAAATTCCCGCGCGCATTCCGTTTAATTCGCACACTCACTGACTCACCCTCTCGCCCGCTCACACTGCCACTCGCTCGCACTCGCTCGCTCGCCCACGCGCAGTCACGCGCATCAACCCCGTGCGCCGACGCGCTCATTTAAGGCCGAGTCGACCTAGGCGACACCCGGCACAGTTTTCATGGCACCGCTCGCAAAAAAAGGCGTCCCTCTGCTGCCCGCAGCACAAGATGTCGATGCAAGCTCACACCGTGTTGCCTTTTCCACCTCGTCGCTCTGCTCATCACCTCCCACCCCATCTCACCTCATCATCTCCTCTCATCCCACCCCCCCTCCCCCCAAAGACAAAGATCCCCCGTATAGCCTTACCGTACTTCATGGGGCAAGTGCGGTTAGCGAATAGCACCTATGAAGGCCGGCACGGCAAACGAGGGGGGTTGGGTGGCCAGCACCCCACCCGGCCGCCTTTGTCTCTCCCTCGATGCGATGTTTACACACCACACCAGCTACTCATTTGGGGCTGAGTCTACCTAGGGGAGGCCCCAGGACCAATTAAAATAGCCGTAACCGACGTTGTCCCGAGGGGAGGAAGCCCAGGGCCGGTTCAAGTATCCGCCACTGTTATTCATCGTGAGCGGGGTTCGAACCCCGGCGGTGGTCAGGTGGTTCGTGGCACGGTGCGCTAACCACACGCGCCACCGCTCCTCCGCCACACCTCCCTCACCATTCGTTCTCTCTCCCCAGCCCCCACCCTCATCCCGAGCTCATCCCTCACGCCCCCTCCTCCCCCCCACCACTCACCTCGCTTCGTCTCCCCTGGAGACGGAGCCAAAAAAGCGGAGCGAGCGTCACCTCCTCGGGTCTGACGTCAATGAAGGAACGAGTATAAAAGCGGCGGGAGATTCGCTCTCTGTTCGCTGAAGCTCTCCCGTGACCGCTCGCTCGCTCTCTCTCTTCACACACCACACACACACACAGCTGCGTGTGTGTGTGTGCGTATAGCGTAACACATTGCTCTGTCGGGAGCGGCGCGATCGTGCGGGCGAAGAAACGGCGGCTTGTGCGCAGAGGACGGACGGACGGACGCCTTCAATAGAGAAGTGGGGGGGGGGTCTCTTTGCGGTCGCTGTCCCTGGTGCTGAAACAACACGGGCGAAAGGTACAGGGCGATGTTGTTGTTGTTGTTTGTTTGTTTGAGGCTCTTCGTCATAAGCGATGTGTGCTGCAACACGCAGCCAGCCGCTGGGCCATCATGATGGGTAATATAATTAAAGTGTTGTGTGCTTTGTCAACTGTTTTTCGCTGATATCCAAGGCTGTGTTGGGTGGCGAGTGGGTGCCGTGTGGATGGATTTTCTTGTGTGTGTTTACTGTGGCTATGTTTGTCGCTATGTATACCTGTCTGTGATTGTGTGTGTGTCTTTGTGTGTGCTCCTGGGGAGCGGTGGTGTAGTGGTTAGCGCTACGCTGCGCTATGAACCTGGCGACCCGAGTTCGATTCCCGCTCACGGCCAACACCAGTGACGATTATCTGAAACGGTCCTGGGCCTCCCCTAGGTCGACTCAGCCTTAAATGAGTACCTAGTGCGGTGTGTAAGCATCGCCACTGGGGAGACAAAGACGGTCGGGCGTGGTGCTGGCCACCCACCCCCTCGTGTACCGTTCCGGCCTTCATAGGTGCTCGCTAACAGCACTTGCCCCTACAGTCTGTTAAGGCTATACGGGGGATCTTTATCTTTTATCCTGTATGTTGTGCGTGTGTCTTTAGCACTCTCGCTAGGGAAACAAAGGTGGCCGGGTGTGGTGCTGGCCACCCATTCTCTCGTATACCGCGCCGGCCTTCATAGGTGTAGTGTGTAGCGGTAGTGTAGTGGTTAGCGCGCTGCGTCTCTGAAGCAATTGGACCTGAGTTCGATTCCCGCTCGCGGCCAATATCGGTTGACGAATATCCGAACCGGTCCTGGGCCTCCCATTGTAGGTCGATTCAGTCGTAAGCGTGCATCTGCTGCGCTGTGTAAACATCGGCGCTGGGGAGATCATCACTATACAACTCACTCGGGTTCCGAGATTAACATTAATAGCTCCTTTAATCATAAAGGTTGTCCCGTACACAATGCTGCTGCTTCTGTTTGTCTCAGCGGTTTGTTTTATCAAAGCAACTCGATATTTATCAGGGTTTACCACAACAAGCTGCATGTTATCGTCAATTCCACTGCACGGTATTAGCGCTGCACGGCAACGCTGTATGTTAATCCAGCATTGTCAAGATGTATGCGGGGAGATTTAAAATGCGTTCACGGGCATAGCATTTTAATCTTAAATACACGGAACACATTTTCGTACCGTCATATGTTATCAACGGGTATATTACATTTTTAAAAATAAAATTTACAGAGTCAATACGCTTGCCTCCCTACACTTGAATAAATACGGCATCAGCGTTCATATTTTTCACAGGAATTGCATGCAACTGGTGTGCGCATAACACGGTTGCTGAATACGAAATAGGTTAACTCTGAAGTCGTTTTTGCTCGTGCCGTATGGTTTAACTTTGTGTTTAAATTCGTCCAAATGTTCATACTGGAAGGACCATTGCCGAGAAACGTCTTTTACCTTTAACAAAAATGAATAAATAAATAGTCTGTTATCTTTCTCCAGATAAAGCCAACGGCGCTATATGCGGCTCTAGTTCAGAAGCGATCTGACCACAAATGACATAGCTCAAAGAAGTGGCTCGTCACGTGGAGAATTATCGCAGACAAATAATATAATCTATCAAGGCCACGGCGTTATTGACCAGTGCGTTGTTTTGCTTTGTTACAGGGGCTTAGTTCAGATACATTCTGAACCATTATTACATCGGGTTTAAAAAAAAAAATCTGTGGGTTAAAAAATATTATTTCTATCAATTGTTGACAACATTTGTACCAGTGGAATATGATTAGTCGCCATCTCTGTACAGCTTAAAGACTTGTGTGTGGGGGGGGATGGGGGGGGAGCGGTGGCGCAGTGGTTAGCGCGCTGCGCTATCGTCACTAGGAAGACAAAGGCGGCCGGATGCGTGTGTGTGTGTGCTCGTCATACGACCCCCATCGTGTGCTGAGCCGGCCTTCATAGGTGCTCGCTAACAGCACGCACTTGCCCCAGCAGTCCGTTAAAGGCTACACGGGGGATCTTTGTCTATGTGTGTGCGTGCGCATGGCTACATCCATGTGTGCGTTCATATGCACGTGTTTTCGCACGCCTATACGCGTCACACCTATCAACGTGTGTGTGTGTGCATCGTTCGTATGAGTGTGTGTGCGTGCGGGTGTTTAATAGGCGCTCGCAAACAGCGCTTTCCCCCTAATCTATAATGCAGCACGGAGGATCGCATGTGTGTGCGCGTGAGACACGCGCGGACCGGGTCTTGTTCTGACCACGAACCCCTCTCGTATAATAATGATAATACAAGTCTCGATAACCCAAAAATATGTGCTCGCAGACAGGAATTTTCCACAACAGCCCGTTGATAGCAATGTTCGAGACACGCACACAAAATAATAAAACACTCGCTGATTTCTAAAGAGAGCGGATCGCATTCCCTTATTAGGAGATGCTATAAATAAGTCAGCATTTGCGTCACGTTGACGTCATTACTGCAATCTCCCAGCAGAGAGGCCATATGAGTTAGATTCCTGGCCATTCATTCATGAAAATATATCGTGTGTACTCATTGATGGGGGGGAAAAAAGACGAGTTCAATCAATTCATTGATACATTTCTGGACTCGATCAAATTTCTCGACTCAGTCATACGATGCTATCCGATTCGTGTCGAATAATTAATGATAATAATGAATTAAATTAAATTCAATATTCATTCAAAGCAGAATGTTAGTGATTGATTCGATAAATTAAATATTCATTTTAATGAATATATATTTTTTAATGTATTAGAAACACAAATTGATAGGAATCTTAAATAATTTCGGTCATATTAACTTTAATTTAGACCAATATAAAACAAAAATCTCTGACGCAGTCCGCAAAATATTCCGTTAATGAATTAGCACTTAACAAATATTTATTTATTTATTCTCAATCTATAAATCAGTCGACTAATTGTATTTAAAACGCACCGTGACGTCAACTGTCCGCAAGTAATTAATTGAAATCTAACCAATATAAAATAATTTAATCTGCTAAATTAATAAATTATTCAACACATTGATGATCACGACGGTGAATGGAAGCTTTCAATTGAGCAGGTGCTATTCAGTGGATGATGCTGCTGCTGCTGATGATGCTTAATCGATTACGTAACGTAGCCTTAATTCTAGATTTGAAGCTTTCGTGACTGCAAGGATTCATATTCTTAGGTTTTTTCGTTAAAGTCACGTAGGTAAAAAATTTAAATTGAAATTAATAAAAGTAAAATAAAAATCACGACGTTTCGGAGGCAACACAAGCTTCCGTCTTCAGGTGGAACCGTCACAGCCCGACAGCTGTATCATTTGTTTTACCTACGTGACTTTACCGAAAAAAACCGAAGAATAACTTAGCCTTCTACACACACGGCGATCCATTTATAGATAACCTACTAATTCCCCATGGACTCGTTCTTGTTAACCTCACCTGACGTAATCATCGGAGGCTGTACGCATGGCACGAGACGTGTCCGGGCGAAGGGTTAACAGATGCGACGAGTCCATTGAGATTGATGGTGTTCATTTCTCTTGAGGATTTATCCCAATCAACTTAGTGGGGTATCTATAAATGGACCACCCAGTGTGTGTTATAAATAAGTGGGGGGCGGTGGTGTAGCGGTTAGCGCGCTGCGCTATGAACCCAGCGACCCGAGTTCGATTCTCGCTCACGGCCAACACCAGTGACGATTATCTGAACCAGCCCTGGGCCTCCCCTAGGTCGACTCGGCATCAAATGAGTACCTGGTGCCGTGTGTAAACATCGCAACTGGGGAGACAAAGGCGGCCGGGTGTGGTGTTACCCACCCACTCGTGTGCAGTGCTGGCCTGCATAGGTGCTCGCTAACAGCACTTGTCCCTACAGTCTGTTACAGGCTACACGGGGGATCTTTGTCTTTGTTTAATAAATTGGTTAACCGAGGCCCGAGCTGGTTCACCACCCTCCGCGTTGTGAATGATCGTAATCATTTCCATTCACGAATCGATTATTCTCATAACCTATTGATTCACTGGCACCTATAGGGGCGCCACGGTGGCGAGATTGAACTCAATCATAGCAATGAGACGAAACAATCGAGAGGCACATTACAATACAAACTAGAGAGACAATACAAACGAGACATACAAACTAGACAGACAATACAAACTAGAGAAACGAGACAGACAATACAAACGAGACAGACAATACAAACGAGACAGAATACAAACGAGACAGACAATACAAACTAGAGAGACAATACAAACGAGACAGACACTACCAACGAGACAGACACTACAAACGAGACAGACAATACACACGAGACAATACAAACGAGACAGACAATACAAACGAGACAGACAATACAAACGAGACAGACAATACAAACCAGACAGACAATACAAACGAGACAATACAAACGAGACAGACAATACAAACGAGACAGACAATACAAACGAGACAGACAATACAAACGAGACAGACAATACAAACAAGACAGACAATACAAACAAGACAGACTGTACAACAGAAGACAAAAGAAGAGGGAAAAGTTTATTCACCAATCGAACAAAAACCTGAATCGACTGCCAATCATTAGTTTCCAAGTTCATAGATCATTCCTTCCGGGGCTCAATAAAACTGGTACAACTTTTGACTTGAAGCTTTCGTGACTGCAGGGATTCATATTCTTGGTTCTTTACTGAAAGAACCAAGAATATGGTCCAACTTTGTGATGCATCAACAAGTAGGCGTGTTTCAGGGTATGTCCGTCACACAATTTTGACGACATGATTCGTCATTTAGATTTTCAAATAACTTAGTTTTTGTTTGCGATTAATATAATTTCTACGTGGTGTGAATTTGGAACACATACCGCTGTACACGAATTACACTATTCAATGGAATAATCGATTCAACGCAACTCAACTTAATTTGGAGCTTTCGTGACTGCAGGAATTACTCTTTGGTTCTTTCGGTAAAGTCACGTAGAAAGATAAAATAATAAATTAAATACTAGCATACGACGTTTCGATTGCAACACAAGCAATCATCATCAGGTACAAATGAAATAGAAATACAAATCTAGTATACCCTACAGGGTGTTGACTGTTATGTTATCCGACTCTCTGTTGTATTACATTACATTTCTAAGTATACTAGATTTGTGTTTCTATTTCATTTATACCTGATGATGATTGCTTGTGTTGCAATCGAAACGTCGTATGCTAGTATTTAATTTATTATTTTCTCTTTATACGTGACTTTACCGAAAGAACCAAAGAGTAACTCAACTCAACTTTATTTTACCAGGTAAGGCTCACTGATGGCTTGTTTTCAGAAGCGACCTGGCCACAAATGATTGCTCAACGAAGTGGCATATCACGTGGCAATTGCAATATTAGCCAAATGCTCTAAAAGCGTGATGTTGATTCTAAACGTGGGGGGGGGGGGGGGAAACTTGGAGGACCCGGAGAAAAATCCACGCGACCACGGGGAGAGAGAGAAACGCAAACTCCAAATACACAGCAGCAGGCGTCAGGGTCGAGATAGAACCCACGACCTCCTGTGTACCAGGCGAGGTAGTTAACATCTCCTAGCCACCGTGATGATGATGAGAAAGAGAGAGACACGCAAACTCCAAATACAGAGCAGGCGTCAGGGTCGGGATAGAACCCACGACCTCCTGTATACCAGGCGAGGTTGTCAACATCTCGCCATCAATTATTTGGTGATGGCGCTTGTGCCGCTGCGTTGGAAGTTGTGCAAAAGCAGAGCCAACAACAACAACAACTCAACAATGTTCATCAATAACAACACTGCATTGCCTTGAAAGTAAACATGTATAATAGGCGACGTTTCGGGCAACGGCCCTTCTTCATAGCAAACTGATAGGCCAGTGTGACAGACTGCAGTTATTGACACCAATGAGGCCTACTGGGAATTAGATGTTGACATTTGTTTCTGGTGGAGCACGTTGAATTTCCACCACACTGACAGTCCCAGCAAAGGGACATTGAGACGTCACCTTTGACCTTTGACATCGCCTGCGGAATGGGGTCAGCTCATTCCACGTGAAATTGGCCAAGATCATCCCGACGTGGCACGACCCCTTGCGTCTTGAGACTCACCGAGACCCGCGGGGACAATTTCCGCGCGGCGCTTTCTTTGATGACTTTTCTTGCGGCTCTTGAGAGTTTGAGGTGTTTGCCTTTTGTTTACCGAATTCGAAAAGAATGCATCCTCTTGTTATTTTGGTTGCATCGAAGTCCAGTTCACCATGGGAGTCCAGTTTACCATGGGAGTCCAGTTTACCATGTTAGTCCGGTTTACCATGGAAGTTCAGTTTACCATGGAAGTTCAGTTTACCATGGGAGTCCAGTTTACCATGTTAGTCCGGTTTACCATGGAAGTTCAGTTTACCATGGAAGTTCAGTTTACCATAGGAGTCCAGTTTATCATGGAAGTTCAGTTTACCATGGAAGTTCAGTTTACCATGGAAGTTCAGTTTACCATGGGAGTCCAGTTTACCATGGAAGTCCAGTTTACCATGAGAGTCCAGTTTACCATGGGAGTCTAGTTTACCATGAGAGTCCAGTTTATCATGGAAGTCCAGTTTACCATGGAAGTCCAGTTTACCATGGGAGTCCAGTTTACCATGGGAGTCTAGTTTACCATGGGAGTCCAGTTTATCATGGAAGTCCAGTTTACCATGGAAGTCCAGTTTACCATGGAAGTTCAGTTTACCATGGGAGTCCAGTTTACCATGGAAGTCCAGTTTACCATGGGAGTCCAGTTTACCATGGGAGTCTAGTTTACCATGGGAGTCCAGTTTACCATGGGAGTCCAGTTTACCATGGAAGTTTAGTTTACCATGGAAGTTCAGTTTACCATGGGAGTCTAGTTTACCATGGGAGTCCAGTTTACCGTGGGAGTTCAGTTTGCCATGGGAGTTCAGTTTACCATGGGAGTCTAGTTTACCATGGGAGTCCAGTTTACCATGTTAGTCCGGTTTACCATGGAAGTTCAGTTTACCATGGAAGTTCAGTTTACCATGAGAGTCTAGTTTACCATGGAAGTTCAGTTTACCATGGAAGTTCAGTTTACCATGTTAGTCCGGTTTACCATGGTAGTCCGGTTTACCATGGAAGTTCAGTTTACCATGGAAGTTCAGTTTACCATGGGAGTCCAGTTTACCATGTTAGTCCGGTTTACCATGGAAGTTCAGTTTACCATGGAAGTTCAGTTTACCATGGGAGTCCAGTTTACCATGTTAGTCCGGTTTACCATGGAAGTTCAGTTTACCATGGGAGTCCAGTTTACCATGGGAGTCCAGTTTACCATGGAAGTCCAGTTTACCATGTTAGTCCGGTTTACCATGGAAGTTCAGTTTACCATGGGAGTCCAGTTTATCATGGAAGTTCAGTTTACCATGGAAGTTCAGTTTACCATGGGAGTCCAGTTTACCATGGAAGTTCAGTTTACCATGGGAGTCTAGTTTACCATGGGAGTCCAGTTTACCATGGAAGTTCAGTTTACCATAGGAGTCTAGTTTACCATGGAAGTCCAATTTACCATAGGAGTCCAGTTTACCATGGAAGTTCAGTTTACCATGGGAGTCCAGTTTACCATGGAAGTCCATTTTACCATGGGAGTCCGGTTTACATGGAAGTCGAGTTCACCATGGAAGTCCAGTTCACCATGGAGGTCCAGTTTACCATGGCGGCTCTTTAAGGACCGCTTGGTGACAGTTATTTGTTGAGGACCATCACCGTCTCGAATTCACCACCACACTGCATAGCGGCTCTTGAAATATTGCTGGGTTTATTTGTTATTTTTTTTACCGAAATCTTAAAAAAAAAAAATCGTGCCTCTGCTTGTCCGTCGCCCCCCTCTCTCCCTTCCCCCACCTTGCCACGCGTCGTTCTGATGGACCCCTGTTGTTGTGCGCGTGTCTCTGCCACAGCCATGCCCTCTGAGACGATGCCCTCCTCATCCGCCGCCGCGTGGTGGCACTGCGTGGCCTGCGTCGTTGCCCTTCTGGCCACGTGCGTCTCAAGCATCCCACTCACGTCACCCCAGGCTCACAAGTACTTCCACCCGCAACAACAACAACAACAGCAGCAACAACAACAACAGCTGCTGTCCATGACAGCCGCGCAACCGCTAGCGTACGCCTCGGTCTCCACCACCCACCGGGCCGGCTCCCTGGATGAGCCTTCGTCCAGAAGTTTGTCCGAGGAGGAGCTCCTCAAGACGCTGAGCGCTTTGCAGGCGCTGGAAGAAGAAGGCGAGGTGCTCGCCTACCTCGCCAGCCTCCGCTCCGGCTCGCGGGGCCGCCAGGCGCAGCGCGAGGTCGCCACCTCCGAGTCCATGCTCGAGTCTCTGCTGCTCGAGGCTCTGGCCAGGAGAGACCAGGGACTGCAGACTCGGCAGGTGGAACAGGAGGAGGACGAGAAGCAGCAGCAGCAGGAGGATGATGATGATGAGGAGGAGGAGGTGGTGAGGGAGATGCTGGCAGGCCAGCCACGGAGGATGCCTCGCCACGGCAGAATCTTCTCGCCGCTCTACAGCCAGAAGAGCCGCTCGGACGGGCTCGGTGTTGAGAACGGAGATGACGATATCGACGACGATGGTGGTGAGGAGGAGGACATTGGTGGTGGAGCTGCTGCGACCGGCAACGCTGGCTACGGTGACGATGGCGCGGTGGAGGAGGAACTGGAGGAGAATCGAGCGGCGCGCTGGAGATCTGGCGGCAACAACGAGGAGGACGAGGAGGACGAGGAGCGTGAAGCCAACGGCGGCGAGGAGGAGGAGGAGGACGAGGAGGCGGGAGAGGCGCGGGATCTACTCCAACTTCTGGAGGCGCTCCAGGGTCGCGGCACGAGGCAGAGCGAGGGCCGTGGAGGAGGAGGAGGAGTGGGCCGGCAGGCGAGCGAAGCGGCGGGAGCGGAGGACGTGAGGTCCGTGGCCGTGATGGAGGCGCGTCGCCGCAACGACAAAGCGGTCGGCCAGAGGCCGCGCTTGCTGAAGCAGCAGCAGCAGCAACAACAGCAGCAGCTGGACAGGGAAGATGAAGAGGCTTTGGATCAGGCTGCCAATCTGCTGCTGCACTTCGCCCTGCAAGCCGGAGAGAAGGAGAACTCAGCGCCTCCTCCTCGGTCCCGTGGTCCCAACGCTGCACCGCGCCCGAGGCCTCCGTATCCTGGCCAGGCCCGAGGGGAACGGCCTCCGATGTCCAAGGGGCGCGTGGAGGGAAGGCACCGCCCGAGACCTGCTCACGACGGGGACCAGGAGGAGCAGGAGGATGAGGAGCGCACAGCGGAACTGGAGAACCTCGTGAAGCTGCTGCTGCTACAAGAGGCTGAAGGAGAAGGCCGTGATGGTGGTGGTGGTGCTGGTGACGACGACGATGCTGATGCTGATGATGGTGGTGGTGCTGTTGAGAAGCAGCAGCAGCAGAGGCAGAGAGGAGATGGTCAGGGTCGGAGTAAAGCGACCGGCAAGGGCGTTGGGTCGTCAGCTCGCACCGCCGCCTGGCAGGAGGCACCTGCTCAAGGACGCCACGGGCCCAAGGATCACAAGCGCGGTGGGGCGATGGACGAGGAAGGCGACGCGGCAGCGGCGGAGGAGGTTGAGGAGGTTGAGGAGGAGCAGGGCTTGGATCGGGCAGCGAAGTCTCGGCAGTCGGCGAAGGAGGGGGAGGAGGAGAGAGGTGATGGAGAGGGAGGGAGGTCGGAGGAGGAGCACGCGGCTGAAGAGGAGAAACGGGACAACGAGATCCTCCACGAGCTGCTGCAGTACCTCAAGCTGGACGAGGAAGGTCGACTCGAGGAGAGTCAACCTCCTCCACCACCTCCTCCTCCTCCTCCACATCGGCTCGACGCTCCTCGTTCGGCGGACGACGACGCTCGAATCGTTGAAGAACTTTCAAAGTTCATCATCGACGACGGTGGTGACGACGACGACGATGACGACGACGACGATGTAGAAGACACGGTGGAGGTGGAAGACCTCGAGGAGGAGGATGATGGCGACGACGACGACGACGATGATGATGGCGATCGCCGCAAGCGAGTCTCGCCCTCGTATCGCCAGCAGAAGGGCCACGGCCCCAGCGTGGAGCCGCGTCTGGACCTGGAGGGCCTCCTAGTGGAGCTCCTCCAGGGGGCCGCGCGCGTTAAAGGGGACGGGGCGGGCGAAGTTTCTCGCTACGCGTCGGCGCCATCGTAGGGAGCCGGCGATCGCGAACGAATCGATGAATAAAGGCATTTGACATATAACCTCGCAATGTAAACGTGACGATGATAAGTTCTGATGGTCGTGGGAGTCTGTGGGTGGGCGGTCGGGTGGGGTGAGGGGGGCTTTGGTTGCTCCGATAGAGACTTCTTCTTGTCGCCCACTTGGATAGGAGGGACGTCTCGCTCATCCTCCTATGCAATTGTGGGAACAGGGAGGTCTATGGATGGGACCCCATTTCTTTTTGTTTTGTATCACTGGCGATGACACGGTTGCTGCACAGATGTCGCCACCAATTCTTAGAGTACGGTATATATACATACAGTACAGGCATGCACATACAAAGATAAAGACAAAGGTCCCCCCACCCTCCATATTGTCGTAACAGGCTGTCGGGGCAAGTGTTGTTTGCGAGAACCCATCAAGGCATACGTACCTACCAAAAGACAAAGTCCCATATATACATACGTTCTCATCGGCTAACTCTGGCGCACACAAACCGGGCAACACACACACACGCGAAAAAACACGCTCGCGCCTAACAGCGGGGACGTGCAGAAAACGAGCTCGTTCGAGACTCGAAAAAAACCCATCGCGACCTCCTTCTTAGCTGCGGCATTACTCCTCGAAGCCACTGGGTGGCGAGCGGCAGTAGACCTCAAAATTGGAATTTAGCGCACAAAGACAAAGCTCTCCTGTGTAGGCTGAACAGACTGTCGGGGCAAGTGCGGCTAGCGAGCGCCTATGAAGGCCGGCACGGCGCGCGAGGGGGGTGGGTGGCCAGCAACCACGCCCGACCGCCTTTGTCTCCCCAGTGGCGATGATGTTAATCAGACTCGGGTCGCCAGGTTCGTAGCGCGCCACGCGGCTCCACACATCTCACACACCACTCTCTCAAGCCTGTCATAACAGAATGATAGATACATCTCTAGAGCATTCCGGGTGTACTTCCATCTAGCCCCCCCCTCCTCCTCCATCCCCCTCCGCCCCCTCCCCGAATTTCGGAGATTAAATCGATAACAGCTCCGAGGAAACAATCGATAAAACGACAACGACGTAAATTGTTTCACTTGAGATCACAAGGACAGGCGCTGTCGAATCTGTCCATCACCTGCCGTGGAAGTTTGTCGACCACACGCGCACACAACAAAGACAAAGACAAAGATCCCCCGTGTAGCCTGTAACAGACTGTAGGGGCAAGTGCTGTTAGCGAGCACCTATGAAGGCCGGCACGGCACACGAGGGAGGTGGGTGGCCGGCCCCCTTTGTCTCCCTAGTGGCGATGTTTACACACCGCTCCAGGTACTCATTTGAGGCTGAGTCGACCTAGGGGCGGCCCAGGACCGGTTCAGATAATCATCACTGGTGGTGTTGGCCGTGAGCGGGAATCGAACTCGGGTCGCCGGGTTTGTAGAGCAGCGCGCTAACTGCTACACCACCGCTCCTCACACACACACACACGCGTACACACACACAGACACACGTACACATGCAGACACACGTACACACACACGCGTACACACAGACACACGTACACACGTACACACACACGCGTACACACACACATGTACACACACACAAACGTACACACAAACGTACACACACACACGTACACACAGACACACGTACACACACACGGACACACACACAAACGTACACACACACGGACACACACACAAACGTACACACAAACGTACACACACAAACGTACACACACACAGACACACATGTTAGCGTCGTCAGTCACCATCTCTGCTCTATCCACTGCTGGACGCACACTACACTACACGCACAACAAAGACAAAGGTCCCCCGTATAGCCTTCAACACGCTGCTGGAGGCAAGTGCTGTGAGCGAGCGCCTACGAAGGGCGGCACGGCGCGCGCGAATGGGGTGGTGGTTGGGTTGTGGCCAACAGCACGACCCGGCCGCCTTTGTCTCCCCACGGCTGATGTTAACAGCACACCAGGTAATCATCATTTAAGGCTGAGTAGATCTAGGGGAGAGCCGGGCTCGGTTCAGATATTCGACACTGATGTTAGCCGTGAGCGGATAATCGAATTTATGTCCGCCCGGGTTTCGTAGCGCAGTTCACGAGCAAACTCCCCTGCCGCTCCCCACAAGACAAAGATCCCCCGTATAGCCTTAGCGGACTCTCGGGGCAAGTGCGATTAGCGAGTAGCACCTATGAAGGTGACTGCTCCCCTACAGACAGACACACACAATATACACACAAGTGCACTATACAAAACACAGCTGTGCGTACACACGGACACGAATGTACACACACATCAGCTCATCGCATCCCCGGCGTGTTCGCTCCTTTGACTGCCACTCCTTCGCTAGTCTCGTGGTATCCGGACATCTTCTTCCATGGCGAGAGGGACGCCACTGTGGCGAGGAGATGTTGACTACCTCGCCTGGTATACAGGGGGGAGGGGGGGGGGGGTCGTGGGTTCGATCCCGACCCTGACGCCTGCTGTATATTTGGAGTTTGCGTCTCTCTCTCATCATCACGGTGGCTGTGAGATGTTGACTACCTCGCCTGGCATACAGGAAGGGGGGGGGGGGGGTCGTGTGTTCGATCCCGACCCTGACGCCTGCTGTATATTTGGAGTTTGCGTCTCTCTCTCATCATCACGGTGGCTGTGAGATGTTGACTACCTCGCCTGGTATACGGGGGGGGGGGGGGGTTCGTGGGTTCGATCTCGACCCTGACGCCTGCTGTATATTTGGAGTTTGCGTCTCTCTCTTCATCACGGTGGCTAGGAGATGTTGACTACTTCGCCTGGTGTATAGGAAGTCGCGGGTTCGATCTCGACCCTGACGCCTGCTGCTGTATATTTGGAGTCTGCGTGTCTCGCGTGACGATGATCCACTTCCTTGAGCTGTCGTTTGGAGCCGAGCCGCTTCTGAAAAAGAGCCACACAGCTGAGTTGGGGGCCTTACCTTGGTAAAATACACAAAACACACAAGAAGTGAAACAGACGGATTTGTTCTGGAATCCACGTGCTCCCCCCCCATCTCTTTCTGGACCGTGTCTCTCATGTGGAATTGCCTAACAAGCACAAGACTAAGATCCCCCGTGTAGCCTTGACAGACTCTAGGGGCAAGTGCTGTTAGCGAGAATCTATGAAGGCCGGCACGGATCCACGAGGGGGTGGGTGGCCAGCACCACGCCCGGCCGCATTCGTCTCCCCAGTCGCGATGTTTACACACCGCACCAGGTACTCAATTGAGGCTGAGTCAACCTGGGGGAGGCCCAGGACCGGTGTTCGCCGTGAGCGCGAATCGATCACGGCACTTGCCCCAACAGACAACAGACACACACACACACCGACACACACACCGACACACACTCTCACACACACACACACACACTTTCACACACTCTCTCACACACAGACTCTTACACACACTCACACACACACTCTCACACACACTCACACACACTCATAAACACACTCTTACACACACACTCACTCACACGCTCACACACACTCTCACTCACACATACACTCACACACTCTCTTACACTCTCACACACACTCACACACTCTTAAACACACACTCTCACTCACACGCTCACACACACTCTCTCACACACTCTCACACACACACACTCTCACACACTCTCACACACTCTCACTCACACTCTCACACACAGTCTCACACACACTCTCCACGCTTCTATGCACACTTCTCAGCTTTCGTTCCGTCATGTGTCTGTAGCCGCGTCTCTGCTCCGTCGCACGTCATCGTGGGGCCACGTGCGACGATTTGAAGCCTCCTCCATCCCGTGGGTCCGTGGGGATCCTCGGCCGCTCTGTCGACGTTCCGAACCCAGTCCCGTCCGCATGGCTACGAAGCGAGAAGATCACGTGATTATTTTGAGGGTTACATTTTCCTTTCAAGACATCCCGATATTCATTGTGAAAACGGAATGTTATCGTTTAAAAAGTGCCTGTTGTGGTTGTATAAGTATATAATGGTCTGTTAACGTGAACATGTGTGTGTGTGTGTATGCACATGAGACAGTACAGGATACGGAATTGTCCGGATTATAAGACGCAACCCCAAACCGCGTGCCGTGTGTGAATAAAGTACCTGAGATCCTGTCTCACACACACAAAGACAAAGATCCCCCCCCCACCGTGTAGCCTTCACAGACTGTTGGGGTAAGTGCTGTTTGCGAGCAGCACCTATGAAGGCCGCCACGGGATACGAGGGGGTGGGTGGCCAGCACCACGCCCGACCGCCTCTGTCTCGCTCATTTGAGGCCGAGTAGACCTAGGGGAGGCCCAGGACCGGTTCAGATAATCGTCACTGGTGTTGGCCGTGAGCGGGAATCGAACTCGGGTCACTGGGTTCGTAGCGTGACGTGCTAACCGCTACACACTCTCACACACACTCACACTCTTACACACACTCACACACTCACACTCTTACACACACTCACACACTCACACACTCTCACTCACACACTCACACACACTCTCACACATACACTCACACACACACTCACACACTCACACACACACTCACACATTCTCACTCACACACTCACACACACACTCTCACTCACACTCTCACACACACACTCACACACTCTCACTCACACACTCACACACACTCTCACACACACTCTCACACACACACTCACACACTCACACACTCACACACACACTCACACATTCTCACTCACACACTCACACACACACTCACACACTCTCACACACTCACACACTCTCACACACACACTCTCACTCACACACACTCACACACCCTCTCACACACACTCTCACTCACACACACTCACACACTCTCACTCACACACTCTCACTCTCACACACACACTCTCACACACACACTCTCACACACACTCACTCACACACTGTCACACACACACTCTGACTCACTCACACACTCTCACTCACACTCTCTCACTCTCACACACACACTCTCACACACACACTCTCACTCACACACTCTCACTCACACACTCTCACACACACTCTCACACACACACATATACCAACCGGATCATTAGACACAGCATTCCTTGCTTTTAAATACACAGCAGGGGATAGGCGGAGAGGGAGTGGGTCTTATAATCTGGAAAATACGTAACATGTAATTTTGTATTACACAGTATTTTATGATATCCATCACTGGCACAACGGCTTGTGTGATGATGGTGATGATGATGATGGTGATGATGGTGATGATGGTGATGATGATGATGGTGATGATGGTGATGATGGTGATGATGGTGATGATGATGTACGTATGTGTGGTGAACTTCTTTCGCACCGTACGCAGCCCACCGTGCTAATCGGAGGCAGGAGTGCGCACCACGGCAGGGAGGATAGGTCGCCAGGATCCACGCAGACTTTCAATGGCTCCATTTGTGACTTTCACAAATTCGCTCGATCCAAAATTGTGTACAGTGTTTCCTCGCCTCACGCGAGCAGATTTAGCATATTGTTGTATAAACTTCGTTGAATAAATAATCACATTTTGTTTTGTCCCGCCAGCCTATTTTTTTAAATTTGGTTCGCTGTCGATCCACCTCTGGACGAGGGCCTCTTTCCACGCCGTGTCGCTCCTGGGAGGTGATTTGATAATGTCGGTGACCATACTTCACCACGCAGGCGAATGCGGCTGTCATCCCAGTCTGGAAGAACTCTCCGTCTGGCTCCTCACTCCACTCACAGCTCACAGCTCAGGTCGCGTGCTCGCCACACAGACAGCCGCTGTCCCCCCCCCCCCGTGAGTGATTCTGAAGCTGGGGAGACACGTGGGGAGACACGTGGGGTGGCACTGGGAACTCGGTGCGGTGAGCGTGGTGGGGTTCGTCCAGATTTCACGCGGATTTTCTCCCGATTTGTTTTAAAATCCAGATTTCTCTGCAGTAGCTGTCAATCTTCTCCCCATTGCTTTGGGGCGAGCTTGTCACGTGCACCCTGTTGGCTTTCACTGAACAACGCAGACATCACGAGCCCAAGCGCCGAAACGAAGAACGGCAGAATCAATCTACCGCTATGAAATGTTTCGAATGTTTCTAAAACACACGTGGTGGTGGGTGTCCATTTTTTTTTTGGAGAAAAAAAAACGATCGTCAAACCATTCTTGTTGTATCGCTGTACTTTGTGGAAGTCTACAAAAGTTTGGGATCACTCCAGCCAGTGATGGGTTCTGGCCCACTGGGAGGCCCCATTCCTCCCCCTCCCCCCCGCCCCACCTCGATATGTAAACTCACAGCGGGACGACAAGAGGTGTAAACGAGAGACGTGGCGAGGTGAGAGAGGTTCGACACAGACGTAGATTAGCCTGAGATGTTAGTGGCATGGGAAACGCTGGTATAACGCGTGTGGAGTCAGACTTCAGGGAGACAACGTGGGATGATGAGAGAGTTTCGACATCTTGTTGTAGCTGTTAGGATTTAAATATGAGCTGGTATATTAAGTTAACTCATGTATATTTTTGTTATACATCTGCGGGTAACCCCCACCTTTACCAACTTGGGGGGGCGCTCTGCTTTTGCTTGGTGTTTTGTAAGCCAGCATTCACGGCCAGCAGATAAGCCTAACACACATGTAACATACATGTGTATGTCATTGCTTTTACAGACTAGAACGGTACCGGTTCATGCTGTACGACGGTTCAACTATAAATCATCTGTGCGTCGTGAGTCCAAAAATAAAATCGTAGACATTGTTTTCGCGAATTTGATAAATGTATTTGTTTTAATAGAAAAAAAACCCATCCGAGTGCATCATTTAAGTAGCCTTAGTGGAACCAGTATATAAATATATATTTTCTGCTGCAAATAAAAAAAAACACAAAAAAAATAAAGCAACCCCTTTGCCTGTTTCAGCTGTCCTACTGTGGTTAGCCCGTTCGCCGCTGTTGTATCCGTGTATATAGTCTGTGTAAGATGTTGATTGAATAAAGATTGTCATCTATACTTCGGTTATTCGGTTCTGAGTATTTGTTGCAGTGCGACGGGGCTGTCCAATGTCCGGTGGAAACGAGGTCAGAGTGCGTGGTGGGTTGACTGATCTTCCATTCCAGTTTAAAGGGTACAAACCTATTACTATATTTTGCCACTGGTAAAGGAGGTCTCATAGTGTAAATGCTTACCCCGAGCTCTCAATACTCTGATAGTGCGCTGTCTTTGAGTTGTACGCCTTTTGGCGTCATCTGGTCCAACACCAATGGAGACTAGGCTCTAAGAAAAGCTGTCTCGGGTGTGGACCAATCAACTTCAAGGACAGTGCATATTATTATCATTATCAGAGTTGTTTCTTTTTGTTTGCATTTGACTGCTTGTGTTGTGGTTATTGCAAACATGATGCCTTGTATAAAGGTGTCAGTTTTGTACCAGTTGAAAGGGTGAAAACCTACTACTACTGATCTTCCATTCTCCGCCAGCTTCACAGCAGAGCTGATATTCAACTAAAACTGAACTAAAACATAGTAATAGGTTTTTACCCTTTCAACTGGTTCAAAAACTGACACCTTTATACAAGGCATCATGTTTGCAATAACCACAACACAAGCAGTCAAAATTCAAACAAAACAGAAACAACTCTGATGATGATAATGATATGCACTGTCCTTGAAGTTGATTGGTCCACACCCGAGACAGCTTTTCTTAGAGCCTAGTCTTCATTGGTGTTGGACCAGATGACGCCAAAAGGGTGCACACAACCGCTTGAAGTTAAGCCCTCGCTAAGCCAAATCTGATTGAACGGACAACGCGAACTATAACAACAGCTTTTAGCCCTTCTGGCAATAATAGCAGTTGTGTCAAGATGTTAAAACACCAAACATAATCCTTATTCAATGAATCATGTGTCTGCATTAAGCACACGCGCTTGTGGTGAACATACCAACAAAAAACATACTCTGGTAATATATGATGCGTTGTCTTTGACACTGATTGGTCCACACCAGAGACAGCTTTCTTTTGAGCCTCGTCTCAAACGGTGTTAGACCAGAGAACGCCAAAAGGCGAACAACACGAATACAATTGTAACTGTGCTGCTCACAGCCAAACGCGAGGAGTTTAGATTTGAAGCTTTCGTGACTGCAATGATTCATACTCTTAGTTCTTTCGGTAAAGTCACGTAGGTAAAAAATGAAATAAAAATTAATAAAAATAAAAACAATAAAATCACGACGTTTCGGAGGCAACACAAGTCTCCGTCATCTGGCTGTGACGTTCCCACCTGATGACGGAGACTTGTGTTGCCTCCGAAACGTCGTGAATTTATTGTTTTATTTTTATTAATTTTAATTTCATTTTTTAGCTACGTGACTTTACCGAAAGAACTAAGAGTATGCGAGGAGTTGAATAAACATCAGTGCTGCACTGCCCCCTGGTGGATATTAATTCTGAGAATTCATTACAGCCACTTTTACCATTTTTTTTGTATTGCTTATTTAGATTTCTTAACCTAAGAGCCATACTGAGTCGTCTCAAGACTCGTTTTTTTCTTGACAGGCTTTCACAGTGGGGGGTCAGGCGATGATGTTTCCGCCTGTAATCCCAATTCAGTAATTTGCAGGGACATTTTCAGCATTGTCGGTGGGTTTTTTTTAGCTTTCGCGACCAATATCACCCATGATGCCGATTTTTTTTTTGGGGGGGGGGAGTTAGATCTCGTAAATATATAAATGTGTCGTTAAACCCGCCACCACCCGACACAGCCTAATTAGTTAAGGTTTGTCACGTGTACAGAACATGCAAATTCGTTACGAGTACAGCACACCCGTGTGTTGGAGAGCAAATCCACAACATTTACAAATCTGGCTGTCGCCTGATGAAGCTGGTTGTAATTACTGGCGAAACGTCGTACTCAAATTGTAAATGTTGTGGCTTTGCTCTCCAACACACCGGTTACTGCTGTACTAGTATAATACACTATACACTACACTATACACTACACTATACACTACACTATACACTACACACTAGTGCTGTACTAGTGACGAATTGGCCACGTTCTGTTTACGTGACAACTAGTTGGCCGTGTCGGGTGGTGGCGGGTTTAACGACACATTCATATAAAGTGTGCTTAAAACTGTTTTTAACGTTCCTGAGAATTTGCAACAATACCAGGAGACCACCTGGAGCAGATTCCAGGCACGTGTTGTTACGGTCAGTGCTGGTTGGTCAATGGGGAGGGGGAGGGGGGCGACGTACGGCGCGAAAGAAGTCCAACAATACATATACGTATACGTTGAAATGGCGGGTAGCGAAAATCAGAATCAGAAAGGGTTTCATTCGCCATGAAAGTTCGCACAGACAAGGAATTTACTTTGGCCGGAAGGTGCATACATTCACCATATAGGAATCTTAAATCTTAAATAAGTGGTGTACAAGTCTAACTATATTAAAGGTACAAGTCTAACTAATACTAAGGCGCTAAAGTATGTAAAAATTGAATAAAATAAAATATAAAATATACAATAGCTATAATATACAATATAAAATTACAAAAATGCAAATAGGGTAACATAGTTCAAATATGGCAGGGTGTCAAATGTAACAGTGACAGCATTTGTTGTTGTTGACAACATGATCCTAATACAATTGTCACATCTTACGCACGTAAAGTAATCTTCGTGAAATAGCGGGGAAACACGGGAGCGATATAATCGCATCGCCTTGTGAAACACGTGATCACAAAGTTACGGGAAACCGATATTGTGATCGTGAACACATCGCAGAATCGTATCGTGAAGGGGCAAACAACATCGCGGTCGCTAAACTCAGTACCGCTTTGTAGGCAGTCGACAGGAATTGCCCAATTGAAGGATTGCCATAAGAATGTGGAATGTGGAATGGTCGGCGTGGTTAGTACGCGGGCGATAGCAAGACGCGTCCAGCAGGTGGGGCTATGCCATTTATACAAATATCCTCCGTGTAGCCTTGTTGGGGGCAAGGGCCGCCCATAAATGACGTCACGCGATTTTGAACGATTTTTGACCCCTCCCCCCCTCGTCACACAGCGTCACAAAAAGTCAGACCCCCCCTACCTAAAATATGACGTCACAAAGCTCTGCCCCCCACCCCCCCCCCAAAAAAATAAAACATGCTTGAAATCGCTTTAAACACTTGTCATTGTAGTGCGTATTTAATGTGGCGCTGCACTCTGATGTTGTAGGAGAAAACATTTATTACAAAGTCTATTTAATTAAGTAGAACGTGTTGTCTATGTTTATTTAAAGTTGCGCATTTTGATGTGACGTCACATTTCTCACCCCCCCCCCCCTCGTCACACATGTCTGACCCCTCCCCCCAGGTGCGTGACGTCATTTATGGGCGGCCCCCAAGTGCTGTTAGCGAGCTCCTATGAAGGTCGGCGCCTAACACGAGGGGGTGGGTGGCCGCGCCCTACCGCCTTTGTCTCCCCAATGGCGATTTTGACACACCGCACCAAGTGCTCATTTGAGTCTGAGTCGACCTAGGGGAGGCCCAAGACCGATTCAAATAATCGTCACCGGTGTTGGCCGTGAGCGGGAATCGAACTCGAGTCGCCGGGTTCGTAGCGAAACGCGCTAACCGCTGCGCCACCGCTCCGCCACCGCTCCTCACTTTCTCAGTGAACGGACACTGCACCACCGATGTTTCTTCTTCCAAGCATTTAACAACAACAATAACAACAACAACAACTGAACACCACATTAGTGAATACCGTAAACCGTTGAAAGGAAACGTGAATCATGGGCGAGGCAACGTCGGGAACGAACGATGCCTGAACGCGCCCCTTGCGGGTATCCGCGATGTGAACTCGGTGTGCATGAACCCACAGCATCATCGCCGGTGAGACAAAGACGGCCGTGGTGGTGCTACCCCCCCTCGCCCCCCCTCGCCCCCCCTCGCCCCTCCACCGCCATCCCATCCCCCCACCACCCCCACCCCGCTCCGCTTGTCTTAATAGGTGCTCGCGAACAGCACTTGCCCCAACACTCTAAGTAGGCTACATTGCCATACCTTTGCCTGGACAGGTAACAAGGGCGCGGTGTCCAGGTGAGGCGCGCAATGACTCACCACCCCTCCACGCCCGGCTATTTGATCATCGGTCGCCATCGATCCAGGGTCGATTCAGGGTTCGATAATTGTTTTATACGACGAGTCTCGCACCTTCCGTGTGCGTCGCTTTCTCTCTCAAGGACTCGGACTCTTTGCGGGCACTGGAGGAATCCGATGAGCTATGAAGAGCTTTTTTGAGAGACATCCAGTCGCTAATGTTAGCAGTGAACGCACTGCGATATGAACCCCGAGATCCCCAGTCACGGCGAACATCAGTGGCGAGTGGCTATCTGAACCCCCCTCCCCCCACCCCACACTCCTTCACCAACGCACAATGCCAGCGTGGTGAAGTCTGGTCAAAAATCTTCCGTGACCCACACCAGGTGCTCATACATCAGTGGACTGTGCCCAATGGCGAATAAAAAAAATGACAAAAATTATCTTCTTGGTTTTGTCGGTAAAGTCACGTAGAAGGGAGATAATAAAATAATAAAACGAAAACATAATAAAATAATACAATTCTCACGACGTTTCGGCCACAACGCAAGCAGCCGTCCTCAGGTGAAGAACAGGTCTGTCGGAAAGACAGCGTCTGAATGAACACCACCAGGCTTGGCAGCGTATATTTAAGCTGGGTTAGGGGAGGAAGAGCGCCTTGACAAAGGAATTTGTGTCAAAAACTATTCAACTGTTCGGTCCCACTGAGCTACGTAGATTTTTTTTCAGAAGCTACCTGGTCACCACGACTGATAGCCAAACGAAGTGGCTTTCCATCATCACGTGGAAATGTATAGCGGTCCAAATACTCTGAACGCGTTGATGTTGATTCTAAATGTGGACGGGGGGAGGGGGGAAACAACGGAGGACCCGGAGAAAAATCAACGCGACCACAGGAAGAGAGAGAGACACACACATACAAACTC